GGGGGGGGGGGGGGGGGGGGGGGGGGGGGGGGGGGGGGGGGGGGTTGAGGATTGGGAAGATTGGGAGGTGGCTTCTACTTCTTGATTAAGAAGTAAAGATGAAGATGAGGCCTTTGATTTTTGGTACTGGGTGTTATGTATGTATGTATCCCTTACAAAAAACTCCAAACCGAGCAGACACACCCTCAACACATTCAGCGCGGGATGGGGAGATTTACTTTCAGTTAGTATTACTATTCCCAACAAACGATTATCTATACATATATCACGAGCCGCCAAAATATCGCACGAGTAACCTCTCACGATGCAGCACCAGATTCTCCCGCCTCCGCAACGCCATACACAGCTTCTTCTCCTTCCAGCCCAGCCCATCATCCAGCAACAGCTGCGTGTAAGCAAACACGCTCGCGTCGAACAGCGCCGGCTTGTCGCCGCCGAAGAACCACAGATCGTCGCCGAGGAGCGTGGAGAGCGCCTCGAAGGCCTTGTCCGCCTCGCTGTAGAGATCATCCGCGTCGATGACGGCGCTCTGCTTCAGGAGCTCGGCTTCGGCCGCGGCGCGCAGCGTGTGCGAGATCGAGGCGCGCACGAGCGCGCTGGAGGAGGTGGGCGAGACGTAGAGTTCGTATGCGACGGCGGAGAAGTTTAGAGGCTCGAGGTAGAGTGTGTATAGCTATGGGGGATGTTAGAATTGAGCGGGGGGCGTTGGAATTGAGCGCCGGGGACGGCTGGGAGAGAGTTGCTGTCTTACCCATGCATTGCGTATTCGGTGGTCAAGAAGAGACTGATATGCCTCGTAGCGTACGTTCGAGGGCTCCTTCACCCTGCCCCCATGTTCTGATGCGTATTTGACCAGCTTGTTCGAGGGAATAGGCGGGAGGAACTCTTGAGAGACGTTGGATGACTGGGCGGCAGGGAGGAGGAAGGGCAGAGATCCCGTCGGCGAGGCATGGTTATTCGAGGAGATCAGTCTGTGATCGATGCCGGCGATATTCAAGAAGGTCTAGACCTCATGGTCAGTCAGACATGTGCGACTCTCCGTCTCCATCTACGGAGGACACCAACCTGCCATTTCAAGCAACTCGGATTGAAAGACGGCCTTCCCGCCGCGGCATCCACATCATTACTGAACACATAGAGACTCGGGACCCTGGACGTCTTCGGGCCTCGTTGTGGGAGAGGGTTTGGAGGATAGGTGACGACGGGAACTCGATCGAAGAGCTTCTTTACGGGAGGCGGGATTGAGAAGAGATCCTTGACGACTCTCGTCTGTCTCTGGAATGAAGTTTGCGAAGGGCCTTCATCCGTCCTCTCATCCTGCTCCCTCGACGACATCTAGTAAGAAAAGAAAAAAGAGGCAAGGAGGCAAGAAACAAAGGTAGGAAGTTAACGAAAGTTGATGAGGAGCATTTCTGGGGAAAGAGGAAGAGCTCTGCCACAGTGGCTCGTTCCTGTGGCTTGACCCTCCCTGTGGCTGACCCCCTGTGGCTGGAGACGCGCAGAAACGCCCCGGACCCGAGGAAGCTTATGTAAGGGGAGACGTCGGGAGGCGACCCTTGGAAACCCTGGATCCGGGATTGTCGATTGACACGCGGCCGGTTTGTCCTCCGATGTGCCTCGGGATCAACGATGCAGCAGATGAGCTGGATGACGAAGAGGTTCAGTAGTATAAAGAAGATAAAAGAATCCCGTTATCGTGCGAAGACTTGAAAGATAAATAAACAACAAAAAGTACAATACAATTATATACAAACATACCTACCTTACCTTACCTTACACAAATATATACCAATCAGAGATCAACACCTTCTTCTTCCCTTCTCCCGCTCTGCTCTGACGGACGTAGAAGGCGGAGTTACCGCGTCACCCCAGAATCCCAGATCTTCTTCCTCTTTTGCCATTTAGCCTCGTCGAGGATCTTCCGGTCAATTGCCATTGCCGCCGAAGTGTTTCCGTGTCTACGGAAGAAATCATCATCAACTGGCAATCTTTCGTCCGGATCCAACCCTTCTTCTCTCTATATATCTACAAAGAAGTCCTTTCTCTCTCCCATCAGCCCGATCGTCCATCCTATCCATCACCAACAGAGCAGAGAAAGACTATCGTCGTCGTTATCCCCAGTTCAATCCCGAACCTTCGCCGCTGCGCACGCCACCTCTCGCCAAAGCTTCCCGAGAAACCAAGATCAATCAATCAAATCAGATCCGATCCGATCAGAGATCAGCCTACTCTACTGATCTCTTCTTTCTCCCCCCATCCATCCATCACACTCTCCACAACACCACTCTCTCCTCCTCCTCATACCTACAAGATGGAAGCACCGCTCTCATCCCCCTGCCCCGCGGGTTCCTCACACGCCCAACATCCATACTCCGCATCCTCTTCCTCCTCTTCCCCTTCCTCCACCCACCAATCCACTGGCCCTACCTCCTCCTCCTCCTCCTCACAAGAGGCCTCCTCCTCATTCGCCCCGCCGCCCCCGCCTCAGCAGCAACACATAATGGCCGAGTAGCAGTGGCAGAAGAGTTGAATTCTGCAATCCTACGTAAGTCTAACGACTCTTGTGCCGTCTCCTGTGCCTTGTATTAACGGGTGATAGTCTCTCTGGGCAAATCCTCCTCCGCAGGTCTCGAACAGCTCATCCAACAAACAAGCGTCCTCTTGGAAGATCTCCGGGCAGAGGGCAACTCTGGCGCTTTCGTTAACATCGATGATTTCGTACGGCCGCTGCCTAGTCAATGAGGCGGCAGCGCGGGATATGCGATCCGGAATGTGGTGTCTTGGTTTCGGTTTCTCTCTTCCCCGGCGTTGTGTTGCGCAGCATGAATGCATGTGGTTAGGTGTATGGGGCCCGAGTAATCTTCTTTCCCGGCGGTGAAATTGATATTAATTGCAGGCTGGAATGGATGGGAAAGGGGTTTGTTTGGCTTGCGAGACTCTTGTGGCTAGCTTTAGAACTGAGCTGCTGAGGCGGATCAGCCGTTTATAGGAATATATTACACTCAAACGCGAGAGATATCTGGTCAACCTGAAAGGGGTAGTGAAGGAAGTGGTCATCCGATTATGGTAGTCAGTCACGTGCCATCTTGTTTTCCTGGGAGCTAAGGTAGGTAGTTTGCGTGTGGCATTACTATGATATTTTCTATCCTCTAGTTTCTGTCCTGCTATATATATCCCAGTACCAGGAATTACAGAGTAAGTGGCGCTATAACCCCTTTACGCCATTGTATATCAAAAACCCAGAAATCGCTAATAAACCAAACCAATCCACTCCAAAAAAAGATGCTTCGCAGCAATAAGATCCCACACGAGCCCTTCTACTCTATCCCAAAAAAAGTCCCGGAAACCCCCATCCGAATACTAAGAGCGAAAGGTCCTCCTCTTTGGCGTAGGGTAGGTAGGTAGTGGTGGAGGTAAGGTATGCATATATAACTTGCATGTACCTTATATACCTAGGCCCAAGCCTTCGCATTTCGTTTCCCGCTCACTCACTCACTCACACGCCCGGCGCGGCGCGGCCCCCCCTCTCTCTCCCCTCTCCTCTCCCTCGCTCGCTCGCTCGCTCGCTCGCTCAGAGGCCCACAGCTTCCAAGTCCCGCAAAAGGACGGCCATCTGGGCGCGCTTGGCGGCTTCAGCGACGAGGTTGAAGTCCCGCAGGAAAGGCAGCGTAGCGTCAGCGCGGATCGAGGAGATGAGAGACCTCCTTCGCATTCAGTGGGTCTTGGTATGCCATCAGAGAAAACGCATCCGAGAGGGCCTTGCTGACTTCGCGGCGTGGATCGTCTGCGAATTCGGCTTGAAGATCCCGTCCGTAGTTGATTGTCTCTTGCAATAGCTTCTGATACTCCATTTGGTTCGCCGGGGATTCTTCGGTGTCCATCTTATCCCAATTATTACTCTGGCTCTGATGATCGTCCAGTTCCATTTCCTGGTTGACCCCGTCGTCATACCAGTCTCCGCCACGTCCATTACTTTTCTTGCTGCCGTTCGTTGTGCTGGGGTTCTGCATTTCAGCCCCTTGACGAATCATCTCGATAAATCGCCGGACTCTTAACCGGAAGTAAACATGCTCATTGTCTTTCAAGACATTGGGATAGTAAGTGTTCGTGTATTCGAGGGCTTTCTCAATATCACCGTCCAGTATCGCCGTACGAATTCCTGTGTCTGTCAGCATTTGATTGGAATCAATGTTGCTGAAGGTGACGCACGTTGGCGATGACCAGCATCCTCGTCTTCTCTAACATCGAATCCATTTACGACAGCGTTTGGATCCATGCTCAAGGCTTTCTTTTCCGAACGGATTTCCTCTGCAAATGCTCTCGCGGTCTCGATATAACCGTCATGTGAGAGAAATTGGAGAACCTGAGAGCGTTAGACGTAATACAACAGCGCATACCTGAATACATACCAGTGACTGTATCAACTCCGTCTCGTTTAAGGGCGGTGCTAGTTTCGCGGCACTGAGATGTGTTAGTAATTGGAATCAAGCAAAGAAGAGAAGTAAGACCACATACCTCGTAGCCTCAATGCGTTGCTGTATTTGCATCTTCTCGTTCTGCGTAGCACCAAAGTCAATAACCAAGTTCGTACCATCGAAACGATATCGAAACTTTGTTCCTCCCATGTCAAAAGTACCCGTACAGACATAGGGAAATTGATTATGGGAGTCTGAGGCGAGAATGCGGTCCTCCGCACCACCCTGAGGAAAAGCCTCCTCAGTTGGAGGTGGGTAATTGGAGGTGGGAATCGGCATTTTCGTAAAGGAGATATATGCAGAGGGGGGAAAGTAAAAGAATACTTGCCGCCATCATGCCATCTATATCAAAAACAAATGGACTTTGTCCAAAGTTTACTTTAATATGCTCGCCTTGTTTTTTCATTCCCACCGAGGGAAAGAGCTTTCCCTTAATTTCGCGAAATGCAGTTCCTGATTATCGTGAGCTCAGTCTGAAACGAAACATGAAAAGTCGGTGCCAACTGCATTTAGACGGGCAACATACCTAGGTGAACTCCATTTTTAGTGAAGAAGGCAGATCCGGTTCTGAAATTCACCCCGCATCCTATAATATCCCCCGCGGTAAAACGAGGCCCGTAGCTTTTCCCCGAGCTCTGACAACAGAATGAATTCCCATCGTCTCCATGGTATGCCCAAGAGTCAGGCTCCCAGCCAGGCAATCTTGTTAATACTACATTTTTACCGGAGAAGCCAATGCCGATAGAGCTCCTGTATTGAAAATTAGCCGTTTAAATCAATAATATGACACAACGGGGAAACAACATACTCTTCTCTTTTTCGTGATATAATTGTGACTTCGAAATAATATATCCCGCACTGTGGAGGCATGGGGTGGTCTGCCCTGATAGAACATGCTTCATGGTCTCGATCCGCAACAGACTTCGATCCTGTAAACTTCACCTCCTGCCCATCTGCCAAAACTTCCAGTCCTCCATGTTTGTCATGGCTATTCCATTTAGAAGGTAAGGGAGCCACTGCATCATCTTCCGCAGGCGGGGCTTTCTCTATGAGATCGTAGGTCATGCCTCGATGCGAGGCTGGCACTTTCGCATGTAGATTTATACTGCTTGTGCTTGTCGAGAGAGAGCCTGTTTGGGAGGATTGGGCCGAAGATCCATCTCTAGATGCCAAAGCCTTCGCCTTGTGTGCTTCTTCCAGCTTCTGGACGTATTTAGACCCCTTCAGATACGATGGTACGAAAAAGTAATCCGTAGGTCCACCTCCAGAGCCACCGTATCCATACCCATTTGCGAGCGACCCAAATGCACTGGAATGGGCTGGCAACTGTCCCGCTCGACCCCAGGATCCCGACCGCCCGTGGGCTACTCCATTTGTGTTTGAATCCATCTCATATCCTCGCGAATCGTACCGTGAATGCCCGGTTGTGTTGTGGAAGCTCGGATCATAGGTGAAATCGGGTGGTTGGTTGAGTAGATGCGAGAAGGCACCGGATCTCGTTGGTTGCTGATACTGATGTGATATTGCTGAGGCGGTGCCGGAAACGACTGACGCATACGAAGACCTTCGTGGCATGAGTCCGGAAGCTCCAGTCGGCATGCTCGAATCTGGGATGCCCGGTGAGCCCGACGAGTATGGGTTGGTCATGACCTGAATGTGCCGATGTAAGCTGCCCTCCAGCAAGGTGTTCAGCTGGGTTATGGTTTTGCGGAGTTGTTTTGAAGAGTAATTTGAGGGCTATCACGTAGGAGTCCCGCTCCCAGACAGGCTGTTTGTGAGTTGATGACCGTACCAAGGTGGGGACGATGTATGCTGTTGTGGATGTTGTTCATGGCCAGTTGTGAATATGGAAAGGTAGTCTTCAGCAGACCCTTGATCTAGCCGAGTTGGACTCCGTCTTGTGAGCACATCTTATCAGTTATGTATTAACGGGAATGCAGTTCTGGAGCATTGATGTTATCCCTAACGTCCACGAAGGTCGCCTTACTGGCGCCGAGCACTAGCGAGGTATGTACTGAGATGGCGAATACGGTCACGAGACAGCGAACGAACTGCTTTCACGGACTTGAACAGATAGTGATTAAATTTCTCTATTTACCAACTAAACAAAATTACGGTTGAGTCTTTTCATGCTGTTGTTGCCGTTATGGGCATTTGTGAAAGCGGATTGTTGCTGAAACATCGTACTCTGTCTAGGTAGTCATTTGAACCTAACTCCAAAGTTGTCTCAGATCTGTTAATAGTGACATCTCTTCATACCTGGAGCTGTGTGGTGATAATTATGCATCGGTGTTATCCCAACGTCAGATCTGGTCATTAATGTATACTCAACCGTCTCGTCGTCCATCATCCCAATTACGGAGTAGGTACCACGTTCTATAACCCCTCTACAGATACCCGCCTACCGCTCGAATCAGATTCGACTCATACATAGAGCTTTGATTCATCTGCTCTTCTTCCTAAAATGTCGTCCCTGTGCTATCTTCGCAGGAACTGTCCGTAGCTGCTGTCTTCGTTCAGTAAGCTGGGCGAATGCTGCAACTTGTACTTTCTAGTGCATTCAAACGAGGAGAAATAGAAAGAGAAGAAAAGCGGTGAAGATAAAAGGTCGGCAGGAAGATCAAATAAGCTCTGAGAATCTCTATATTCCCGAGTCTTGCGGTAGTGCAAGTCTATAATACAATGCAGGCCAGTGTACCAGATAACGCCATCCATCACAGCCCATGCCGATTTTCAACCCAACGCCCCTTGATTTTCCACGCTCAGTAAGGACAATAATAGGAAAAATAATACAGGCATCTGCTTGAAATGGAACCGACCCTTCGGTGTAACGGGCTTAACCACAGGCGCTAATATGGGTCCTGTCGCGTCCCAAAGCTTTTGTTTTACAGTTTTTCGAGTGCTAAGTGAAAGTAGTGAACGCGATTAGGCCGAGACAGAAACAACGGCTGGTGCTGCAGGGGCGGACTCGGCGGATGGTGCAGAGGGAGCCGGGGAGCTAACGTTTTGACTGGCAGCGCTGGCCATCTCAACATCGGCCCCATTGTTGCTCTTCTCGCTCTCGATTTGACTGTTGTCCTTGTTCTCCTTGCTACTTTCGCCTGATGCGGACCCTTCTGGGTTGCCTTCAGCTTTGACCTTCGGGGGTGCTTTCCAGCGAGGGATTTCCCAGACAACGCCCGTGAAGCTCTTGAGCTTGAAGGAACCTTTCTGCCACTTGCGACATGGCTTGCCAGTCCGGTCAAGGGCCCTCAGACCAGCATTGATTGCACCTTGGTTCGCCTTGGGGCCGAGTCTGTGAGCCGCCGCAGTCGTATTCGATGCCCTTGGGGCGGTGCTGCTGTGATCGATAGTACCATCCTCCCTATGACAGAAATTAGTAAAATTGATAAACCAAACCGACAGTGGTAGGAGTCTCGGGCTCTGTAATAGTGATCGTGGGCAGAGCGATGAACGCAACGAGGATTTTCGAGGTTGTTGTCGAGAGACGGGGAGGTTGGTGTAATGCAGGGAGCGATGGAGATGTGTACTTACAATCTTGCCTTCTTCTTCGGACCAGGCTTGCCTCTGACCTTAGGAACTGCATCTGTGCCCAATGCGACTCCCGAGCTTCTCTTGACGCCCTTCTTCTTGACGCCTTCCGTCGGGGGTGGCATCGATGAGGGAACTGGTGTGCCGCTGGTAGTAGCAGGCGTATTCGAGGCCGACTCTGATGGGTTGTCCCCATGCGAACTCGCAGCAGCCGGGAGTGAATTCGAGGTGGTGGGCGAAGAGTCCTTCGATGGGACTTCCTCCTTTATGAGTGGTGCCGGACCGAATTTTGACAGAGCATCGGGCGACAGCTTTAACGTGACGATCAATGCCCCCTTGGACGATTTTCGTCGCGCGGTGGAGGTAGTCGATAGTTGCTTGACCGGAGCCATGGTGAGGGAGGATGCGATGAGGGAGAGGAGAGCGAGGGAGCTGAGGTGCCGGTCGCAGGTTGGGAGATTATTTGGCTTGCCTCAACGCCGCAACTCGTTACATCCGCAGCGTAGTAAGGGGCGAAATGGGAGAGGGCGCGTGTTGGTTATCCGAAGGAATACCGCGGGGTTTTGGGAGGTTGAAGTCGATGATAATTTATTGGGGATGGGGGGGGCGGTGTTGTTGGAGGGATGGAGGGTTGGCGTGAGAATCACGGTGGAAGGGGGGGAGGAAGGCTTTGAGCCCGGTGAGCGTAGGCCATTTTTTCCACTTGTACCGCGTGGGTTGACTTGCGCATCGATTTTCAGACAGACAAATTCTGGAGATCCAGGCCATGGTTGTATGGAGGTAAGGTCGCACCGGTCCCTCCGTACAAAGAGCGAGTGCTGGGCCAATCAGCGCGCGTGGCGTGGGCCCCTTGAGATGCCGCAAACAGCCCTCTTGGTTTCTATTGAAGAGCCTTGAAGCGCCTTGAACAACGAAGGTCCGCGGGTTTCTTGAGAGTCTGCCGCAATGCCGTCTCGCGCATCCAATGTCCAGAATATTGCATTATCATCTTGTGGTTGCGCGCCTCTTGGTGCGCTGGCAGTTCCTAGGCGTGGGTCTACAATCGAGAGGTTGGATCTACTAGAGACACCCCCCGCGAGCCTCGAGTCGTGTGCGCGCAATCAAACCACCTCACGTCATGCAGTACGGAATGTGTCCTTCATGGATGGCTGCTCCTTTCTCCTCGTGAAAAGAAGACACCGCAAAGGATGCCAACCATCTGTGAGGAAGCACAGTACACTTCTTGGGTGCTAGAGATTAGGTGCAGGAGGCTTCTATATCGGGGTATGGAGAATGGCTTTAGCAGTGGCTTTCACACGTCAGGATGGTTTTATTAGACCGTCCAATAAGGTAATGCGGAACGTAGAGGAATATTCCCAACTCTTCTGGTATCGGGTTCGAACTCCCTCTGTGAGGCCGACCTTTGCCATGGAAAGGGGCCTTTGATGCGAGAGGTCTTGGGTGATGACAGCAACAGCATGCCAAAGTATCCCGAATCTCAGTTCAAGGGACACGCTGTATTGTGTCGATCGATATGAGACACTATTGCATTCGCTCAAGTCTAGATATTGCTTCTGTCTCCCCTTTCTTTTTTGAGAGAGCCGATCGGTTGTTGAAAGCCGGCCGGGCGATTTCACCAATCCACCGACTGTACCTCACTTGATTTGGTGTCAGAACTACACCAGTGCACGTGAGATTATGCACCGCCACAGGGCCGTGGCGCTCCGCCGCGCTTCAGGTTTCAACATGGGAAACTCGCCCGGAAGCGTGACAACGAGCAGGCTCCCAGATAACCGCGAACAGGAAAGCTTCTTGTACTGGAACATCCTTGTGCTATCGCAATCTGTTCATCTCCTTGACCAACCTTCGAGAACTCTAGAAATTGAAGGTGAACGTCATGTCTACACCAGCGAAACCCACCGACACCCCGGTAAGCTTATACGTTCTCGCATTCATGCGCTCTCTCATTCTCGCTCTTGAAACAGCTGCTAATACCTTCTTCCCACCAGACAAAAGGCTCAAGCGGCGCCGAATCGCCCACGACTGCCAGACCTCTAGAGATGGACGACGATGACCTTCAAGAATCCAGTGTTCTGAGCGGTGATGCGCCTGCTGGAGCCAAGGCTGCCACTGTTGAAGAGGTTCCGCCGCCGAAGCCACCACGTCCTCTTAGTCCACAGCAGCAAGCCGAGAATACTCTCAAGGAAGCCTTCCCAAGCATTGATGCAGCTGTTGTTAAAGCAGTGTTGACGGCCAGTGGTGGTCGTATTGAGCCCGCTTTCAATGCTCTACTAGGTATTGAATCCGATTGTAAATACGCTTACTACACCTACTAATTCTGACTATAGGCATGACTGATCCTAATGCGAGAGAACCGACTCCCCCACCACGACCTCCTCGGCCAACTGCCCAGCCTGTTGGGTCCACCCCGCAATCTCAACTCGAGGCCGACGAACAATATGCCAGACAACTCGCTGAACACTATGGTGGTGGTGGATCTTACGGGCCTCGGAGTACCAGTAGGGGTAGCGGCAGCCAACGAAGTCGACAGCAAGCAGGCTTCAGGCAAAACCCAACGTACGAAGAGAACCACAGCTTCCTTGAGGACGACCTTCCAATCATCAAAGAGAACTTACGTAAAGGATTCCTTGAGACGCAGAGTAAAGTTAATGGATGGATCTCAAATCTGAAAAAGAAGATTGATGGTGAAGATGAGGATGATGATCCTCAACCGCAAGGTTACAGCGCTTCCTCCGCAAGAGCCCCATACCGTTCTCGCAGAAGCGGCGATGGAAGGGAGAGTGGAGATTACAATCGCTATGATGCGGATCCCCAAGTTCTCAGCGATGATTTTGCTGGCATTCAAATGAATGATGGCGGTAGGTTGTCTTCTCCTCGATCTCCCTACGAGGCCTAACAAGATTACTAGCTCCTCCTCGCCGGTCCACACGTCCACTCGCCAACCCCGACCTCTTCAAGCCAACCCCCGCGCCCCCAAGACCTTCCGAAGGTAGGAAAGTTTCCTTCCAAGGTGGTCCTCCGGAAGAAATCGATCTCTATCGTTCTTCGCCAAAGCTAGCCACAGAAAATGCGCCGCCATCAGGCAAGCAGAGTAAATGGCAACCCTTGTCGACCGTTGACCCCAGCCCGATCGGTGATGCCGATAATGATCCATTCAGTCTTGGCGATAGCGAGGATGAGAAAGAATCGAAAGACCGTGTCGGAGGAAAGGAGATCAGGATGGAGGATGCAGAGAGGCTTAAGAAGGCTGCCGCGGAAGCCCCAGCGGACAATAGTGGTGAACCAGCAGCGAAACCAGAGCCAGCCGAGACAAGCGGGACGAAGGATAAGGTTGCGGAGGAGTTGACGAAGTCCTGAAATGCTCGCGGAGGCATTGCCGGTGATGAATGCCGAAATTGTTATTAGCCAATGAATTTTGCTCTACCCATAGTTGTTGAATGATATCCCGAATGATTGTTGTATTTGCTCCAAACGGGTGAATAGATAGGTATGTAGATGTGATAGCCACTCTTGAATCTTGAGGTTGCAGACAGTCAAAGAGGGCCAGCCAGCCTTACTCTCGATATCGGCAGCCTCCGACGCTCAGCCTTGCGTCGTGCCTCGGCCCCTCTAAGGCCATTGCGGCCGGGCAGCCCACGTGGGGGATCTGATTGGGTGAGGTTGGCCAGAAGGGTCAGCAAATGGCGGCCTCTGAATGGCCCGTTTTGCGACGCGATCCGATAACGACAACGTCGCAAGGGTCGCCGCCTGTCAGCCCCGCGGTCTGCGCAAAGGCAAAGAATACCTTCAAGCGGAGTGTATATAGGGTTCGCAGCAAGTATTGCCCCCTTCCTCCGAGAACTGGCGCTCGCGGTTGATGTGCCCCATTGGACACTGGTCCCGCCAAGTCCTGGTGCAGCTCCAGCTCTGCGTGCCCCTCACTAGTCCCTTCTTGGTCTGATGCGTCTTCTCCTTCGACCCACGGCCATCTCAACTCCAACACACTGTACCTCCGTCCTTCTTCCCCCTCCAGAGATGCACCTCTGACTGACCCATTCAGTGGCCTCTTGGTTTGGTTTGCGCAGCATCCGCACAGAGAGACATCGTTCTTCTTTGCTCCCGGCGTCCTTCTTCCTCCTGCGAGAGTAGCTTCTGCATCTCTCCCACCCGTATCCGTCCATCCATCGTTCACTGGGCCTGCACGTGCATCCCCGCGGCACTGCTCTCTGCAGCTTTCACAGCAAGGTATAGCACAGTCAGTGTACAGGGTCCTCGTCGTCAACCCCTCCAACTCTCTGATATCACACATCCCACATCCTATATCACACATCACACAGTCCGACGTCATCTCACCCCTCTATATCAGCGCCCGTCTTATCTGTAGCTATGGACTGCTGCATGTGACCGGGCTCACGTCGAAGATACTGTGTCTTGAAATACCTGCCTCCCCTCTCGAGTCTCGTAGCACGCTCCAAGCCCCCCAGGGCTCTGCGGGTGCCAACACCGCATTATGTACGTTAATCCGCCCCCTCCACCCCCCTTGATCCCTTGCGGAAAAACGCATCAGGTCCCGTTTCTGTTCCTCAACGGCGCTTGAGCTGACTCGTACTGCGCGTTTAGGAAGTTTGGCAAGCAGATTCAGAAACGCCAGCTCGAAGTCCCTGAATATGCGGCGAGTTTCGTCAACTACAAAGCTTTGAAGAAGGTGCGTTAATGCCGTGCCTATCCTATAGAAAAGCAATGGAACGGGGCAGCCCCCAGGCTATTAGGGCCAAGGGTTCGTCCGCGTACACTAATACTGTGGCAGCTCATCAAAAAGCTCTCGGCGACACCTACTCTCCTCGCCCAAAATGATGTTCACCGCCTCTTACCAGTTGTTGATTCCCAGTCAGCCTTACAAGCGAACAAGGCCACATTCTTCTTCCAATTGGTAGGTCACTATCGCTTCGATATCATGCGCGAAGCGTCTTGCTAACGAGTCAACAGGAACGAGAGCTCGAAAAAGTCAATGCCTTCTACCTCCAGAAAGAGGCCGAGGTGTGTTCTATTCGTCCCCGTTATACTTTTACCATGGTGGCTGATGTGATGTAGCTCAAAATCCGACTGAAGACCTTGCTTGACAAGAAGAAAGTCCTCCAGTCTCGCAACCAAAGCACGTCTCGACGGTCTGCCAAATTTACGACTTTAGAAGAAGGCTTTCAGCAATTTGGCAACGATCTCAACAAGCTTCAGCAATTTGTTGAAATTAATGGAACGGCTTTCTCCAAGATTCTCAAGAAATGGGACAAGACATCGAAGTCCAAAACCAAGGAACTCTATCTCTCCAGGGCCGTGGAGGTGCAACCATTTTTCAATGCGACTGTCATCAGCGAATTATCCGATCAGGCAACCACTAGCTTGCAAGAGCTTGGTGCTTGGTCAGAGGGCGACCATGTGAACTTCGAAAGGAATCCCGAACACATCGTGAGCAGCCAGCGTCTACTTGGTACTGACGAGGGTGATGCGGACACCTTGCTTCTTGATGCTGTGATTTCAGGTAACCTCGAATCTCTGAAGGACCTTCTCCTACGTTTGAAGACTGCCGCAGATCCAGATGGTACCCGCGACGTAGCGTTGTTGGAGAGAATTACCAGAACTTTCCTTGCAGCAATCAACGAAGGGCCAGAACCGTCATTACAACTACTTTTAGACACTGGGCTCGTAGATATTCAATCAGAGGACGATATCAATGAGCGAAACTGCCTCCACCAGGCCACCATTTATGGCAACTCTTTCGTCTTAGGTGTTGGGATTTCGAAAGGGGTTTCTGTTAGCCGAACGGATGTGTATGGACGAGTGCCATTACATTATGCATGTATGCATGGTCGTCTTGATATGATGGAAGCGTTGCTCAATGGTATGTCTATAGCCCGTCTTCTTCTGCTATGTGTGGGAACTAAAAATCCTGAAGCCGACCATTCTACTATCGACTTAATCGACCATGATAACTTCACCCCCTTGATTCATGCTATTATACACGGACACATCGAATGCGCTCAACGACTACTTGACCGATCTGCTCGGATTGATCCTATATCCGATGCCGACCATGTGCCATTGAATTTAGCCTGCGAACATGGCTCCGTGGCTATTGTTGAACTACTTCTGAAACACGGTGCCAGGATTTTACCCGATGCCGAAGGCCTATATCCTCAACACCTTGTTGCTCGCTCAGGTCAAACGCCCCAACTGCTTCTTCTACTTAGGGATTATGGAGCAGACCTTGACCAGATCGACAAGCTTTACTCTTGGACGCCACTTTTCCATGCTGCAAGTGAAGGAAATGTGCCATGCATGCAGACACTTCTGGATGTTGGTGTCAAACCCGACATTTTGGACGAGAAAGGCCTTTCTGCCATGTATTATGCAGCGTGGGAGGGCCATCTCGAATGCATGAGATTGCTTTCATCAATACCCTCGACCACAGAAGATCGAAGGGTTTTGCAGAGTGGTCAACTTCAGCCTATGTCAGGAAGCAGTCTACCTGTACCAATGAGCATCGACGCCGATGGTATTCCTGAGCTCGAGCTACCACCTCCAATCATTCCTTTACGACGATACGGCCACAATTTCCTCGACACAAAGACTTTCGTACAGATAAGCTTTGAAGACATTGGTGAACAGCCCATGGTCTTTTTCCACGATAGTAAATACCCGGCCGCACGTCTCACTATATCTTCAAAACTGTCCGATTTAATTCCAAAGAATATTCTACTCCCCTTCCAGGAAGATACCCGGCTTGTTTCATTCCAGATTGACAACCTAGACTCCTTCGCCATCGATTTTGACGTCTTTCCCACATACGGTGCGAAGGTGATCGCGAAGACTGTCGCATTGCCTAGTACATTCAGAGCATTGTTGAGTAGCTCTGGTCGGTGTTGCTTGCCCCTTTTTGATCCACGGCTCAGAGCCATCGGGCAAATCACTTTTAATTTCCAGGTAATCAAACCTTTCCAAGGAAAGCCCTTGGAAATTACCGATTTTGAAACATACTGGAAAGCAACAAGTCAGTTTGATCATAGGCCAAGCGCTTTCATAACTGGCTCCAGTCTATCGGGAGATTATGTGCAGCTCTTTGTACAGCACACATGTGATGGAGTTCCTGTTCTTTGGCCAACGTGGACCATAAATTACATGGACATCGAGTTCCCGGTTAGCCGCCTGACATATGACCAGTTTATCAGCGCGGGCTGTCGTCAAGCCAGCAAGAAGGGCGATCTTTCAGCGCTTCCGAATCTACCATTAGAAAGCATTGCCGATGTCCACCGCATACTTTCGAACTCAGCTATATCCCTCAAAGACGCGCTTGCCCTCCTACCCCAAGGTATGCATATTAATCTTCAGATCCTCTATCCATCTGCAGAGGAGGAGAAAACTCTACGTCTTGGACCAACGATGAATATCAATACGTTTGGAGATGCCATTCTAAACGTCGTCTTTGACCACGCGAGGAGCATAAGAGAGCGGTCACCAGATTCAACACCATCAATCGTTTTCAGCTCTTATAATCCTACTGTTTGCACGGCACTAAATTGGAAGCAGCCTAATTATCCAATTTTCTTGTGTAATGATCTTGGCTGTGAGGGCAAAGCAGCAGGTTCGCCAGCGGTCCCAAGCAGTGGAAGGAGGACAACGTCTATCAAGGAAGCAGTGAGGACTGCACAAAACAATAATTTCATGGGTTTGATATGCTGTTCACGGCTCTTGGTAAGTTGTCTTCAATCTTACAAATAAACAGACGAATTGACAATTTATAGGATATGGTACCTGCTTTGATAGAAGCAATCAAGGCGCAAGGACTTGTACTAGTTATCGACAACTCGGCTGAGCCAAAGGTAGAAAGGGACATACTCGCTGATCCATTCCCTAGACTTCCAGAGGGCGTTGATGGAGTTTTGAAAGCAAACGGTGTTTTGAGATTCAATGAAAGCATTGATATGTAGAGCAAAGATTAAAAATTATCTGCAAGATAGGACACAGACACTGAAGCAAATTTGGACAGTGGTTCTCATGGCTATCTCCTATTGTGTCTGTTCATCAATGTAGATCGTGATATTCCTACAGGGCTTTCCCATGCTCTCTAAAATCAACAAGCATAAAAGACAGAAGCAAGCCTAGGCCCCCTTGAACTCATATCTCAGAGACCCCAACTCGGCCTCCGGATCGACGCTGCCCATAACCACCTTCGCCAGCAGAACAACAGCATAGACGGCCGCCGGCAACCATCCGAACCCCCACCAAGCCAACTCCTTACCCCTAGACACCAACCCCAGGATGCCCAGAACGGCACTGAGCACCAGATTCAAAGACGGTAGGTAGCGCTCAATGGGTCCCTGTCCCCCATCATCCCGGGCCTCGTGCACGGATCGAGAGGGAGATCTCGCGGCCGGTGCATTCAAGCTGTCGAGGAGAGGAATGGAGGTCCGTCCAGGGGGCAGGATATATAAGAGGTAGGCGGTTGAGAGTAAGGAGGAGATGCTGAGGAGGGAGAGGAAGGAGGTGCGTGTGGCGAGCAGGGTAGGGATGTAGGGGACTATGCTGAGCAGCGGGAGGGCGAGGAGCAGGCGTGCATACTGGGTATTCCGAAGTGTGTTCTCGAGGTGAAGGGTGCGGATCAGGGTCTCTTGTTCTGTGAAAACGTAAGTAAGGTAAGCAAGGTAAGGTAGATTCCTACTTAGCCTGGGGAAGACGAGAGGAAGGAAGACGTGGGGTGAGGCGGGGAATTGTTATGTATGTATGCCTATACTTCCATGGGGAGTTTTCTGTACCTTCTTCATCCAAGGCTTCGGGGAGACCATCATCAGAGTCATCGTCTGTAGGGTATCGAAAGGTTTTCCTCAACCTGGCGCTTGTCTGTTCCATCTTGATATGCGCGTGGTGGGTTTTGAGAAAGTCGCGTTCCTACAAGCTCGCCAAATGCAAACAGCGCAAACACAAGCCCTATAGGAAAGATTTCTCCCGGCGAGCGGTCACTCTGGTCGAACGCTCAACAGCGGGTAACGCAATGCTTCCACGATTGCTGCGGTCGAGAGCTCTGCCTAGGATAGGCAATGTTAATGGGCGGAGCCTGGTATCCAGGCGGACTCTGATCGCCGCTCCAAAGCCGGGACAGGGTCCGTTGATGGAGAGAAGAGCTGATCGAGAGCTGCCCGGTACGTAGTAGCAATGCCATCTGATTGATCTTCCACGCCTCGATTTTCTAACTCGACGCCTAGATGTCTCGCAGGGTGGCATGCGATGGGTGCGCACCGTCCCCATCTTCCTCGCGGTCCTCATCTCTTCCACTCTCGCCATCTTCAACTATCAGAAGTCCTCCAGCTCCGTCGTCTCGTCCACCATGTACGCCCTGCGCACATCCCCCAAAGCGCGGGAGTACCTGGGCGACGAGATCTACTTCGCTCATAAGATGCCGTGGATCTGGGGAGAGATGAACCAACTTCAAGGCAGGATTGACATCCAGTTCAAGGTCAAGGGCACCAAGAGATCTGCTTGGATGCGGTTCAAGAGTCACAGACCTACCAGGATGGGAATGTTTGAGACGAGCGAGTGGAGTTTGGAGATGGAGAATGGGGAGAAGCTTGATTTGTTGGATGGGGAGGATCCGTTCCATGGCATTGAGGCGGATGATGATGAGCCCAAGGTTGTCGGACGAGGATCGTATGCTCCTAACCTTGCTCGCTGATTCAGACCAAGATGTGTAATGGTACGGAAGGGAAGGCATTGTTGAGACGGATGGTATTGGAATGGCGTAATAAGGAATTCATCTCTCTCAAAACGCTTGTAGTATATACGAAATCTATTGTACAAATATTACTGTACAGCTCTTCCCTACGCCGTGGCCTCCAATTTTTCCTTAACCCCCTCAACCGCTCCTGGAACGACCGGCCATGGCTTCATTATCGCGTCCTGGATCTTAACAACGCATCCCTTTGGTCCAGCGATAGAACCATTCAGAATCACCAGGCCTTTCTCCTTATCCACCTTCAACACCTTTGCATTCTGAACCGTAACCTGCTCTCCTCCCATCCGACCAGGCATCTTCTTGCCTGGGTGAACCCTGGAACCACTTCCTTGCGAAGCACCAGAGGAACCCATCGCTCGATGTGTCTTCGAGTTACCGTGCGAAGCCGGCTGACCTTTGAATCCCCATCTCTTCATACCACCCGCGAATCCCATTCCCCTAGAATTCGCCCTCGCATCCACAAACTGCCCTTCGAGGAACCATTCCGGCCCAATGGATTGTCCAACCTGCGGCAATCCGCTCTCGTCCTTCACCCTGAACTCTGCCAGATATCTCTTCGGGCTAACCCCAGCGCCAGTGAAGTGCCCCAGGAGTGGCCTCGTAACATTGCTCGAGTGCTTCCATCCACTTCCAATCTGCACCGCGAAGTATCCGTGTTTCTCCCGTGTCTTGTGCGCAACGACTTGTACTCGGTCGAGTTGGAGGACGGTACAGGGGGTTCGTATCCCCGTCTCTGGATCATAGAGGGCGGTCATCCCTTTCTTGATAGCTAGGGCACCTGTCCGTAAGGGTAATGTATAGTCCTTTCGTGCGAGAGCTGCGGCAGGGGATTGTGAGAGGGTTGGGAGGCCCGCAGTCTTCTGGTTGAACCGCGCGGGCTTCCCTCGTGCAGGCGCCGTCGTCCATCCATATTTGACACCACGCTTGGTGATCAACGGGAGGAATGCATCTGGGAGAAGGAAGGTCGGCGGCGAGTGTACCCAGCCTGTTGGCAGCTTTGGTGCCATGGTGCTTAGGCTTGGTCGATACAGGGAGCTTCAATTGAAAGTTGAAGTTGATTTCTTTCACGTCGCTAGAGCGGCCGAAAGAGACCAATGTAGCGGTCAATATCAAAACCTCGGGTCGACTAAAAATGCGCAACCAGTCACGCACACACATTATGGAAATTTTGATGGATTGTCATCATGGTTTATTATTTTACCTCCAACACGGTGTCGCCGGCCGCATTCATTTATGTCGGTAAAGACAAGGTAGAAAGTAGGGAGATTAATCTCGTTGCAACTGTGAAAAGACTGACCGAGCGCCTTAGATGAGGAGCTTATTAAGTTTGGATGGGAAGAAGATGTGTGGTTCCACGTCGACAAGCTTTCTAGTGCCCATATCTATCTTCGGATGAATGAGGGCGACTCCTGGGAGGCTATTCCTGAGCCGCTTTTGGTGGATCTAGGGCAGCTTACAAAAGCGAATTCTATAGAAGGTTGAGAAAAAGACGCAACAATGATGATGTGATACTGAGTTTCCATAGGGAACAAGAAGGACAATGTTACGGTCATTTACACTCCATGGTCGAACCTCAAAAAGGACGGCAGTATGGCTGTAGGGCAGGTCAGTATTCGAGAAAATCCCTGGGCTTGTTCTAACTCTCATTCTTATTAAATCAAGAAGTATTTCTGCTGCTAACTCCATTGATAATAGGTTTCTTTTAAAGATCCCAAAAAGGTGTGTCACATGTCGTTGGCTTCACCGGGGGCTGATGCTAAAGGGGTGAGTTTAGGTTAAGAGAATCCTCGTTCCTCAAAGGGAGAACCCAATTGTCAATCGCCTCAACAAGACAAGGGTAGAAAAGTTCCCGGATCTGTATACGGAGAGAGAGGAGAAATTAAAGGCTATGCGAAAGAGGGATCATGCCGCAAAGTTGGAACGTGTAAGTTTGCTGCTAGGACATCATTCATAGATACTAACTTCACCGCAGAAAAAGGAAGAGGCAAGAATTGCACAGGAAAGGAAAGAGAAGAAATGGCAGAAAGATCACGCGTATGATGAACTTTTCCAAGGGCCTGATCTGGAAGAGGCGAATAATCAGAATAGAGGTGAAGATTGGGAGGATGACTTCATGTAACCTTGTCTAGAAGCATTTCTACCTCCTTTAATTACCTGAGACCGTATTTATCTTTCGAATGCATTCCTAGACCCCTTGAATGGATACTGGACTGACTTTCGTGAGTATTGTAATCATTGTAGCTGCTGGCGAGCTAAGCCTTTGTAAAGAATCTGGTCTTTCGGGTTAGAAAGATATAACCAGCGAGAAAGTGTAGTGATGGGGAGAGACTTGCTATCTTGACTATCTATGCACCTACTACTTTTCCACATGACCTTTGTCCTGATGCGAGCAAAGTGGATTGGTAGAATGCGATGTGAGCAAAGTGACCTTGTAAAATCCCGTCACTTCAGTCTCATGATTACTCTGTTCAGCATCCTTCAAACTGAGGTATCTTGCTCAATGTCCACTACCAAGATGACTCCCCATCTGATTTACCGCAGTTCCCTTAAGAGCATGATCGTTCGGGTTTGCCGCTGCCTCGTATAATATATTTGTGGGCGCTCTACCAAGCTGCATCCAGTCTCCCTTGAATCCCAGGTAGCTGATCCTTGTCACGTCATCCCCGTAATTATCTTCCACAAAGAGCGTGAGGTTCTGAACCTTCCCAAACAGGGCCCTCTTGACCGGTATGTCCTGGACCTCCGAGGTCTGGGATAGTTGGAATTCTTGCGTCGGCGCAAGGTCGCTCGCTACAGAGAAGTCGATATCGTTGCGATTGATGAAGACCTTGAGTGTTTGCGGGGCCGAAGACGAATTCGAGGTTCGTATCAATATCGAGTGAAGCTTAACTTGGCCTGTGAAGCTGTGTGGCACACCAACGTTAGCAAAGCGCAGCGCATATGGAGTAGAATGGACGAACGGAATTCGTATCAGCAATTGCTCATCAACGTCGCTCTCAAGCTCCGGTTGCTCTTCTAAACGGTCTGCCCATGTTTTCTTGACAATCGCTTTGCCTGAGTCTGTCTCAGACTCATTCAGTGTGGTTATGTCGTCGAAGTTGATATGTTGATATAGAGAATACTGCAAGGCCGGAGTTATATCGTCGGAGTGGTCATGGCCATCACCGTGAGAGTGGGAATGACCCGAATGATCATGTTCATCGTGACAGTGGCCAGACATATTTTTATGTGCTGAAGTGTCAATTTAGTACAGTACCGTACATTACCTATTATGTTGTGTTTGCCACTGCAGGCGGGTTGGTACCTTCAATTGCGGGGTTCACGAGATAGGCGGATCGCAAAGGTTAAGTCTCCAGGTACTTCAACGCAAACCTACAATCCGTTTTCTTCACATTACACATGGTGGAAAACAAGAGCTGCAGAGATTGAAATGGTGCTATCTGTAGTTTATTAAGTTAAGAGTCTCCAGCTCTCGGAACTTCAGTCGATCTCCTGCAGATCAACTAGGTGGGCAAGAGTAGGTAGTGTTGGATGACTAGTTATTCAAGTTATTGTAGCTACTAAATACAATGTAAATATTAAAATATTCTCAAAATCCCGCAGCTCTACGATTCGCCCGTTTCTTCTTGACCGTCTGAGCAGATCTACTCCCGAAGACGCCCCTGTCTGGTTGTGTCATTGGAATATCATCAACCGTCTGAGAGCTTGGGGCGGGTTGAGCAAGTACAGGCTGACTACCAAAGGGTGTAGGAGTCGATTCAGCTTTGGCTTGGGAATTGTTGGTCCTTTCTCGGTCCAGGAGCCTCTCGGTTTTTCTGCGACGTCGAGCTTCTTCTTTCCGTCTGCGAAAATCGATATTTTCCCCCTTGTCTCCCATTGCACGCCACGAATATTGAGCAGGATCAGCTCCAGGCGAGGAAGGCCACTGGGCAAGCAATGCAGATTTGCCCAGATCTGGTTGGGATACTATGGAAACAGCATATTGTCGTAATCGTGAGATTATTGGGTCTTCTGTAGGTTCTGGAGTTTCGGTTGACTTGTATGAGTATAAAGATGGGGTCCGGGAAGGTGTAGGTAGACCAAATCCTGCTTCTAGTGAGGCATTCGTGGCCTGGGAAGACATGAAAGGGGGAGAATCTTCGCGCGATTCATCGTCGAGGTTATTCTGCGGGGCCCCATCAATCCCACTACTTATTTGACCAGGTAGCTCTGCTATTTGAGCCGACTTATTGCACAAGGAAGCTGCAATAGAGCTCAAGTACAACTCAACAGCAATTTTACGTGCGACTTTGAATTTCCATCGCCTCGCCAAATTCGGGACCTTTAGGGGTAGACTCGCCATCCAAAGGTCACCAACTTGATCATAGATCTTGAGCAGGTCAGGAAAAAGTGAGTCCTGGGTAATTGGAAAGCCCATGCCAGGACATGATGTCAAGTCGGATAAGATCAAGCTGGAAGGTGCATCAGGATCCTGATCTACTTGGAGAGAGTTTAAAAAGTCGTCCAGTATCGGAGCCGCCCGCTCAAGATCTTCCGAAAAGCTTGAGAAGTTAGAAAGCTCGAAGCTGTCGATATTCCGAATCAGTACGGTACTTAATTGAAAGGCTGGCGCTCTTGAACCTACAATGAGCTCATTGCAAGTGTGTCTCCCTCCATCTTCTGCTTTATGAAATCTGACACATGTTCAACAAGATCGGACACAGTCTCGAATGATTCTGATACACCAATTTCCGCCGGATTGCCAGGACTAGCATCCATAAATACCTGTTGAAAAATCCCACGCCAATTGATTCTGAATCTTAGATCATCTTGCATTTTCTCCTTCCCCGAAAACCGCTGATCAAGCCGTGACATGGCCGCTGGAAGGCGATCGAGTTCTTCGTCATCGACGAGGCTGTCCGGAACGATGAAAGAGTCAACTACGACCTGTCCATCCATTACAGTGCGTCGCCGAAGAGAAATCCTTGCTGTCGGCGCTGTTATAAGGAGTCTCGGAAGAGAGGCATTTCTTGTGGACCCAGTGTATATGGCACAAAGTGTTGTGCTCAGCCCAAGATTTGAGGTTAGAGCCCATACCTGGTAAAATTTGACATCTCGCTCAACGAACTGCCACTCTGGCCCCGGAATCCGGCTGGAATTAGATGTGAGAGGCGCAGGGAAGAAGCAGAGTGTATGTAGCATTTCATCGTTTAGAGCTTGACCGTCCAAGCTCGTGGAGAGGGAGAAGGATCCTCGAGAAGAAGTTGGACTACCAGCATCGTCCGAAGTCAATGAAAATGTGTAGAAGTTAACAAGTAAACTTTTCCCTGAGGATATGAGGACAGAAACTATTATAATCAGCAAAGTTCTACTCTGATTTGTCAAATACCTACTATCCCCATCTTTTAGAGTTGTAAGACTCATTGTTTCATCATTGGCATCACGAAAATGACGGTAAGATAGTATCACTCGAATCCCAGAGCCATGACCATCTTTATCCTCTCCAGATGTAATAACTTCCACCCAGAAAATCCGAGATGTTGTCAACACGTACAAATGACTTGGATTCTTAGGACTGCGCTTAATATCAAGTATCCAATCGGTATTTCTTCTAGCTGGTAGAAGTTCAGGACTCTTTAGACGAGTTGGCGTTGTCCTCACATCAAATACAGCAATATGACGTCTGTTGCAGACAACGATAGTGCTGACATTTGTGGCCCACAGAACACGATGCCAGCCATCTGCATTGTCAGTGCCCTTCAGACGTGAAGGTGGCACATAGTCGTCGTATATCCCTCCACTTTTTCCTGGGACTAGCTCTGCAGTAGAGCGTTTGCGCAGCCGGCCTTCGATGTCCCATATGCTCCAGCGACCTAGGTCATCCACGACAGCGAATTGCCGGGAATAAAATGGATTGAAAGACAAATCAACATGCCGTCTTGATCCACATCTCTCGGCTGTCAAGGCAGTTATAGGGTTGGCACTAAGACGCGAGGGGGGATATTGCTTCGCATATCCACTTGGTATCACAGCTGGGACAGGTTGTCTATGATACGTAGGGCGGAAAATTGTGATGACAGAAGCTTGTCGAACGGCGAGCAAGGTGCTCGATACATTTTGTTCATCAGCGAAGGCAATCTGCTGGATTCTTCCTCCAATTCCAACCCAGTGTCCAAGGTCCGACGATGCTGCATCCATGAGAGAAAGGCTCACTGCGCTTTGCTTTCCCCATCCATAGTTGGCGACCCGAGGTCTAATCAATCGAAGAACATGGCCGGCTTCGCCATTCGCAATTGCAATGATAGGATCTGTTCGATATCTAGGCTGGTGGTCAACATCAACTGCACCTCCAATAGCCAATAATTGCCCAAATACAGGAGGGCGATCTCGTCGAGTGGCAGAGGGAGCCTTAGCAAAAACGGAAGCAATATCATTTGCAGGAAAGGCTTCCGGTCGAGATTTCGCAAGCCATCTCATCTGTGAGCGAGCGGAGTTGGGCGAGTTCTGCTTGCTCGTCGGGACGTTTTGGACTGGCGGGGGAATGCTTTGCTTGAAAGGAACGACTTGTTCAAATATTTGATCTAATAGAATTTTAAGTAAATATTTCTCGAGCAATACGCATGCACACACACAATAACTTACTCTGAGAGGGGTCCAAAGAAAAGGACCACTGCCTTTCGTCAATATCATAGGATGCGTCTCCAAGATAACCATAAGAAAGGTCAGTGGCTCTATGGCCAACCACTCTGCGGTCGGCCGCTTTATGGTCAGCCATCTGGGATTGGTCGAGGTAGTCTTAGTGAGTATCCTTTCCAAATCATGGCGATATATAAGCTATGCCCAATCAATCGGGGTATAAAGCTGTGAGAGTAACTGCGCAAGAGTACCCCCCGTGATGGGCAGCAATGCATCTTCGACGGCGAGGTGAAGAAAGTAAGTATAAGTCGTCAATCTAGCCTCGTTTAGTCATGCCCCACCACGTTTCCTTGACAACGGGAGTCAATGTTTCCTTTCGCGGAACCATCACAAGACACACCACAAGAAACGCCAATCGATGAATTAGATCCCTTCAACTTGCTTTCAACTCCCACCAGATACTGGAACTTGCCATTATGTCTACAGCATTTGAGCCATCGCTTTCGACGAGCACCATGCGCCCTCCGCTTTCCTCTGCCTACGCGCCATCTATGGCGGACTCGCTCCCCAGTATCAATTTCGGATTTGATGAGCTCCGCGATAGGATGGCCAAGTTCACTGTGAAATTCGACAATTTTATAGAGCAAGGACGGAAGCGTGTTTTGGAGGAGAGGAATCAGTTTCGCATGAATGTCGCTGAACTTCAGGGTAAATTCGCAAACATGCCTTGTATTATACTTATACTGACTCGACGCCAGAGGATCAACGAATGAAGAAGAAGGACATCGAGATTCTATCCTTGAAAGCCAGTACGCACCAGCAGACGCTTGCGAAGGAAGCCGCCGAGACGAATGAAATGAAATCAGCCATCGCTTCTTTGACATCGCAACGGGATGCGCACCTAGCGACTCGAGAAGAGCTCAAGAAACAAATTGCGGAAACTCAAAAGCAAATTGACGCACGGCTGGCCGCCCAACGGGCCCATGCTCAGCATATTGACTCCCAGTCGCGTTTCAATATTCCCGAGCTTGACTTTTGGACTTCAACGCTGGGTCTCACAGTTGAAGGAGCCGGACTGAATGACCGATTGAAATTCATCTTCACGCATATCGATGACCGGGACTGGACTAGGGAAGCTTGGTTTGAATTGAACACATCTAGGAGGGATTATGAAATCCCGTATTGCAAACCCAAGCTGGAGAAAGAACAAATCGAACGTATCGTAGACCAGCTGAACGAGACCAGAGACTTGCGGCTCTTGTTGAAGGGCATGAGGGAGCTATTTGTCGAGGCAATGAAGGGATGAACTGAGGCTACTGGGTATGAAGAATCCGTGGCGTTCTAGGTTAGGACAGAGTAATGATGTGTGTCAACGGGACGGCGTTTTGTGCGTATTATACTGTCGCGGACTCGGCGTTTTGATAATCGTTCTCAATCAAAGATAATGTAACTCATTGTCCCTTTAAATAAATCATTCAGTCTAGGTTGTGATAAGCGCAATATCAATCATTATTTGAGTTGGCATATTCGGAAAGCTACCTACCTAGCTTAGGTATCGAACCCTCCACTAGAACAGATTTAACGATGCGGAGATATGCCTCGACCTTCTAGAATCCATTCGGAAATGTTGAACACCTAGCGCACTAGATAAGTTCCCACAGAATCAAGTACGACTCTCCATCATTTTGGTGGGTAGACTGGAGCTCAAATAGATCACGTGGTCATAGAGAACCCCTACATTAAGGTAAGATAACTACCTAGGTACCTTAGCTACCATGTAAGCATGGATTGAGATGCACAGGCATTTATTCCAGAAAACAGCCCAATTACCCTCGAGATGCTACAGACTCTGGAACAAAGAGGTAATTTATGAGAAGACTGACTGAAACATATGATCAAGGGCGCGTTGTCTGGTAGGCAGCGATATAAATGCGGGGCTTGGTGTTGAGAGAACCGAGTTGGGCGACGCGAGAGTCGCGCCCGACCTCAATCGTTTAGCAGACTCGCGACTCAACGCAGGTCTTTACCACCAGCGCCAACAAGATGCCTCCAGAAACCGATTCGAGACAGGATAAACAAGCCAATGCTGCTCAAGCACGGCAAGTTATTGATATCTTCCACGAAATTTCCACCCTCCTGGTTAAACTGCTCTTGCTCGTCCACGTCTATCCTATCTAACATCTTCCAGAACGCAGATCTTGACCGGCAAACTCTGTCTATCTGCATATCCCTGATAGAAAACGGCGTCAATCCGGAGGCACTCGCAGTAAGTCGTCTATGATGCTGGATTTGGACATGTTGCTGATGCTCGTCAAGTCTGTTATCAGAGAGCTCAAGAAGGACGCTGATGAGGCGCGCAGAGAGTCCCAGTCCGGAAGTCATGGATGAGTCTGGAGGCGTACCGTGGTATGAGTGTAACTGCATGTAATTATCGATTTTGGGCGTTAATACCAGGGCAACAGCTATGGCAGCGAAGAAATTACGAAGCTTCTTTTGGCAAAAGTTGGGATACCAAAGCATGCCGGATGTGATTGCAAGGCGTATTGTATAGTGTTCGGACCAGTTCTCGATATGTCACAGTTACGGATTAATGAAGTACATTTATTGATTTTGACTTCCCAAAGGTGAAGACAGTTGAAGTTTGTGGTCTAGAAAATTCATATTGGAATGAGTCCTTACACTATTTTGTGGATACGGCTCAAGCATAACTATGGGTATCCAGCCTCTCCGTATCCACCATCCAAAACTCCCCAATCATACAAGTACAGCCAACTACCATCATTATATTTCGTATGCATGTGTGAAAACGCCGAACCGTGCGCCTGAACCCTCTTCCAAGACCTTGCACGTATCAGCGATGACCGAGTAATTCAAACTCATCCTCATCCTCTCCTTCATCATCACAATCATCTACAGCAGATGCGGAATCGTCCTCGGAATCCTCGTTATCTTCCAGATCCTCTTCAATATTCTCGGCTGAAGTAGAACTTCGAATTTCATCCCTCCCCCAAAAATCAAGTTCATCATCCTCACCTCCCGAGTCATCGGTTTCACCTCCTAAGATGGCCATAGCATTGTCGAAAAATCCCGCGCCGCGAGCTGGAGACACTGATCTTGCCATACGCTGTAAGCTACTAGAAATTTCTGACGAGACTGCTGGAGTAGTCGCGTGCAAGGAGTGCCTCCTGGAGCGTGTTGGCACAGGTGCGAGATGTGTTGAGGACGTGCTTTCTCCTGCTGCTTGGCCAAGGGCAGCTCGACTTTCGGTTTCTCTATTCTCAATGGGAGGGACCGCCACAGCAGGATCGCTCAAAATTGAAAGTTGGACTGTGTTGTACGAATCGCAGATAGCACATTTGAGTCCGAGCCAATGGTATTTAACAGCACTTTTGGCGTAGCAGTCGTTGCAGGAGACCATTGCCTTTGTGTCGCGAAACTGAGGGGGCATTGGCTGATTGTCAATCGCCCTATCCAAATTGCGGAACTGGGTAGCCATATTGACGGTACTCTTACTACATATTGGACATTTGTAAGAGGTCTTCATATGCTCATAATAGCAAGCTTGATGAATGCTATGACCACAAAGCATGAAGACAACAGGACGAGGAGACGTGAACATGTATTCTCCGCAAATCGGGCAATCGCAATCGGAGACTCGTTCTATACATTTATGTGAACGCTCCACGGACATGGACATGCAAACACCACAAGTCTATTTGGTTGGTCAGCTTGATCAAGGTCTCTGAGAAGTAGACTGACCTTGCAATGGAAGAAGTCCTTTCCAAGTCCACGACCCTTCCTACAAATTCCACAATCATTGCAGTGATATATGTTTTTGTTAGGGTCGTTGTCCCATAACTTGCAAACATTGCAATAATACCACGCTGTTCTTTCGCCACATTCAGCACAGAACTCTCCAGCAGGCTGCGCATAACCACAAATCATGCATAGCATATTTTTTGTAGCATGTCGAATGAGAATATGATCTTCAACCTCATCATGACACATTCGACAGGTGTACCATCGGTCACACGTTGAACATTGTAGCTTCACGTTTCGTTTGTAGTGTTGACATCCAAGCACTTGGACTTCTTCCATGGGCTGAATGATCCCGTCTTCGTCGGCCTCTGGGGGATCCAATGGGGCATAAGTACGTTTCAGATCATCTACAGAGAGATGAAACGTGTGTTGTTGATTGGAAGGAGGACCATCGGAACCACCATTGATCTGCCACAGGAAAGAACTTAGAGGTCCAGACGTACTAGGCCGCTCCTGACTGATCATACCCGTAGGTGAGGGGGCTCGTGGTTGGCTTTTGGCATGAAGGGCTTCCTGGGACCCATAGTACCCTTGTGTCATAAGCTCATGCATCATCCGCGCCTTCTGCTCTGCTGGGACCTCCATGGCTTGAATCCGGATGATCTGTTGCCGCAGAGCACTCATCCCATCATCGGCAGGCAATGAATTATTCCTACACCGACTGGCTGGAACAGATTGTGATGATTCCTGCGTCGCACGCCGAGATGGACCTTCTGCAGGACTCATTCTGCTTAATGAGTCGCTCAGACCAAACGATGAATTGTCCGAGACGTCGGTATCAATATGTCCAGGGTCAGACAGTAGAGTGTTTAGAGGCGGTGGTATCAGATTTGAATTTCCCGATGTTGGCCTTGTACCGGGTATTCTGCCAACTTCTGGCCGCTGTGATCCTCCTTCAACTGCTCCATTCTCTTCCCCATGTGATGAGGGCGACAGTGCACCAGGTATGTTCTCACCGGTATCCCCAACTACCTCATCACCTGTCATTTCCAGTCCATTCAAATTCTCAATTCCCTCGGTTGCACCATCAACAGCGGTTTCATGGCTATTATCGGGTAGGGCTTCTTGGTTTGACAATGAGTCGAGGTCTCCAGCTGTGTTGGAGCGAGAGAATCGGCGGGCTTGTCGTAAAACTGGGTTGATAAGGAAGTCAGATACGAGGTGGCTCATTTGGTGAACAGAAACCTCATTATTTGCGAAACATTAGTGGTTTGTCGTGATAGTGGGATGTGAGTGATTGAAATTCGTACACCTGTGAAGAGACGGTCGCAGGTATGACGCCCAACCCGGCCCGTTCTTAAAATAGCTCCTGCACGTGCTTCCATTTCGTTTTCCCTCTTCGCTTTCTCCTTCTCTTCAACACTTTGTCTACCAATCAATCCAACTTCTCAACTTTAGTCTATAGGAGATCATTACAGCTGCTATGCCGATGTCAAATCCAACCCCTCAGGAAGTGGTGCATGCCTACCGACACCTGTACCGAGGGCTCCTTCATGCGGTACAATTCTCTATGCCAGCAAGATTTACAGCAAGAGACCAATTGAGAGACGCCTTCCGCAAAGAGGATCCGTCGACTTTCAACAAGGACAAGATAGCCAGGACGGTGGAATTTCTCAAGTTAGCCGCTCAAGAAACAGGGCTTGAGCATCGGCTTGTCAAGAATCTCCTGCGCACGAATTATGAGCGACGAAGGGCGTATCTTTTGTAAGATCTGTCAAATCGGACTATCCAAACGACTAGCTAACTTTTCTGCAGGGCAAAGAAAGATAGGAAGCCAGCTCAAATTAAGATACGGAAGACTTCCATGATCCACTACGATATGACATTGGCCATGCTCAATGATAGTATGGGTCTCTGCTTGCGATGAATGGATATGTTGGAGATATGTCAAATCGTTATCATGGTTCCACGGATACTTCGATGCACTGGATCAATATGCTCCCCGTTGGACCCCGGATTGGCGTCCAAGGCCATCAACAACTGAAACAACATATTCCAATGTCACGATAGCCCCGTCAATCGAGGAGGCCTTTGACTGGCTTTGTCCTTTCCACACGGTGGCATTTTTTCTAAAACCCGGAAGATGGTGCTAATTGAACGATCGACTAAGGCGAACAGAGGTTGGGATCCGTATGATGAGGAAGGAAGTCCATAGAAGGTCAAGGCATCTACTTGGGTGAATGTGTCCAGGGAGGAATATCCTGTATGGAGGTGTGAGTTCATGAGGGGTCGAGGGGAAGAAAGTTAGAAACTGTATCTTCCGACTGCGCCTGTCAACATTATCAGTCAAGATCATATAGCTACATGCACTTTAGGCTGTACGGAAATCCGAGCTGGATGTGCCTTGCCTGTGAATACGTGTGTAATAGGCAATAATGAGAATTCACAAAGAACTGGTTTAGCTAGGATTCCTAGGAACTCCGCAATCTTCTCAATGTTCTTTATCTCAAGGTAAGTATAGTAAATAGAAAATAGAGTAGCAAGGTCTTTCAACACGGACTAGACATCTACGGTAATGCCTGTTGCTTCAGATAAGATAAAGAGGAGATCCACTTTCTGTATGTTTGATTTACAGATATAAAGGTAAAGACTTTATCGTGTTGTTTGTCTGTTTGTTTTTGTTTCGGATGATGTCGGTGGTACTCTTGTGTCAGAACCTTGTCTGTCGGATCCTTGTTTATGAAGAGGGGTATGAGGCGGTTATCCTCTAGTAGTAGATTTAGCCCGGAAGCTGCGTAGATTTAGCTCCCCCACCTATCTAGGTATATTGTTCTACGGAGTAAAGCAGCCACCAAAGGGAAATGCATGTCATGTCTGAAAGGGCCTTATACGTACCTCTTGATATCTCACGACCCCACGTACTTCGCTCAATCCTTTGCTAACACTTTGCCAATTCATCTCAGTTAGTTTTTGGCCGCTCGATCGTGGTGGCTTGACTTCCGCGGCTTGCCCCCCGCAGATTGTCATTCCTCCGGCTTGGCTCTCCTGCGGCTTGTCCTTCGTGCGGCTTGATCTTCTGGCGGCTTGGGTCGCTGAGTCGCCATATTCTGTCCGACTCTTAATCCGACAGAAGACTTCATGGACTATCCTTGGTCTTCCACCTTATCGCGACCGCGTTGAGGACAGTTGGTCGCGAAAGACCATTGTCCGCCGCGATCCGAACAGTTCCACAATGCCTCCTAAGTCTGGTCAGCATAATGGGATCCAACAGGACGAATCTCCCGAGGATCCTCAGTCAGATCGAGGAGGAGAGCGGAAGAGATTCGTCAAGAGATACAGGACTGAGGTTGCCGCGTCGATCGGTAGTATTTTGTCTACCTTCACGGCTGTAAGTACGGGCCAGACTTCGATCTAAACAGCTACTAACTATTACGAGTTCCCGCTGGATTCTGTGAAGACTCGCATGCAGACATATCAGTACAAAAGCTTCGCCGAATGTGTCCGTTATACCTACCAAACCGAGGGATATCGAGGTTTCTTTCGCGGTGTCACTGCACCATTGGCAAGCGTTACTATAGTCCGAACAATCTCCTTCTCGGTCTACCAGAAATCGAAATACATATATTCCGCTTGGTTTAAACGAAACTTCGGAATTGATCCTCTTGTCCATGTCAATACTCCTGGGACCTACCCTACGTTCTCGACAATTGCATGTTTCGGTGCCGCAGGAGCAACTGCAGGATCCTTCATAACACTTGTAGCATGTAAGGTGTCTTGGACTAGGCATAGGGCTAGCTAACCAGACCAAAGGTCCGTTCGAGTTGACCAAGCTCAGTGCCCAGGTTTCGGTCCTGATGGCAGACCCTAACAACTCGAGCTTGTCCGAGCCTACTATCTCTCGGGCTGTTGCGTCCAGCTACCAAAACAAGGGCACTTTCAAAACTGCAAAGAACATTGTCAAGCATCGTGGTCTCATGGGATTGTATTCTGGCTTTTCCCTTCATCTTCGTAAGTGCTCCCCCGAGATATTACGCCAATGCCTAACATATAACAGTCCGAGATACGTTGGGAACAGGTATTTACTTCATGACGTACGAAAGCAGCAAACAGCTGTTGACAACATCCCGAGGCAGTCAGTCTCCTACACACCCTTTCGCTGTAGCTGTCGCAGGTGGGCTATGCGGAGTTGCGAGCTGGGCACTGATTTACCCGATTGACTCCGCAAAGAGCATTTACCAGAGGAACTGCCTCGCGTCATACAAAGGAGTAAAGGCCAAAAAGGCTCCGAAGATTGAGTTTTTCAATAAAACAATGTACCGGGGTTTGGGGGTTTCTATGGGACGTTCATGTGTTGTCAACTCCATGTTCTTCTCCGCTTTCGAATCCATCAAGAAGCAAATAAATGCTTTGGAGGATTGACAAAGCGAGGACATTGCAAACTTTGGAGCCTGAGTCGTCCAGAAGCCCTAGGAAGGCGTGTGTATGTAGTAACATCCAAAGCGAGGTTGAGCGTGGTATCGCCGAATATCAGATGCTCGGAAAGCTACGGTGTTGCGGCGCCATAGCTTACCCACTTGAAATGCAGTGGTGCGAGATTCGACCTATGACTTACCTAGTCTCAGTGGGATCTCGACTGCAATGAAATAACATCATGAATCATGAATTGAGGAAATCATAGTGTTGGCTCTGGTTTGAGCCTTGTGACAGGCGCCACCATTATATGTGCTGTCATTCCTGGTCCCTATTTTCGATTCCGTTTGACTGTACAAATATTAAGGACCTACCTATTCATGTGTTCTATTAGGAAGTGATCTAAATGGAGTAAAAGCAGCTTCTTGAATTTTCGCAGAATTACATATTGCTGTACCCAATAAGCTGCCACAGTAGGTACCGGAGCAGTTGATAATTGATCACGTGACCTCACTGCTATGAGCCAGCAACAGGAGGGCGCTAAAATCCAAGGCTTATTACAGAGCATGTAGTATGTACCCGCCTAACGTCCTTCGAACACTCTCATTCCATCACAACTGATCATCTCCCACCAGGCACACCTCTAACGCAAATATCACCAAGCAATACAGCTGGTGCATATTTAGAAGTCTTGATATCCTTTTTCAACTGTTGCATACCGGCTAACAAGCAGGCACCCCGATCCGGAAATGGTAAGGTGAGTGATCATGAAGATGGTGAAAAAGAAAAAGAATGCTGCGCGGCGATCTGCTCGTGAAGAGCACAAACTTGCCAAAAATGCAAAGAAGGAGCACCGAAAGCGGGACAGAAAAACATACACAGCAGACATGTGGGCTGTACCACCCCCATCGCACCTTGTTGCAAGATTGGAGGTTCCAAAGCACAAATCCAAGTATCACTCCTACTTTGAGTTTGCGGAAAACACCGAGAAGAAGAAGAAAAAGCTGGAGTTTAAGGTAGGATGCTTCCATCGGCATTGTGCTACCCAACTAAATCTCCATGGCAGGTTACAGATGATTCGAATCCACCACCAGGTTTCAAATTTGTTCCCATTGGAGATCCAACCTTGACAAGTGCATGCAAAGAACTTTCTAGAGAGAGGGATGCTATGATATTCATTGTTTCTGTATGTATGCTCTGTCATGAAACAGGATTATCGTTAATCTTCGACAACCTCAGGGATCGAAAGAAGAAAATTCCAAGATATCCGAACACATATATCGAACTGGATATCATTTTCGAGAGAGCATCGTCGACGAAGCCCGAGAAATGGTCGGGGAGACCACTGTTTCTATAACGGCAGACGGGTCCAGAAAAGCAGAACCTATTCCGGAATCACAGGAAGAGATAAACAAGCAGGCCGATGGTGCAATCCGAGATCTATTCCCCAGAATACCCAATACCGACCGGCAGATGATCATTGAACATGCTTTTAAGAAGGTAGGTGCTACGGGGCATTTGACGTCCATATTTCTAATGCATGTAGGGCGCAATGTTCCACGGTGAACCAACAGTTGGCCTGCAGCCGGGCATACCTTTGTCTCGTCGAGTCCAGCTTGCTGTTCTGGCCCACATTCGACACACTCATACAAGATACGATCAACTTCTCAAAGAGACAACATGGATGAACGCACGAAAAGCTGTTGAGCCGGTGTGCTTAGATGTCCTGGTTAAATGGCGTGGCGATGAAGAAACCGGACGGGATCAAATGGATGAGATTCTTCGCGAAGTCGTCATCATTACAGATACAGAAGAATCGGAAGAGAGTTCCGATGATGATGACAGTTCTGGAGAGGAAGGCGAAATCACTTCTTCGAGCTCCGCAAGCCTTTCCCAACCAAATTCACGCACCCAAAACCGATGCGCTCCGATGTCCATTCCAGTGGCAGAACCCGGGGCGCTTGGCCAACTTAACCAAAATTCGGATATAGAAACGACGGCTCCAGTCGCTGTGTCATCACAGAACCATTCCAAGCGTAACGTTAAAGCTCAGAGAGACAAGAGGGCACAGCGCGGCTTCAAACGCTATCAGGCAGCTTGGGAGCAAGCTGTTAGTAGACGCGAAGCTCAAGGAAATACCCCTGCAGACACGCCTTACGAAGATCTGACAAGTAGAAAGCGTCAGCAAGGTGTGGTTTCACCCATCCAAGAACCAAACCAGTATATCGTGAAACCTACTACAAACCCCCAAGGGACAGCCTACGGTGCTCCGGAGCAACGACGATACCCCGATTCAATACACGCTAGAAGACCAGTAAGTCAGAAATGCAGCTTTCCTAGCCATTCAATGCCATGGCGCGTCTATTGGCAGCACTGATGAAGACAGGAACCTTCCTACTCACAACAAAGACTAGCACCCCAACTATTTGTGGACAGAAATGAGGTAATGGTTAGACCCCAGGCTGAGCGTTCTGCATACTTTCAAGATGCTCCACCACGCATTGGCACTTCCTCATATCAGTCTAGGGAGCAGAGACTGCCATTGATGGTGAGAGGGACCCCGCCAAGTCAAGGCCTACAAGACTTGCTTGTGCCCTCAATTGAAACAGGCTCAAGCGATGCACTGGTTGAATCACCTCGCCCAGAGCTGCGGCGTGAGATATATCGTGGTTTTGATCAAGATTCATATCCGAGGCGCGCGGTTGAACGCCGAAGGCAGTCACCAGCAGGACACCAAGTTATCGTGATCAATGATAATAGTCCGCAGGCCAAGCGTCGTCGTGTGATTGAAGAAGATGACTTCGGTCACTTTAGACCTGTACCATTGCATAATGAGAGGGTTTATAGCATAGCCCCTCATGCTGATTCTCATTTAATGCCCGCGTCGTCTCTTCAGCCCAGAAATTTTCATACTCAAAATCCGAGAACACCATGCCAATCAAGTCAAGATTTGTTGAGGGACACGCAACAGTCGTTGACAGGCCCTTCTGGAGAACGAATCCCTGTTTACGATGCGCCTGTAGAGTCTGGTTATCTTGCAACAACGCCTAGCCATTTCAGAAGAACAGAAATTGGTGTTGGTTCTGGATATCAATGGGAAGTACCTCACACCAGGGGTGAGATGGATTTCCCTAGACATCTTCCTGATAACGTCAATGAGAACTTGTATCTTCGTCAACCAGTCGCTGAAGAATTCAGGATGGTTGATCGCGGTCAAGCCGTTCGACTGAAAGAGCCCGACTTCGGTCCCATGAATCAGGGTCAGAGATCCTCGTCATCAAGTGTTCCTGTTCCATACAGAGTTTCTCGTTCTTATGAAATGAACCCTGATCCCGTATATCCAGACCAGGCTTTCATTCATACTTTCTCTCAATCTCGACATGACCCTCCCTTGCCGAAAGCAAGAGATGGGACCAACCTCCCCCCTGAAAGATCTCATCAGAATTTTGTTAGTCAGGACAATATTCCTCAGCGGTTTGAGGACCAGTCAGCTAGGTCATTTACAACAGTTCGCCCTGCTCAAGCGAGGTCTCCAGTACAATACGTGGAAAGACCCATGTAAGTGCAGGTATTTTTCGATGAATCAGGTAGGATTTGCTGACGTAGGCAACCTCAACAATAGGTACTACAGGGAAGACATTCGCGAGCCTGCGTTGCATGAGCAGGGCCAAACACAGAATTTGGGACGCCGTTATATTGTCGAAAGGCCGCCAGCAACTATGAGAGAGCGTCCACCACCGCCCGAATCTGGTGGCGATTCCCCAATATATGTTCGGACGGTCCCCAGACACCAAGTCATTGCTCTTGAATAGAAAGATCGAAAGACGACTCACAGCAACTGTGGACGGGACGAGTCCAGTAACCTTTAGACCGAGCCAAGCGTCATAGAGTACACTCTTCGGCCATGAATAGCCGCAAACTCCTCGTATGTATGCAAGCAATGAGGCTTTTATATCGATACGATTCAGTCAACAATTTCTTGTGTGGGGCATTGTCATCGAGTCTCTTCCGTGGGAAAACGTTATGCATGAGCATGGAGTTGGAGGAAATCTGTACTGATGAAGGCCACGCTGTACTATGACAGTCTATGTTCCCCTTGTGGAGAAAGGTATTTGGGTGTTAAGCGTCGATGATATCCCAAACAGGGCCATCGTCAGGCTCTTGTAACAATAACACTATGGGGGGGTTTGTTTCAGTGGCGAGCCACGTCTGTATAATAGCGCATATGGGTTGGATGAAATATGAATAGTGTACGAATTTGGTACGCCACCATGTAATCTTAGATGCGCAAAACATGTATCTACTGTATTTGACAGGTGCCGGAAATTTTTGCAAAATCCGCAACTGGGAGTGTAATCAAAAAGGCTACATGTGGCAGCACCGACTTTTGATGACTGTTCTTAGATCTCAATATTTATGACGATCATTCAAGCGTTTCATAAGAAGTACACTCAGATTTCTTTATTATTACGCCGTGGCGCATGAGTTAGATCGTAGTATCCGGTTGTAATTCTTGGGTATTCTTTTCTAACCGCTCAAATGGTCATGAACGCCTTGCAATGCAATCTACTCTGTCGCTACGCCAACATAGCGACCTTCTGCTCTTCCTGTTCCCGCTGTCTAGCCTCTGCTCTCTTCTTGCTCAGTAACTCCGACGTTGGTACACTGGGTAACGGGACACCAGTAATTTCCGCTTCCAGAGCGTTGAGTTCGTCCTCTACCTCATCCTCATCCTGATTTGACATCATTCCACCTAGCATATCACTCACCTCCTGTCCAAACATCAGTAGGTATGCTTCCGAGGAGCAAAAGATACTGACCCGCTGGTAAGCAATTGCCTCTGCAGTGTCGCCCATCAACTTCTCCACATGTTCTAGCCCTCCCATTTCTTTATGTATCTCCTGGAGGACATGCGTTCCCTGTTGTAATCCAAAGACAACGTCCTTTTGTACAAGTGCGAATTCGACACTGCTAGTCAACTTTTCCAATTGCTCCAGTTGCGCATCCGTCTTCGCCAGCAAAGACTCTTGATACTTCTTCCTGCGCAATGCTAGCAGGGCTCTTGGCTTATCACCCTTTGCCAGCATCTCCTTCGCTATTGCCCTTTCTCGGTCGGTAAGAACAGTAATGCGCCGTTGGTATTGATGCAGCTTATCGCGTTGATTCTTCATGTCCAGGATAGCTCTAGGTCTTGGGATTAGCAGGTAAGTTGACGTGTAGGTATATACACAACGGACTTATCCTGTGCGGAAATCTTATGAGAACTCGGGGTGTTTCCCATGGTGGTCGCTGGCGTACTTCAGCAGACCATAGAGGCGGCATGTTGTTGTCACGAAGTGCCTTGATGGTCTCGATGTTGTCCCGCACGCGAGCAATGCGTCATGTACCAAGAGACGGCACTTGCCGAGGGTTTTCCGCTTTGGGACACATTTTTTGAGCGAGGCGAGCGCGGGGGATAGCCTCAAATATTTTTTCTTGAATAATATCGGGGTCCGTATTTCTTGGAGATCTTTATGTCGAGACATGATAAGATCCAGTGGTTCGAGGCCAACCCTGACCCAGGGTCTGGATAGGGAGGTAAATACAACACCATCTGAAGCAGGTAATTTCTATGAATGGCTACTGATTTTCATGTCTCTAGATATACGCTGTAGTGCGAAAGCTCGCAGATGAACAAGCTCAACTCGAGGGCGGTGGGAAGCGCCTGACAATTACCACTGTATATGAGAGTATCAAACGTTCGAATTCGAGCCTGAAGCGCAGAAGTAAAAAGCTACTAGAGGACTCGATCGACCGCGTCCTGCGGGTTTTAAAGGAAGAACTAGACGATAGCGATTCAGTCGATGGGGATTTCGACGGCATCGCGGATACAGAGCCTGAGCTAAAGGTATAATGGTCAAATTTCTAGTGAGAGATGTCTTCCTGACATTGTATAGGAGCATAATATCATGAACAAGAGCATCACACGAATGTGGACAAAACCAACTGCATCTACAACCATGACTCTGGTGGAGGGCGACACACCAACTACTGGGACTAACACGCCTGCTCTGCCTATTCAAACTCTGACTGGTGTAGGCGTGGAATCCCCATCGAAGGTAGATCGTCAAGAAAATGGAGAACCCAAGCCGAAACGACGCAAGGCAGAACGCGAGAGTAGGAAGGAGATCGATCGGTCACCACCCACTGATATTTCGCTGGAGAATCTGGGAGGAGTCGACAACGTTATTGAAGAGCTGAACGAGCTTGTAGCGATGCCAATGCTGTATCCAGAAATGTATATACAGACCGGTATACAGCCACCTCGTGGTGTATTACTCCATGGACCGCCTGGTTGTGGAAAGACAATGATAGCCAACGCCTTCGCAGCAGAAATTGGGGTATCTTACATTCCATTATCGGCTCCTTCGTTGGTTGCTGGTATGTCCGGAGAATCGGAAAAGAAGATAAGAGACATCTTCGACGAGGCCAAGCGAATGGCCCCATGCCTTATTTTCATCGATGAGATTGATGTCATCATGGGGAAGCGTGAAAGTGCTCAAAGGGAGATGGAGAAGCGCATTGTAGCACAGATGCTCACATGCATGGATGACATGGCACTCGAGAAGACTGGAGGGAAACCAGTCATCATCATTGCGGCTACAAATCGCCCAGACAGCCTCGACCCAGCACTTCGGAGAGCCGGAAGGTTCAATAAAGAGATTAATCTGGGCGTTCCGAACGAACAAGCACGGGAGAAGATTCTGCGGGCCCTCACCCAGAAGTTGAAGCTACCTGATTATTTCGACTATCGCAGTCTCGCAAAACTCACCCCGGGATTCGTTGGAGCCGATCTCAATGATGTCGTTTCTGTTGCCGGTACAGAAGCAATGAAGCGGATGATGGCTGTTCTTAAACAGCGCAGTGCAATGGCCATGGATATTGACTCTGCCCCCTCGTCGCCTGTCGTTGCACCTCCACTCTTAACTCTTCGGTCCCTTGTTGCTCATGCCGGCGAATCTTTATCTATACCGGAAAATGATCTGTCCATAACTTATACAGATTTCCTGACCGCAGTCCCCAAGGTCCAACCATCAGCCAAGCGCGAGGGTTTTGCAACCATTCCAGACACTACTTGGGCACACATTGGCGCCTTGCATGAAGTCCGCGATCAACTTGAGATGGCAATCGTCGAGCCAATTAAACGACCTGAATCTTTTGCTCGTGTTGGTATCACTGCGCCGACAGGCGTTCTTCTCTGGGGACCACCTGGATGTGGTAAAACACTCCTTGCAAAGGCCGTGGCCAACGAGTCAAAGGCAAACTTTATCTCTATCAAGGGACCAGAATTGTTGAACAAATACGTCGGAGAATCCGAACGCGCGGTCCGTCAAGTTTTCGAGCGGGCTCGTTCTTCCGTGCCGTGTATTCTATTCTTCGATGAACTGGATGCTTTAGTACCAAAAAGGGAAGACTCACTGTCGGAGGCTAGCAGCAAGGTTGTTAATACACTTCTCACTGAGCTTGATGGATTAAGCAATCGGGCGGGAATATATGTGGTTGCTGCCACCAACAGACCAGATATGATCGATCCCGCCATGCTACGACCAGGTCGCCTCGGAACGTCTGTCTACGTAGACCTACCCACTGCCGACGAAAGGGTTGAGATTCTTAAAGCAATCATCAGAAAAGCTCTGCCCGAAGCTTCCCAGGAGGAGATTGAAGTTCTAGAAGAGGTGGCACGGGATCCTAGGGCTGAAGGATACAGCGGAGCGGACTTGGGCAATCTGCATCTAGCTGCGGCCGTTGCGACCCTGAAGAGAGAGGTGAAAGAGGAGATGGAGGTGGCTTCTGGGACTCGATCCGAGGTGTTGCGGGGGATCCAGAAGTGTGATTGGGAGGTTGCGTTGGGGACGGTGAAGGCTAGTGTGAAAGATATAGAGAAGTATAGAAAACTGAAGAAAAGGGGTATGTGACACGGTAGTCAGGTACCTACCTTACTTCCAAATATAGCGGTAGAATACAGAACCAATCCTCCAAATTTCGATTTCTGGGATCATCCTTTCAATATTCATCAACCAACATGTTCCGCGGAATCGGGACTGGCGCGAAACAACCAGTTGGCAGTGAGTCGAGCATTGTATATTCTAGCAGCAATGTGAAGAGTAAGAGGCATACAGAAATAAATGGATTGATTGGTATGACGGTATCACTGTGCGGTAAAACGGGCCGCGGACGTCATCGCGGGTCCATAGGATAATATAGTTTCAGGTACAGTAAGCTGCACAATAGGACTGGGAACTCTATGTCATGGCAAGTTGAAAGAGGAGATCCGATATTGTCGGTCAAATCGCAAACCCAATGCTATCTAACCTAAGTGTACAATGCGTCTATCTATGTATACAATCATCCACGTTCTTCATCTATTTCGTTTCCTCACGGAGGAAGCTGGGAGGAGTTAGCATCGATCACTAGATGGGGTTCTTCAGAAATAAGACGTACGTGATCAGGTCGTTCCGGTCCTTGTCCTTCTTCAATCCACCGAACGCCATCTTGGTGCCGGGAATGTACTTCTTGGGGTTCTCGAGGTATTCGAACTAAGAGAAAATCAGCATCTTGACTCATGTATGGTTCAAGGTTCGCAGCGCGTACCAGAGTGTCCTGGTTCCACTCAATGGCCTTTTGCTTGTTGGCATCGGTGTATGCGTATCCGGGGACAGAGCCAGTCTGGCGTCCGAACAGGCCGTGCAAGTTGGGACCGATCTTGTTTCCCTCACCATCACCGAGAGTGTGGCATTGAGCGCATCGGGTCTTGAAGAGGTTGGCACCCTTCTTAGCGTCACCTGTGTTATAACAAGCGTTAGCTTGAAGCTCTTTTCTATGGTTATGGTTATGAAGACGTAAAGGCTCAAGGCGCATTCGCGGGATAAGATGCAGGTCGCAAGATAGAAACGCGCGTTTCCGATGCTCACATCTGCTACCCTCCAACTACCAGTATGGCAAATATCGTGTCTGGCCAAGGGTTGGCAGCGCTATGGCGTTCGCGCCTCGCAAACTCAAGGCAGTAGACAGTGCCTCCGGCGTCGCGGTGACAACAGGACTCAGAAGGCATCGCGAGATCTATCATAAGGTCCAGGCGCATGCCCGTCATCCACAGTCCGAGCACCGACCTCTGAATAGCAAACCCATGCATTCAATGGCAGATGGAAAAATGTCTTCCGGGTGATGTAACCAACCACCAACCACCTCGTTGGATCTAGGAAGAAAATAGACACATTACATACCTTCGGAGAAACCCATTTTGTCTGGTTTTAGATATTAAGCGAATCGAGGAGGAGATATGAGGAAGTTGAGGGAGAGTGGTGGGAATTAGGGGAGTGTTGTTGATACTTGTTGGAGCTTTTGAAGGGAAAAAGTTTCGGATACGGACGACGTACTTCTTAAAGCTTTGCATAGGGGATGACTTCACGCTAAACAGGCACCAGCCACAGGGCGCCTCCTCGCCTCCCGCCGGTTCTCAGCCAATCAGCCATCGGGAATTCCTCAGCGACTCGGCAAAACCCGGGGAATCCGACGGCGAAGATTGCGAAGGTACGCGAGGTATCTCCTTTTGCCCTGGTGCGCACTTCTGGCCGCCGTAGCTATGGAATTCACCGTTGGCAGGGTAAGGCAGCTTTGCTCTGCTTTTTCGCGCGTGAGCTCCCTCAGCATTCAACCCTTCAGGTCAGATAAGATCAAGACATCGCAATATGTCTCTCACCACCGCGATCCCCCGGTTCCTGCTGCCTCAGAGGGGCCTGATATGGCGGACACGTCTCGCAGCACCGTCTGCCACCCCTCTGAACGTTCGCCATGCCTCGAAGAAAACCCCCGCCAAAAAGCCCTCCAAACCCCTGGTCCTCGAAAAGCCTGCCAAATTCAATCCTCCATCGCATCCAGCAAGGCTACGAAAAGATCCTCCCAGGTATCCTGGGCCCCAATTGTCCCCCGCAGAGCAGGCAATACAGAAGACAAAGAAATACCCAAACATGATGCCTCCTGAGGGGACGTTCCTGCATTGGTTCATAAATAATAGGGCTATACATATGTACATTGCTCTTGTACGGATTTCCCTCCTATGACGCTTGCTATTTCCGCCTTCAGCTCAGCTAACATTAGGCAGGGCACACTCTTCACTCTAGCATCAGTAGTGTTCTTCACGAATTTCCAGCGCACCAATCCTTTTGCCGATATGATGCCTCCTTGGACCCATTTTTTCATACATCCCATAAGCTTTTGGCAAACGTGGATTGAGATCTTACGTCTCAATACGGCACGCATGACTGCGGAAACCCAGGAGAAAAGGACACAGAAGGTGGAGGATGTTCAGAAGAGGGCTGAGTATAGGAAGGCTCATGGACTGGACAAGGATGAAGGCTTTGGGGGTTGGACTGCTAAGACAGATAAGGAGCTTATTGGTCCTGCAATCCCATTAGGAGACGCAACGGGGAAAGAGGGTGAGCCAGCAGAGGAGCAAGTGGCCGGGGGAAAGAAGCCGCCTGTGCGAAAGTGGTTGGGGATCTGGTAATATAAACGCAGAGACTGGGACTCTGATAGAAGACGCCGGGTATCTATGAATTGTATAAAATGTACAACTAGCCCAATTCCACTGTATCTAAACCATCTAAAACCTCTTCGGCTACCCCTCCTGGTTCCAAGACCTTCTGTATCATGGCAGCAATGAGCTTCCGCTTTGCCCCACCTCTTGGAGGCTGCCAAACACCCTCTGCCTCCGTAACCTCGCGCTGGCTCGATGCTTGCTCTATAGTCGCTGCTGCTGTCCCTCCTGTTGCCGTATTCATCGAATTCGGTACTCCAGGATGGGTTAATCTTGATGGGGGATCAATCGTCCTGACAGCCAATAATCTCAAGTCTCTTGCATTTCTATCAGAATCAACCTCCATCCCTCCATCTTCTGCATTAGCTGAAGATCTCTCTCCAATTGAGACAGCCAAAACGGCTTCTGCAACCGCCAGCTCCTCTTTGCTTGGATCAAATATTATATTATCATTCACTGCCATGACAAGAAGCGTAATTGGGGGCCGTGTATATGATTTTTGCCACTCTCGAGGATACAGGAAAACAGATGCATCCCAGTCGTCATCGAATAATGGGTCTTCATCGAGCTCTGACTTCAATCTGGGAAGACGAGTTGAGAGCAGTGCGAGGTGTGTTGTGAGAGAGAGTAGTGGTAAAGGGTACGACAATGGCTGTGAGAGCAGTAAAATCTACGATCAAGTTAGCATGCTTGTTCCAGCCATCTTGAACTATGACCTACATCCAGGTAGAGCTTCCAATGATACCTTCTGTTGATCCATAGTCGGCTCGTGAATTCCCCATCCGCCAATAGAGCCTCGCTGAGCATTGCAGCCAGGAACACAGGCATTGAATCATCATCCCTAAATCCAGGGATCTCAACCGTCAATTCAACCCACTCATTTGAACCTCTTCTTTCTTCGGCTTCCTTTTCCTCTTGTCTCGTTTCCTCATCTTCGTCGTCATCATCCGCGAAGTTCAAATCCTCACCAGCTTGGTAAGTCGTTCTTGATTTTTCCACTTCTGCTTTTATCCCAACAATAGCTTCTGTTCCATCTGCGAAGCAGATACGTGCACTGCCATTTGTGCCTGGTAATATATTCGTCTCAGCAGTCAAAGTTCGAAACTGGGTGCTTGTACGGGCATCAGGGCGGATTGGCGGGGTAAGGGACAGGGAAGTGTGAATATATGAGAGCTCAGCAGGACTCAGGAGCACTTGTTGGGTCGATGGCGGTGCCATTTTGGCTTTCTTGCAAAGGCTTCAACTTGAGATCAAGAATCGCAAGTTAGCTGCGAACGTCTTCAGGTTGTCTTTCAACATTTCTGCGCAAGGCCGGATTTTAGCCGACGAGGCTACACTAGTACGAAACAAGGTTGGCCCAATAGAACAGGAACTCACCAACGAACACAGTACGCAACAAAATCTCGTGCTTGAAGATGCCATGCACTTTTGAAGTTGAAGAATAACTGATCTTGGTACGGCATTACTTGTTCACTGCCTACCAAGGCCGGTTCCATAACGACCATACTCCTTACCTCATCTTGAAGGCTTCTAGCCTCCTTGAACGTTCGGAGTTTAAATTCCTCCGCGAGCCTCCTCACTCATTGCATCTCTCTTCCCACGCCAGAAGCATCCCGGCCAGCTTAACTGCATTACTCGCCCAAGATGCCTTCGATACTGCTCGTTGTCTTCCTCCTTCAGCTCGTCATTCACCTCGTGAATACCGTCGGGGTCTCCACAATCAACAATCTGGTAAGCTCTCAGGGAGCTGGTGACATTGCACAGCTAACACGAATCAGCTATGGAGTATCTACAACAATGTCTCCTCCTCTAAATTCGCCGCCGAGCAGCGAAATCTGAAAAGCCAATTCATAAAAGTGCGGAAAGAGATGAATGCGACAAGCAGCCAAGATGAGTTCGCAAAGTGGGCAAAGCTGAGAAGGCAGCATGACAAGCTATTAGAGCAGTTGGAGAAAGCCAGTACGACTTCCCCTTTCGACTCTTCAAGAGAATAACGTGGCAGCATTAACTGACGGCAAAGCAGAATCATATTCGGACGCAAAGAAAGCCGCCTTCGACAGCGCCGTATCGACTGTTCGATGGACCGCCACGAATGGATTGCGCATGTTTTTACAGTACAAGTACTTGCGAACGCCCATGTTTTGGATTCCACAAGGCTGGGTTCCATATTATGCTGAGTGGCTCTTATCATTTCCGAAAGCGCCATTAGGAAGTATTAGTATAAACGTGTGGACGTTAGCATGCACGGCGGCTATTTCCCTGGTCAGTGATGCACTGGTAGCTGTTGTAGTCGGGGCGTCTTCTTCGCCGAGACCTGTAAAAGTCTCCGAGGCCAAAGATAAATAGACTTCTGTTAATGCCCCATCACTCGACCTCGAAACAACACTCATAAATTTCATCTTCTTCTCTTTTTCTTATCCTGATATCGCCTGTAAAAATGTCGACTTTTGCTCGTATGATTTGGAGAAACCATTTTGACCTCCCGGAGTTACCACCTCCCGGGACCTTCAAGGACCAGTCAATACTCATCACCGGCGCGACAGGAGGCATGGGTCTAGCAACAGCTATCCATTTTGTCAACCTTGGCGCATCGTCCGTGATTATTACAGGTCGCACCAATGCTAAAGGGGAGGAAGCCAAAGCTATCATTGAAGACCAGACGAACACCAATGGAATAGTTAAGGTCATGGAACTCGAAATGAATACCTTTGCTGGTACGAAACTGTTTGCAGAGAAGTTGAAGAAAGAAGTCAAGACCATCGACTATGTTCTTCTCAATGCTGGTGTCTTGAAGACGGACTTCAAGCTTGGAGAAGAAGGATACGAAGAGTCCATTCAAGTCAATGTGTTGTCCACAGCGCTTCTCGCTCTGCTTCTATTACCCTGGATGAAAGCAGCTGGAAAAGGGAAGGCTCATCTGGGGTTCGTAACAAGCGGTCGACATAGAGGTGTGTCTATTGATGGTAGCTTTCCGAAACAGGACGTCCTGCAGTTCTTCAGCAAGAAAGAACACTTTCCGGGCAGTCAAATCTGCTCCATCAGCAAGTTACTGGAGCAGTACGTGGCAAATGAGATTTCCAAGTTAAGTCTGGGTCCAGATGGAACGTATGTATAAAACTGTCCGACACCTCAATTCTTCAATGAAATTCTGACTCGAGTATCTTCCAGTCCTCAAGTTATTGTCAATTCGATTTGTCCAGGTATGGGGTCCTACCATTCGTTATGCTTACTTGAGTGGTTCTGATCTAATTCTTCCAGGAGCGGTATACTCCGACTTGAGCCGACAGTATAAGAAAGGCTACATCGCAACGTACGCTGTCAACTTGGTGATGAACATTATGGCGAAATCCAGTGAAGGTGGCGCTCGAACACCCGTCCTTGCAGCAATGACCACGCCGGCCGAGAATGGAAAGTACATCACCCATTACCAGTCAGATGAAGATTATAAAGTGTAAGAGCTCCCTTCGGTCGAGATATATTCAGTCTTCCCCGATTTCATGGCTGACACGGAAGGGCGCAGCGCCGCAGCGAAGAATATATTTGGGCCTGAAGGACAGAAGATGCAGGCGGAAGTGTGGAAAGAGATTATAGCAATCTTGGCAGAAAAGGTCCCGGAGGTGAAGGAGATTGTTCATTCAGTCGCATAGTAACGCTTTTGATATATGCAGTTGACACATGCGCGCTGCTGTCTTTGCCACATACTTTGTACTTATCATAAAGCCTAGAAGCAACTAAGGTAGCTTTGGTATTCCACATTTCGTAAATCATTACCTTGTGTATGGCGTATGGTCCCCGGCATATTGCATCAATCCCGGAACTCAATTAAAAACTCACAACCATCTCCCTTCCCAAATCTACACCCACCGCTGCTACCAATTCCGCAATCGCGCCCTTGATCGAATGCGGATCATCAATGCTCCTGGTTTCCCAACTCACAAGATCGCAAGTCTCAGCCTCTTGGCCTCGAACTCGAAGCTTGATGTGATCAAGGTCGATATCGGCCAGGAGTTGGTCTTTGGTGAGGACTCCCGGCATGCCACGAGCGAACAAGGGGACGTCTGGATCCGGGACTGGAGGTTCATCGTCAGAATCTTCAACCTCGAAGTCCTCATTTTCGTCAGCGGTATCTTGAGTCTCCATCTGGTCTTCCAATGCTTCAGATGGTGGATTTTCTTCCGCTGAAGCTCCTTCGGAGCGTTCACGTGACAAACTCAAATACTTGCTCCTGTCTAGCTTCCTCTTCAGATTATCATCCAGGAGATCCCACGAGTAAGATTCAGGATCTAACATATACTGTGGGGAATAGTCTCCTTTGTAACGCATCTTCACGCAGCTGTGGATGTAGAATCCGGCATACCACCATCTGTAGCCCTCTTCTTTTGCCAAGGCAATTTCCCTCAGCGCTCCCAGCTTCCCAAAATTGTGCTGGTGTACTGATTCATGGTACATGAAGTACACCGCACTCACACATTCTGGCAGAAGATCCAAGACTCCGATGGCAATAAGCTTTCCATCAATCCTATAGCACTGGTGATAGGATCCTAGCCGTCGCTCACGCCCATCAAAGCTCTCCTTTCTGCGAGGCAATGGAGATGAGCAGAGGAAGTTCTTAAAGCCGCTTTTACTAATTCGATTAGGAGGTTCGTGATGAACGATGCGCTGGTAGTTTTCAAACAAATTGTATTTTTCCTCGGTGAAGTCGTCGGGTTCGAGAGTGACGCTCAGAGCGTGGGCTGGTTCAGGTGGAGTCTGTACATGGTCCTTTTCACTCTCGTGTATCCGTTCGAGGAGGTCGAAGTCGGTATTACGCTTCTTGGCTTGATCGCGTGACTTTGGATATAGCCGCGCAGCCTCTTTGATGTATGAATTTCCAAGAACATACTTGTTGAACCGATTCAGGGCTTGCCGTTGATCTTTGGAAGCATGGAAAGCTTCTGAATCAAGGCGAATCGTATACTGAGGACAGCAAGATATACGCTGGTTGGGTTTGTAGAGCAGTGAACCAGAGCGCCTCCAACCGCGATTGAGGAGAGACTGGTAAAACTCTGGCTCCAACGAGGTCGTAGTCGCATAGTATGAAAAGCCTAAGAACACGGACAGTAAAACCCGATCAGTGCCCGCGCTTGAGGGTTCCGTCGTCACTTACTTCCTGGTTTATTGTGGCAGTAGCCACACGAACTATTCCGATAGCCTGAGCTAGTCAGCTATTATATTTTGTTTGGATTCAGTTGTTCAGTTGGTCATAGGGTTGAGTAAGCTGACAAGGGCCTGCATTACTACGCGGGGGGGTGATCCTCGGGTGATTGAACACAGCGAAAGTAATAGCAGGAGAAGAGAGTGGGATGGTTTCCAACACTACTGTGTACGGAGTTGCTAAAAGAGGAGCTCGATTCTCCTGGGTGAATGCCATCGAGCCGTTTGGCCACGGGCGCGAACAATTGGAGGTGGATTTAAGGTACGTAGGACAGGAAAAGTAGGGAAGGGAGCCAGGAACTCACCAATGGGCGTGAGCAGCGAGGCAGGCTTGTCGGGGGTCTGCATGGCGACGAGTAGACAAGTCTGACAGGAGGACGCTTCTCTGGACTATCTGCCACTGTGCATGCAGGTTTCTGGAGGGGCGACTCGTTTTCTGCCGAGACGGAGGAGAGAGCTTGGTGGCCGAAGGGATGTAAATATGTACTCCGTAATACACTCCGTAAGTGTGTTTTGTGTCGGGAGGCCAAAAGGCAGTGGGGTTGAGGGGCACGAGATGATCAAACTTAGGTCGGATGCGCCTGTTGGAGCGAGGGAGGCAGGGGGGGAAGGCTCTGATGTACTGCGTCCTGTACAATGATGATGGGAGAACTGTGGCGGCTAGCTTAGTCTGAGTTGATTTGAATTGCCTCGATAGTTGACTTGACTTGGTAGATTGAATCTATTGATTGATTGTTGACTGATTGATACTCGCGGAGGGGTGTTAAATAGACGAGACGGCAACACAGATGCAGAATCGCAGATCGAAACCCCCACTACAACTTACCGTACATACATACATGCCTTACAGCAGAGTACATACATACAACGTGCTACTACGTGTGGACTTGCTTCTGTTGCTGCTGCTGCTAACTCGTACTCGTAGAGCTCTGTCTCTTGTCTCCATGACCGTGCTCATGCTCATGCTGATGCTGCTCGCGATCGTGCCCTACATGCCCTACCGACACACCCTAGGTACACACACATACATACATAGGTAGGTACATTAGCCATCGGGCCAAGAGATGGACGGCAAGTTGGCAAACACATACAGCAACCCGTCATTACACATCCCTCTCCTCCGCCGCTGCTCCTGAACCCGCTTGGAGCCTTGGAGTTGGAGCCTTTGGGGGGAGCCAGCTATGGCAGAAGCCCCACTGCGACTGCGACTACTTACCTCCTACTCACCACTACACCAGTCTCTTGCATACAAGACCAGAGCACGGATTAACGAAGACAAGGGATCAATAATCATCCATCTGCCATCTGCCATCCCCACGGAGCCACGGCCTATTCCTTAGGAGACAGGCCCCCCGAAAAAAAGGGTCCAACGTCCCGAGCGTCTGCGTCGGCGTCTGTGTCTGCGTCTTAGCACGCTGATATCACAGCAGCTATTTACGTCCCCGCTCGCCAGACCAAAACGACCTGTCGCCACATCCTCTTCGACTACTACAATTACTCCTGTCTTCGCCTTTGCCTTTGCCTCCCGCTGTTACCGTCCCCTGCGCTGTACCTCGGTGTCCTCTCCCCTATTCCCCCCCCGCCAACATCTTCTCCCTCCCGTCCTTAAAGATCCTCCTTGCCCTTCCTATTGTCACCCCTTCACCCCTCCCCCCTAGCCCCCCCTACCCCTCCCATCCCACCAGAGAATGACGCTTCCGAAACTCTAAAAAAAAGACGCGAACTACCGGCCGAACTTCCACCAAGGCTCTTCCGATTCTGTCCCATTGTGCCTCAACCATTGTGCACCCGCACCATTTGAGGTGAAGCACTGCTTCATCATGGCGGCAACTCGCTCCATGGAGTCTCGCACTGGCAGAAACAAGCAACGTAAGCCCCCAATTTTACCCCTCCAACAGCTAGTGGCAAGCTCTCCCGTCTGCCACGTCAAATCCGCCCATGCTCATATGTCTCTTCCACTCTAGGCTACGGCGACGCTGGGGAGCGTCTTGTTGCGGGAGTTGTGCCTCTGAACCAAGCAAGAACCCACGTCCTTCTCATTCAGTCTACTCAGCGAGTCGGGTGGGTTCTTCCCAAGGGCGGGTGGGAGACCGATGAGACCTGTACGGAAGCAGCGCAGCGCGAGGCATGGGAAGAGGCCGGGATCGTGTGCAACATCGATTATGACCTGGGACAGGTCACCGAAGCTAGGACGCCAAAGCAGATTTCGAAGGGCGCGCCTAAATCGCTCTACCAATTCTACGAAGTCACGGTGACAAGGGAAGAGAGCGACTGGCCAGAACGGCACAAGAGGAATCGAAAATGGGCCACATATGCCGAAGCAAGAGAAGCCATGCAGACTCGTCCGGAATTGTTAGAAGCTCTCGAGCGCAGCACCATTCTGCGATAGCCCTGCGGGCCCGGCGTTCTGTTCCTATCATATGGCCGTGTAGTCCAACCTTCGCGCCGAAATCGAAGCGGTACGGCGTCGAGTACGCACCAGCCAACTATATGATTGGGAGACATGGATTCCGGGTTCGAAAAGAAAGAAAAAAAAGAAAAAAGAAAAATACAAACAGTATCATGTTGTGTGGTTCCGGCCAGCTTTTGGTTTCAGGTCACAAGAGGCATAGGTTGGGCGGGCTTGCTTGCTTTCTTCTTTACACATCTTTGCTTCCTTCATCAGCACTAGAAGACAATCAAGTCGGATCGTGCTCCTGAACAATTCCATTTCCTTTAATTGACCCGGAGCTGACAGCGAGTTGAACTGCTGCCCTCCAGAAGCGCCAACAATACATCCTTGAAGAGCGTTATTGCCTGTCACCTTTGATCCCGCGACGGTATTGTCAGTGCTGGTTGGTCATAGAATAACCTGGAAAAAGAAGAAACCAATTGTAAGTCTACAGTGGGGCTACTGCAAACGTAGCGCTCATATAAAAATAATCATCTCTACCTACTTTACTCTATCTCCGAAGGAGGGTCCGGCTACTTCCACCTATGAGGGTTAGAAATCTTATACAATAGAAGGATTGTTCAGCCTTCCGATATGAGGCTCGTAATAATAGAACGAGCGTATTCTTTGCTCTTGGAAATGTAACGTCAATAGCTAAATGATATCGTTGACCCTTTGGATGTATTCAGTCGCTCTTTACTCGTGATTCTATCAAAACGTGTCGCCTTATTATCCGAGCGCTGTGTCGCTCAACGTCACTTCGATTCGATCTTGCAGCTCAACCCCGTCTTCAGTCTCTACCAACCACGCGGGATGGACCGGTGTGGCCCTTTTTCACTTCGATAGCCATTTATGATCGTCGCCAATGAACAGAATGGAGAATCTTACCCTTGAAGAGACGCCTCCGCCAGGAGGCCCGATGGGAGGGGGTCAGATGCCTCTTCTAGGACCTGGCCTTCCACCTCCACAGAACCAGCAATTGCCTCCGCAGATGTTCACTACTGCTGCGCAATTACTGGATATGACTGACAGTAAGCTCTCCCTGGTTTTGACGCGTCGTGTCCCCTGGCGCACAAGATTGGATCGCGATGTCTCCCTGCAAGTGTCACGCGCTGGAACTCAAAAGCCGAAGATGAAGCATCGGGTGTCTACAGAGGGATTTGCGGCTGACGATCAAACCTTGGTAGAAAAATTAATGGTTACTCTGCGCGATGGGAGGAAATTGATTGGGGTCCTGCGAAGCTGGGATCAGTTTGGTATGTGCTGTCCACACACCTCGCGCTGCGCTTCTTGCGCAACCTATACTGACCTTCTTCACCATCCAGCGAACCTAGTGCTGCAATCTACAATCGAGCGTATCTTCGTCCCGCCAACAGAGCCCTCGTCGAAAACCTCATCGCCTCCAAGACCGGGTTTATACGCTGATGTTCCCCGTGGAATATTCCTTGTGCGGGGCGAGAATGTGCTATTACTGGGAGAGATAGACCTGGACAAAGACGATGATCCGCCACCAGGATACGAAAAAGCAGAGATAGAACTTGTGCACAAGCTTGCGAAGGAGAAGAAAGCCAGGGATTTGAGGAGGGATAAGAATAGGCTTAAGAAATTGAGCGAGTTAGGCTTTGAGGGGGACAGCACAGGAGAGACTTTATTGTGAGGGAGCTGCGCGCAGAAACAAACTTCTGCGGTGAGGGTGGAGTGGGGACAAAGCGTTGAGAGAAAGGGCTATTACAGAGCAGAATATTGTGAAATGCGTCTAGTAATCGGCCGGGGAATTGGGCAGTCAGTAAGTGGCATTTATACCACCTATTCAGAGCCTATCGTGCGCTGCCCATGCAGTTGATTTATGGGCTCCCAAGCAGAATAACAATACAAGGAGTTGAGCGAATCTCGCAAATCAACAAACTGATAGTTCCTCAAGCGATGACAGTGCCTGCCTTCTCTCATCAGTTACTGTGAGGGTGTGAAACGTTATATCCAAAGGACTAGGGTCAGGCTGATTGTCTGCTACTTGCGCACGTAAGGTATTGGTTAAGGAGCCATTTTAGTGATTTTCCTTCGACGCGGCCCAGTTATCTCTCCTTTTCCTTTGTTGGACTTAGGGCCTTCAATTACAAGCCTCTGATGTCCTCTCGTGACCCTTCAGCAATGACCTGAGCTTGTTATATCCGATGACAGTTATTGTAGCTCAATTGGCCACTACCGAACAGTTCCCTTCAATCTCCCAGGCCAAATGTGTAGGTAGTGAGCTGTTCGAGATTAGTTTTTGATTCGTTAGGATACATTGCGTTTGGATCCCCTTCTTTTCTATATTTGTGATTGGGGCTTTCAAAGATAAAAAGGGGCAGCTATATCCCAACCCAAGTATCCCTAGACGCGGCCTCATCGCTATCCCCCCTTGCCATCTTCCTCGTTCTCAGAAATCCAACCCAACTTCCTCCTTTTCCCGCCTTTTCTCTCTCTGCTACACCAAATTTGAAATACCATCACCTACATAGCGGAGAGTTCTAGTGAGAGAGAGGTATTCATGATTGGAAATGGGGAGAGAAAAGGCGAAAGAAGGGATATAGGCACAGGTATCGGATAATCCCCAAGTTAAAAGGAACTATGTATAGTAAATAGGCAAAGACCGACTTGCATACGTAGATTCCGAAATTGGGCAGGGGGAACAACGAGAGTTGCCGGGAGAATCAGATAGGCATAGGCATAGGTATCCAGCCACGACACAGCACGTAATCAAGTCCAACCGTCCTCATTCACTACGTGCACTTAGCTCGTTGGTTGAAAAAGAAAAAAGGGATCTTTCGGAATCCCTGATTGAAAATATTGTACAGTAGAAAGCATGGATTCCCTCTTTCGGCCGCTCGTGCATGAAATCGTATTGGCACCCTGGCTCGATCATCATGCGGGTCAGCAAACAGGAAAGTCGGGAAACGAAACGTGTCTTCGGAGATCGGCAGGGGAGATCGCAGTGGCGGAGCTTTTTCTATACGGCTTCTAGAATGTTTTGCTTGCTGGGGAGTCGAGGACTTGTGTTTTAATGGCAGCTAGGCAGGGTACGTATATTCTCTATCATCCTGTTCAGGCTAAAGTAAATATGACACTACTCGAAGTACCTGTAGATTGTTCTAAAGAAGGATATCAAGTTGAATGCGTTGGAGGTGTAGCACTGGGGTGGAAGTATTGTAATGTGAAGATTGAGAGATTGATATCCAGATTTGCCTTGGACCCCTTAATTGTGACCTCAAGATTAGGAGAACAGCTTTCCCAACCACCCATTCCCACGAGACCTGTTTACATAGGAGCGGATGGCTTACTGCTTTTACAAAATCCAAAATGAAAGATACCGAAATTGATCTGATTTCTCCTATCGATGTTTATCAACCTATCCAGCAGCTAAATCAATATGTGCCTTCCCCCCTGAAGAATCCGAGTTCAAGCCTTCCCGCACAACAGCCTTCGCCGATCCACTGGAATTGACTCTCGATTGTAGACGTATATACTTCTCTTCTGCGGAGGTTATTGTGTGGGTATTCGAGCCGAGTTTATTCATCGTCTCTACCCATTCCTCATAGGGATCGGAGTCAAAAACAATTCCACCTCCTGTGTCAGTAAACAAGATTAGCATCAGGCCAAACAACCAAGGGAAGTGGAGGAAGAAAGCGTACCAGCTTGCAGATAAGCAACGCCATCTTTGACCACCATAGTTCTCAGTGCGATACAAGTATCCATCCTGCCCTCTATATCATTTCCCTCGCTGTCGACACTGCCGTATCCAAAGTATCCAACAGCTCCAGCATAGACACCCCGTTTTTCCTTCTCCAGTTCCGCAATCAGCTCCATCGCCTTAACTTTAGGCGCTCCAGAGACAGTTCCAGCGGGAAATATTGATCGGAAGGCATCAAACCTTGTCTTGCCCTTCCTCAAAACACCAGAAACCTGTGAGACCAGATGCTGCACGTGACTGAACTTCTGAACAACCATCAATCGATCGACTCTTGTAGTCAGAGGATCACAGACACGGTTCACGTCGTTCCTTGCCAAGTCAACAAGCATAACATGTTCGGCTCGATCTTTGAGCGAATTCCGGAGCTCATCGGCGAGCTTCTCGTCTTCTTCCGGGGTCTTGCCCCTTTTGACAGTCCCAGCTATGGGGTGAGTGAGGATCCGGCCTTCTTCATTTTTCACGAGCAGCTCAGGGGATGCACCAACGATTTGAAAGTCTTCACAGCTGACATAGAAGAGATATGGGGACGGGTTAACTGTTCGGAGGTGGCGGTATATATTAAATGGATGAAGAGAGGTTGGCCGCGCGAAGCGTTGAGACGGAACAGCTTGGATTATGTCACCAGCAGTAATGTGCTCTTTCAAGGTAGTAACATGGTTCTCGTAGCCAGACCGGCCAATATTAGAGGTGTACTCCTGGTTAAGCTTTATAGGCGGTTGAACCGGGAGCGGTGTCTCAGGGGAGAGGAGAACATCAACAATCTCATTGATTGTGTCTCGTGCCTTCTCGTAAGCTGCCACTAATCCTGATATATCATCAGGGACGTGGAGGTAGGTGATGACTTTGATAACGCCGAAAAACCTATCAAACGCAACAATCGTATCGAAGAGCATGAAGAGTGACTCGGGGACCTTCAGTACATCCTTCATCGGCCTCGCGGTTTTGGGCTCAAAATACCGAACACAGTCATAGCCTACGTAGCCCACAGCACCACCCGTCAATGGTGGTAGCGCCAATCCGGGGATGTGTGCGACTCGACTCTTCGAGAGCTCCGCCTCGAGAGCAGGCAATGGGTCTACTTGTTCTCCATGCCCCTCTCCAGTTTTGAGGACCTTTCGAGGCCCAGCCCCAATGAAACTGTAGCGCCCGACTTGTTCTGAGGCTGCGCTCTCGAATAGGAAGGATAGGTCAGATTTTGAGTGTGCTGCGATCTTGAGGTATGCTGCAGAGGGTGTAATAAGGTCGGAAGAGATCTGTGCGAAGACAGGAACTAGATTTGGAGCGTTCGGCTTGCCAATTGACCTTGAGACGACATCGTGTACGGTCTCCAAGGATGGTTGAAGGTCGTCCTAGCTAATTGTGAGCTCGCTGATAGAGGGGCACAGATGTTGAAGAAAAGAATACGACTTACGCCAGACATGGTGGATGAATAGGCGTAGGGCCCTGTTCAAACCTTGGAGAGGTAGGGTATATATCTCTTAGAACCGACCGGTTCAATTGCTAAAGAAGAAGGACTCTCAGGCCCAGAAGAACGCGATCAATGTTGCGCTGGTGAGTCAGGGGATTGTTAGACATCCAATCCAGTACGTGCGATGTTCAAAATACTGCGAACTAAACCCGGTCTTTACCCGCCTCACCGCCCGGCAGTACCGCTACTAGTACGAGTCGGGAAGTTTGTTTTGCTGCGACGTACTAGGTACTGTACGACCAGCACATCTCTCTGTTGGCACATTTCTGGATCCAGCCTACGAATCCTTTGCCACGATATGAGAAATCTGCCGGGTACAGGTTTATTATCTTTTGAAGCTGGGCTGCCGCCTTTTTGGTATCTCAACCATGAGTCTACATCATCTAGGAATTGCGCACTTCCCAGTGCTGCATCAGCAATTCTCTTCCCCCACGGCTTCAGCATCTCCTCCGGTTCAAGATGTGACGCAAGATAACATGGACGTTCTCCTCGAAAGACTCAACGACTTGGTTCTTCGTATATCAGAGAACACGAGTAGTTCCCTAGATGATAGAACTGTCACGGCCATCCACTCCGAGGTGGACCGCATCGAGGTCCTCGTCAAAAAAGGAGAGAAGCATCAGCAGTCGGGTCACGTGAGGGGTAAAGACTCGAGGGAGTCGAAAGGGCCTACGGATGCTGGGGATGATGTCTTTTGGGGTCCACTGACTCCGACTCGAAAGGTCAAGATGCGTCTCCCGGGCACTTCAGCAAATCCATCCCTCTCATCTCCTCGGAACGCCCCCCGTGTGCCCACGTCCCGAGCTGTTGAGATCGCCGGTGCAGCTGAAGAGCTTGCTTCAAGTTTAGCAACTACTGTTGCAGAGCTCCAGACCAGGATACAGGAATCAGACGTAAGCTCGGTTTAAACTAGGTAAGAGCATTCCGCCGCTGACCGAGTATGCAGCATATACACGATTTGCTTATCACGAGGGCGGAAAAGGCTGCTCAGCGGATTATTTATCTAGAAGACAGAATTGCGGAGATGTAAGCCATTCTTTGTGAATATCGTAGTCACTCTTAAGCTAACAAGAAGCAGGGAAGACTGTCTCGAGGCCAATCAGTCGGAGCTCAGATTTCTCCGTATCCAGCTCCAGGCCATCGAAGCCCAATGCTCGGTGTACATCCCGCGCGACACAGATGAGGAACTTATGCGAAGTATCAGGAATTGGAAGATTGACTGGGAGGATATTGATAGGCGTTCAAAGGCTCGGAGAACGAAAAACAATTCACCATTGGCCACCGTGGGCTATTCTCGGTCACCAGGTGGCTCCTGAGGCTCTGTGTGCAAAAAGTATTTGCCCGGCTATCTATGTTTGGAAATTTACTCGTTGATTCAAGAGGGCTAGATCACGCTTCATTCAGCCGTGGGCGGGGATAGAAACAGACTATGATCCAATTTCCAGCGACACAGGACGTTATTATCTCGCCAACAATAGGCTTTCAGATCTCTGATTTATCTTGTTCTGAGACAAGAGATGGTTTCCTGATAAGAGGTAGGCTGGCATACTAGTAGAAGGGCAACGTCCATGGAGAAGTGAAGGAATCCGTGACGGAATTGAGACAGCTGGGCACACCTGCGCATCAAGAATTCAGGGTCCGCTCATCACAGGTATACGAAAAGGGGTAGGTTAAGAGGAGTTGTGAGTGCCATAGGGATTAGAGATGATCGCTTGTACCATTTCCAGTTGATCTGCTCATAACAAGGGGTCCCGATGTAGAGAAAAGCAAGGCTTAAGGGATCTTTTCGGGGTTGCTTCTGCCAAGGTTAGGGGCATTTGTCCTCGAGAAGACCCTGAGGACTATGTTTTCATTTATACAATGCCCAGTTGACAGAGTACGCAATTTAGAAAGAAGAGCCGCGAATTGATTCCATATTACGATCATCAGATCCGTAGAGGGGTCTCATTCCGAGACAGACTTCTGAAGCAGACGAGAACTTTCTATTTTAAAAGACAGAAGATTCCTGTATATAGTCTCAGATAGAGAAATAGATGTCACATACAGACTGAGGAAAACTGGGCATCCCGTCCGCTCTGCCATACATAAGCCCATTATAGTACGCGGGAAGTTCTTAGTGTGCCCTGAGCTCTAAAATACAATTTTACCATCCCTACCTGGAAGATCGAGGCAAGATCCTGACATCGTTAATTCCAAACAGACAAGTACTTCATGTGCTCGCTCGTTACTACCGATTAATTCCTGGGTCTCAACTCTCCAATCATGTCCAGTCTTCACGAACTCTTTCATCGACAGCGACCAGGACCATGGCAAAAATTCCTGGCCCAGCCTTACGTCTTCCTCGCACGAACGCTTTACAGTTGGCATAAACCTATTCTAGCTATGCCTCTCACAAGTCCTGTTTCGATTGTCTGTATCTCCGATACTCATAATACCCACGCCGCTGTTCCGGATGGAGATATCCTTATACATGCTGGTGATCTCACACAGTCTGGGTCTTTCAAGGAACTCCAGGACGCACTCGACTGGCTACGCACCCTGCCTCATCCCATCAAAATCGTGATTGCTGGCAATCATGAGCTATTACTTGATTCAGCATGGGATGATTCATCAGGTCGAGCAGCCTCTGAGCGAGCTCAGCTCGACTGGGGCGATATCATCTACCTAGAAAATGAAGAAGCAACAATTTCCTGCCCGAATGGTCGTCAGCTCAGGGTCTACGGGAGTCCTTACTCTACCCGGCACGGCAATTGGGCCTTTCAATACCCCCGAAATCAGGATGTATGGGCTAGCTCAGTACCAGATACAATTGACGTGCTCATTACTCATGGTCCACCATTTGCTCATCTTGATCTACTCAAGTGGGGCTGTCCTCATCTACTACAGACGCTATGGAGAGTTCGACCAAGGCTGCATGTATTTGGTCATGTCCATGAGGATTCAGGAACCGACTTGATGTTTTTTAATGGACTCCAGGAGGCGTACGAGCGCACTGTCGCTGCTGGAGGGGGCTTCAGAAATCTTCTGCTTACAGCGTGGGAATTAGCTAAGGCATGTCTCCGTCCGGCCGTGGAAGCAAAATGTTTACTCGTAAACCCGTCCATGGTTGGAGGTTTGCGGGATAATGAACGGAGGCAGCCCATCAAAGTCTTTATTTGATATTGTAATCTTATTGACCAACTGAATTGAGTCCCACCTTTCTTGACTTCCAAATTCCCTTTCTTTATTGTTGTTGGATCTTAATACAGGTGTTTAGGAGAGGATACCTGCTGTTTTGTTGTTATCTGTCTTGGTTTGGCATTTTTGCTCTTTCCGCCCCCGGGTTGGGGGAGGAGGGGGGGGGGGGGGGGGTGGGTAATTCTACTATAAACCAATGGATTAAGAAGCATCACAAATAGAACTAGAGAAGATACAGTAATTAACATCGATTTGATATTTATATAAGCTATGGAGTGACTGACTATCGAACCCAGCGAATGTGGTACAGAAGGTAAGGTACAACTAAAAAAATGTTACACATATCCAACTGTTGTGATCCAAAGAGCAGCCCAAGAACGTGCATATAGAAATACAGAATTCGAAGAGTGAAAACTCCAGCTAGGTATCTTCCAGGATTCGTACTTACATGATCCATACATGAAAAAGAAAGCATTGCCCATTCGCCGAACCCAAGACCAAAGGAAATAACTAAGTTGGTATCTTGCTCGTGTAAATAAAAACGAGAGTGAGTAACTGTAACCTTTCTAAAGACCATAATCACGCCTAACAAATAGCCTCATACAAAATTATCGCATCACTTCGTTATCATCTCATATATCCGTTATAGCCCGCTGCTCTTCCCTTATCTCTGTACCAGTCCTCGTACGCCGCTCCCCTGGGATCCCGAGGATCAAAGGGCATGGAAGGTTTGCTTTCGTACGGTCTATCCTTGCGATCGAACTCCCCTGAACGGCTCTCCTGGATCCTGTCCCACCTCTCGGCATCTCGGGGGCTCTTGAATTCGACTGCTGATCTAGCGTCTTCATCCGTACCCCTCCTATACTGGCGATGCTCCCGTACTCTTTTATCCGTGTCAACGGGCGGAGGAGGCGGAGGGATCGAAGTATTGGAGCCATACGAAGATGGACTAAATTGTTGTGATTGATTCGAGAAGCTCGAAGAAGCGGAGGTTGATGGCGGTGGGTATTGGTATCCGTTGAGGTCATCAGGCGTGGAGTTACTATAACTATTGATAGAGGGGCTGTTTGGATTCCGAATTCCAGGGTATGGGGGAGGCACGTAGTTTTGGCTCGCAGTGCTTTGACTTCTGTGACTTCGGCCTTTGGCTGGGTTCGGTTTGTCCCTTGCTTGGCTTGTGGAGTTGGCGCGTCCAAGTCCCGGAGGAGCATTGTAGCTATTACCCTCTATATAGATTTTGCCGGAACCAGGTTGAGCGGTGTATGGTTGACGGTCACGCTCAATTTTGATGGGCTCTTCGTTACTAGATGTTTCCCATGTTGTTGGTGCACCGGCATACGGATTGCGTTCCCGCTCAATAGGCTGGCCTTTTGGCGTTGTCGGAGAGGTTCCGGTTTGGTGTATCTCAACTGGACGAGAACGGAACTGGGATGTAGACGAATGCTGGCTTGAGGAACGGGATGTAATTGATTCCTTACGCCTACTTGATGTCCCAAGGTTGTTTAAAAAGTGGGAGATGGCATTCTCAACCCATTTCCTTGACTTGCGGTCTTCTTTTGGGGGAAACAGGTACCGGGATATTTGTTTTGGGAGGCGTTCAGGCCTCCCGTCCAGGATGACTCCATCGGCATCTATTGGCATAGCCAGTACGACCTTTTCGAGCCTTTTGGCCTCCTCTTCGGGGTAAGCCAAGATGTGTATGGTCATCCAGTGGGCAAAGCCGACGGGAGTAAGGGCTGGAATAGTAGGTGTGCTAGTTGTATGTTCTTGAATCAAGTGGTGCTCGCAGCCAAGATCTTGGTATAGCCGTGATATCTGCTCATTCGACTGTGATCGAAAGATCGCTATTATGGTCAGCAAAAAATCCCTGTACATTTCATTTGTACTTACAAACTAGAGGATGGGTTTCGTTATCCAACGCATGAGTTGCATAGTACGCTGCCATCTTGGATGGAGGCGCTACGATGCTCCTTTTGGCCGGAGACTCTTCGATCTAGTGTCTCGTTAATACTTTCTTTGCAGAGATCTTCTGATACAGTACTCACAATGCGGTTTGCAAGACCTCGTAAGAACTGTCCCAGTCTTTGTGTCGGATTTCCTTCATTATCAAACAATCTGCCCCATTTTTGATCAATAGTAGAGAGCTCCACAGTCGAATATGTTCGACTCTGGCCCGGTCGAGGTAGTGGACGATCAGAGAATCGTACGCCTGACAACTTCTCTGAGGGACTGCCTGATGGTGATCCCACAGGTCCTGGCTGCGGAGCAGCCGCGCCTGCTGAAATAGGAGCTTGTGTAGGAGACGGAGGGGTATGAACTCTTCTAACTGTCGGTGGAGGCGACGAAGTCGAGCTTTGTGATATGTTCGACGGTGCGCGTTCGAGTGGGGGCGCCTCTGGCTCATCTTCGACACTGGCTGATGGCTTGAGATCCTCGACCTTTCTTGAAGGCACAGATTGCAATGACGGCACCCTCTGTTGATCATCGGTGTTGGCTGTCTGCCTCAGATGCTCCATGACCTCTCTCTTTACTCTTTCGGTAATTGCTGCTATGAGCTCCGGCGATACATCCTGAACTGGCTGTTCAGCAGAGGGTTTAGGCCCTGATGCCATCCTGTCGTCGCCTGGTTGTAGACGTTGTTGTCGTGGATTTGAGAGAGCTCCCCGCGAGGGATTTATCTCGAGGCTCCGTGGTACACTGACTACAGTATCTGGGCGTGTAAGAACCATTGGACCCGAAGTAACGAGGCTGGCTCCGTTTCCTTTTGATACCTCATCTATGGAACCGGAGAGCCTCTCTATAAGTACCGCGCCGCCTTACGTCAAGCCATGCGCGCAGGTGTGTAATCGGTCTGAATGTACGGAACATCTCTGCTCGGTGAGGGATGGCGTTGTCAACTCATCGCCGCATTGCTTGCAAGCAACAGGGCACCCCTGATGCGAACTGGGCTTATCGCACCTCAGTCGGGCGATCCTCTCACACCTCTGCATGCAAGTTGCGGGGATTTGTTCGCCGCACCACATTATCCTCATACTCTTTGTGGCACCGCTCGTCTTGCCGTTGCTGTACGTATGACCTGTTCTCTGAATAAGGGTGGTCTAGAAGTATATCTTATAGCAGGCTCCCGGAATCCTATCTCTCTTCGTCTTGTCGCCAAGCCCATATACATCGACACGGCTTCACATATCAATCTGCTGGACTCACCGAGTAGTCGCATTATGGTTTAGAGGGGTTCCAGGGAGCTCTGTAGCAAGTCAGTGCTCTACGTATCCGAATGGCTGTGATACTTTTTGATTGTGCTGCATCATTATCAATCATATGCCAGCCGTACAGGTGCATATATATGCCTGCGACTATTACGAAGCAAATGTCATTTGCTCAATGCTGGGAGGAAAAGGATCTCCTTCGTCAATTGTAGATAGGAATCTGCTGCTCGTGGGAAGATCTAGTGAAGAAAAGGAGTCTATATGCTATGTCCTAGCTGGTCCGTGTGCTTGCGGATATTACATGCCACCTGCCATTTGTGCGATGATGAAGAAAAGAGAAATCAATCAGTAAGTGAGCGAGAATCAGTTGATTGTAGCAGCGTTGAAGAAACTAAAAGGTGTAAGAAGCCTTATCTTGAACTCCTACTGCAACGTTAAATGCCATTGGAAAATATCGCAACGCTGGGCCAGTGGTGAAAACCGTTGAAGAGCATGGAAATTAAACGATGAAAATCACTTGAGAAGTTCTCCGTCCAGGCTCAAAAGCCTTCCATCATAAAATCAAAGTAGTGACCAAGTCAAACGTGCAAAGGGAAAGGTGGTCCTGTGATACTGACTGCACCTTGATGCATGACACTAAGTGCCGAAATCTCCATCAAACATGGATTGTACTGCATCGGAGTATGATGGTACGGTGTTGGTGTATGACAGATGCAATGAGAGCCTACATCTCGTCTTGGCTGTGGTCACTGTCATAGCCTTGCTGATAGCGACGCTGGCGTCCCACGGAAGGAAACTGTGGGGGATCTGTTCGAGCACCGACCTGGTTTTGTTTTATTAGTTCTGAACATGCATTGCCATGTGATGAGAGTATAGAAGCTTACAGGTCTAGCCCAGCTTCCCCTATCTTTCTGCTTAGCAGGAGCAGACGGGAAAGTTGGTTTGGTCTGGGGTGATGGTTGGCCAGAGGGACCCTGCTGTTGGACGGAGTCGGAATCGTAGGAATTCATGATCTGGCGTTTGGCATCAAGTATCAACCAGCCCGTCTGGGAGTCAGTCGAGTTGCTTTGGTTATCTTCATAGGCATTGCTAGCAGAAGACTTTGACTTGGCATCAATATCAACAAGGCTTTGAGAGGCGGCCTGAGATCCTGTACCAGAACCAGTAGTCATGCTGTTGATAGCACGCATGTGAGGCGGGATGTAGCCGGATCGGGCCGCCGTTCTAGTACCAGCTGATCCAAAATTCGGAGCACCAGTCAAAGTCGATTGCGTGGGAACAGTCGACGGATCCGGAGTATTCATAGTACCAGCGGTGGATTTGTTCTTCTCTCCGGTACTGCTCAGAGCTTGAACATCAGATCCTGGCGGGTACTGGGAGTCATATTGGGTGAGTTTATGGCCAGGATGTCTAGATTCAGGACTACTCACGCTCTTGTTCAAATCCTCACCGTCACTGTCCATGGCATCCTCCGACCCCGAGTAGTAGTCCTCCCTCCATTCACTGTCCTAGAAAATTTATCAGCATTGACACTCAATATCAGTCTGGATTGAGAAATCATTGCTCCAAGAAACATACCTGGTTGAGCTCATCAGGGGAGAGATCTGTTCCTGGAGCAGCAGTAGTAATGACACCCGGCTCGGCAGCTTCCTTCCACATGATACACTCCTGGCACCACTAAAATGTTTGCGGTCAGTAGCAAGATATCAAAACGAGGTTCTTGAGCTCGACGGAAAGCATGTAATATACTAACCTTTGAGCCCCTTGTTCGCTGGGCCTTGCTGAAATTATCGAGCGACTTCCATATGCCACATGGGCCCTCGCACTGCAGCTCGTGAAACTGCTCACCAGCGCAAGTACGACAGCGCAACCTGGCGGTAACCCCATTAATGCTGTCGAGGTTGTACTTCTTGAACTGATAGTCTTTGATCTCTTTGTTCGAGAAACTAATCGGGTTCTTCCAATGGTCGCACTGACGACACTTGAATCTTCTTGATGTTAGTATTGTCTAAAAAGTGACCCAACTGTTGATCTTGCCTATCAGGTAGGGGGATGTCCTTCCGCCTGCCAATGGTTAGCTAGCGTATAGAGCATGATATGACGAAAGTGAAAGAGAACGTACTCTTCAGCACTGAGGGTAAAGAAGGGGTTCTTGGGTGGGGGTGGCATTTTGGTCGACTGTAGTGTTGACAGTGGGAAGTTCTGAGAAGAGTGACTGTTTGATATCCTTGACTGTCAGTGATCTGCCTAGAGGAAAAAGAAACAGACGCTTTAAAGAGTCAGGAGCATTCGCATGACCGAAAGCGAGAAATTCTTGTGGTCAGCGCTAAGATGAGGTCCTTCATCAAAGAAGGGTTAGGTATTGGGAAGAGATAAAGAGAGAGTAGGATGGCGCGAGAAGGAGGAATATTGAGAGGTGACGACGATCTGTCCAATGATACCAAGGAGCGGCAGAAGCAAGCGTAACAGCTCCGGTGTAGAGGGAAGGTTGATATCCACTGACCTTGTCAAAATAAAGGCGCTGTGTTGGTAGTTGGTGGAAGACCCGTTTCAAGGCCAGGTCGAACTCGATGTTTGGATTTTGTTTGGAAAGAGGACGAAGAAGTGGGAAAAGAGGAAGAAGAGCATGGAAGTTCAGATGGAAGACAAGAAGGGAAGTAGGGAGGTAGACAGCGTCGCCTCGCTTCTGAATCGGGTTGCGTACCTAAGAAGCCCAAGACCGAGATCGAGTGAATCTAATCTCATGTACCATCGAGTCCTATGCGTGCTTTACCTACCTGTATGTTCTCCATCCAATGAGAAAATTATGGCCCTGGCAAGGTACAATCGCAGACTATCGCAACCCATCTCCTGTCCTCTAACAACAAGCATGGAAAACACCACAGCACGTTCAGGAGAACAAACTGAGATGATCGGGAGCGAAAGACGCGCAAAGAACCAGAGAAACCTGCTGGGCCAGAGTGCTGAGAGACAGGTACGATCTAAAGTGAGCTGCTTACTGGACCGCAACATGCGATGTAGAAGCTTTGGTTTCCTGCCCAAAGAAGCAGGATATCGAGAGAATGTTCATCTGCAGCAGCAAATAGGGCACAAAGACAAGATCGACCAAGTCAACTCTCCTCCAGGCTCCAGCTCTAGAGAATAGCCCGAGATCGATGAATACTCAGGAAGACAACAAGCAACATTCCCAAGATGAACGATCTCTACCGCAGCGAGAAGGGTCGGTAAAGCGATATCAAAGGAACAAAGGAGAGTAACTCTTGCTCGTTACCTACCACAATACATACTGATCGTCTTCATTTCCAAGGCACGAGTTCACCACTTCCGCTCGAGATTTTGTCCCGGCCATCTGATGAAGCACGATGCTTTGAAAGTCGAACTTCTAAATCTTCACGCAACCTGAACATTGATCTCGGGCTCTAGGGTTTCCTCCTCGGCGTAGATTATGCTGTATGTACGATACGGTTTTCACCATCACACCGCTGCTTCGATGCCCCGACTTGTGAGGGGTGAGGGTGAGGGGTGAGCTGAGTCGTGATCTACCGCGCAGAGACGAGAGTAAAAAAGGGGTCTGGAATCTGGATACTTCTATCACTGTTGGAACCGGTGCGGTGGGAAGTTTGAAACACGTCCATTCGATCGTCATCGAAAGCCACGGCAAGGGTCTGAATCTATGATTCATGCAGAGCAGCTCTCCCCGTTGGAACAGAACCTTGCCAACCATGATTATGGTACGGCATGATTTCATGATTGCCGCCTGCTTACAAGCTATATAAAGCATCTTCAAGGACCATGGCTCGAACAACTTGCGGAGGGGCGCAAGTCATACTGTCATGGAAGGCCGCATGAATGCACACGCCGTACTGCGGACAGCATAGGTACTGGAACTGGACACCATCAACAGACTTGTCAACTCTGCGCGGCCTGGGTCCCTTGAAGCTGCAAGCCTGTGAAGGTGGGATATAAAGCCAAGGCTTGATGAACGGTCGAACATCGAAGTTGCCAACTCGCCACTCCAAAGAGCCAAAAGCGCGCCAACCCAGACACAACTCGCGTCGTTCGATGACGGAGCCGGCCCGGAAGGCGGATGGGCCACTCCGAGACTGGTTGACCTATTCGGGCCTAGGCTCTGCGCTATACCCGAATCAGCAAGCTCCTCAGGAACCGGCAGGGGAACTGAGGTACTAGCACGAAAGGGGCACCTCCCAAAGGCCAGGACGCCGACGTTACCCATCGGTTGGCTGTCTGGGAGGAGAGAATGAGACTACTGTCTTCGGGAGTCGGGATGTCGAAAAAAAGGGGGGGGCGGCGGATGTGCCCGTTATCCGCAGGTCGCTCTGCGGGTGCTGGAGCGTGGACGGGCAGGAAGAGGGACCGGGTCAGAGCAGTGAGAGAGGCTGTGAGTAATCTGCCTGAGACGAGCTTCACATAAGTCTTCACATAATAAGTACAATAGGATGGAGGATTCGCCGCTATCCCCAGACTCAGAGGTACCGCTCGCTCGAGATTCGAGACGGCCGGAGTTCTCAGATAGCAGGGCCCGACACCATTATCGCCCTGCATTGATCGGACGAAGGCACGAAACAGGGAGATGTCTTGCTACGGAGCCTGGAAGATCGGTATGATGAGACATGGAGAGGCAGAGCATGAGGACCCACCTTCATTTGCTTTAATATGGAGTATAGGGAGGTATTCTCCGTATATATTAATTCTCTTTATATAAGAGTTTATAATACTTCTATTATTAACCTCTCGAAACCACCTACCTGATCTAAGGTTGGGAGTGTTTTCTACAGCGGATAACAAGAGATGGGAACATGGAGGAATTTCTACTACTACAGTACAGTAGTAATGGTCAATTCTGCTGTGCCCTGCTAGGCTGCTAAGGGTCAACGTGTGCAAGGGAATGTTACTCTGTATACAGATAGGTAGTAACATAGCCTCCGGTAATACTAACCACCATCATCCATGGCACCCAAGCCCAGCGACAGTGTACACTGTACAGGTAAGCCTGCAAGGTAAGGTAAGCAGCAGGAGGGCATGTGCACCGTAATAAATGGACAATAAATACAACTCAGTAATAAGTCCTACCGCAGGACTGGAATACTGGAATAATGACAATTAATAGAAGCATCCTTCTAGAAGGGAAGAGGGGAAGAAGGGGGAAAGAAGGGGACCCGACGTCTTGCTCGAGTCGTCGGTTCGAATCGCTGTCGCAGGATATGTATGTATCTGATTCACGGCGTGCTGCGCTGAGCCAGCTCAGCAGTAGTACTGGGAGGCTGAGGAGTACATACAGAAAAGAAAAAAAAAAAAAAAAAAAAAAAAAAAAAAAAGTAACTGCAAAAAGCTGACTGCACCGGACTCTGGGCAGGATGCACAGCTGTTGCTACGATGGAGGTATTGACTGTACGTCCATCATCACCGCGCACCGATTATCCTCGTGCCCTCCTCTCCCCAACAGCAAACCCCAAGGTCCAAGACCCTCTCTCGTCCATGACGGCGATACTTGGCCAACAGCACGGCTCATCGTTTACTATTCGCCGTGCCTCCCGCTATACACCGCTCACTCTCTCTTGTTATTTGTGCTTTCAATTTCGCATCTGTGCGCCCCACCGCAGTCTACCATCTCTCTGGCTCTCGCGTGGGATCGTATCGTCCCGTGTGGTGTCGAATCGAATCGCAGACAGAGCGCTGTGTTGGCATCGCAACAAAGCAGCGGCACTGTGAGACTGATGAGGGGAAGGGGACGGTGAAATACTCGAGTGGAAAGCTGTCTCCCTCTTTTTTCTCTCTTCTCTCTCTTCTCTTCCCTCTTCTCTCTCTCCTCTTCCCTCTCCTCTCCTCTCCTCCTTTCTCTCTCTGGTCTTCAAGGTACCTTGTAATCCGTGCAATCCGGACTGCCCTCTGTCCCAGGAGAAGAAGACACGCAGCGCCACGGCGTCATTCCACAATTATTCGCATCCAGACCGGGGAACCATTTTATCAGTTTTTTTACTGGAAACGAGAGCGTTACGACCCAGACTACATACCCAGTAATCACGCGGGACTCAGATCCTCTGGCCGGTTCTGCCCTCTGGGACCCTTCGTCTTAGCGAAATTGGCCTTTTAAATCTCCGTCTTTCATGCTTCCAGGACCCCTGGTCATACCGCAGCAAGTCGTCCGCAGCAAGAGGTTGGCACTGGCAGCCGGGTCGATTTGATTATTAGCCCGCACGACCAGCAGAACAGTAATAACAACACGATACGAGGCAGAAGAGAGACAGCAGAAGGACAGGCCTGCACTCCTCCAGAGGTACGGTCCGCAGGTACGTGCTTCATGCAACCTTTTTTTGCTTTTGCCCATCTCTTTTCTCCTTTATTACAACGTATTATCCCTCTTCCCATGCGCCACGGCCCACGATCCACCCTTCCCTTCTCCCCTCCCCCCCCCTCGAACAGAACAACGCCGCCCAATCCCCCACGCATCGCGCACGCCAGGAACTCGATGCTTCTCCTCCAGCTGATTCTTACCTGATTTCCACAGATCCTTGATCTCATCTCATCTTCACCACCAGCCAGACGGGTACCCCTTTTACACCCTGCTCGGAGGCTTCATCCGCGATTCACGCCTTGCGCTGGTCCGGAAACGTCGCGCGGCACCAGTCCAGTTGTGATCGCCCACGAGCTCCCTGCGGCAGCGGGTTAGGCCCGCCCTCCGGCTTCTTGGTAACGGCTCCTCCTTAGTACTAGACTCTAGTCCCCTGATTCCTGAACCCGCCGGACCCTTTCCAAGAAACTTCCCTCCCCTCTCTCCTCGCCTCCCTAACCTCCTCTCGTCTCGACTCCCTCGACTCCCGTCCCTCGATCCTCGATCCCCGATCCTCGATCCTCGATCCTCACTCCTCACTACTCCTCCTGGTTCCTCACCCACCCGCCATCGTCGCGACTCTCGACGTCCAACTCACCACCTCTCTCCCCCCGTCCTCAACCTCGCCTGCATGCACCGGTGACTCCAGGTAGCTCTTTTCCAAGGGCTCACCCGCGACACGCACAGCTAGGTGAGAACGCGCTCTTTTGATTACCTCTCCTGTGGTCTCCTCACACCGTGTCTCGATGGCAACAGCGTCGTGCTAATACAGACGACTCACAGCATCGCTGTTGCTTCCTGCCGTCATTCGTTTTCCCTAGTCATCAGCACGACGAGTACACCTCGCACCACCCTCGCTCATCCATCACTATGACGGTCGCTTACGATCTGACCCATCGAGGGTCGTCAACGCCTCAAAACACAGCTGGCTCGGCATTGGAAGATCGATTCGAGGTTCTCAAGGACATTGGAGATGGCAGTTTCGGGAGCGTTGTTCTGGCACGAGTGCGTTCCGCAGGCTCTAATGTCGCACGACGTGGCACTGTTGTACGTCGCCAATCCCTTCTTTCTCTGTCGCGACTTAGAGCTGACTGCTCCATTCTAGATTGCTATCAAGACGATGAAGAAAAGCTTTGACTCCTTTGCACCTTGTCTAGAGCTTCGCGAGGTTGTCTTCCTCAGAACCCTCCCCCCTCATCAACACCTCGTCCCAGCATTAGATATCTTCCTCGACCCTTTCAGCAAGAAGCTGCATATCTGCATGGAGTACATGGATGGCAATCTTTACCAACTGATGAAGGCTCGCGACCACAAGTGTCTCGACACCGCGAGTGTCAAGAGCATTTTGTTCCAGATCATGCAGGGTCTAGAACACATCCACGCACATCACTTCTTCCATCGCGACATCAAGCCCGAAAACATCCTTGTATCAACCTCATCACAGCAAGACAGTGGGAACTCATTCCGTCGATACTCCGCCTTGGTCACCCCACCTTCTACTCCACCAGTATATACAGTTAAAATTGCCGATTTCGGGCTTGCTCGAGAGACACACTCTAAATTACCATACACAACATATGTCTCAACGCGATGGTATCGTGCACCAGAAGTCTTGCTTAGAGCCGGAGAGTACTCTGCTCCTGTGGATATCTGGGCAATTGGTGCCATGGCTGTCGAGATCGCAACACTGAAGCCTTTGTTCCCTGGAGGAAACGAGGTAGATCAGGTATGGAGGGTTTGCGAGATCATGGGGAGCCCTGGCAATTGGTACAACAAGGCTGGGGCAAGAGTCGGTGGGGGAGATTGGAGAGAAGGCGCTCGACTGGCCAGCAAGCTCGGTTTCTCCTTCCCGAAGATGGCGCCTCACTCTATGGATACTATACTGCAGACTCCCCAGTGGCCTGCCTCGCTCAGCAATTTCGTTACGTGGTGTCTGATGTGGGATCCTAAATCTAGACCTACCTCAACACAGGCTCTGGCCCATGAATTCTTCGCCGATGCAGTCGATCCGTTGAGGCCTAAATCATCTTCAAAAATGCTGGGCCGCAAACATTCTGATCTCAGCCATCGCGGCTCAAAGGACTGGACAGAAAGTGCAGGCTCAATTTCCAAGACATCATGGTTCAGGAAATCCCTCATTGGCCGAACAGACAGTGGCAATCAAACACAGCAGGCCACTGGCAAGGAGAACGTTGCACCACGGCCGTCACCTGTCCATGCCTCTGCAGTCAACGATGTCCCAGTTGCTAAGACACGTGCACAAGCTGCAAAGCGGTCAACCTGGAACAACGGGCCTTCCAATATGGCTCCTATGCCTATTTTGCCAACCATCAAGCCCATCTCGCCAATGTCAGACGCCGTCACGGCACAAGCTAGCGGTAGAACACCATCATACAACGACACCTACAACGGCGCCGGGCAGCGGTCGTCAGTGATGCATGACAAGGTTGCAAAGAAAATTGGGCGACAGCTCTCCGTCGCGTCAAGTAACAATCACTACGCGGAGATCCACCGACAACAGGCGGAAATGGCCCTGACAGGTGGTAGTGGCTTAGTGTCCCCTCCAAACGGCCAGAAGGAGAGTTTCTTCTCACACCTGAGGAAACGAGCTAGGAGGTTTTCAGGGCGCCAATCGCATACTCCTATGTCGCCTAAATCAATAGATATTGAAGCCCAGGCTGGGTGTGGGCCATGGGGCAGCAACAGATCATCAATGGTCATCGACAACAGCCAATTACCAGCTCAGAAGGTTGAGACATACGAGGCTCTCGACCAAGCCCTGCGTAGTGTTCAACAGAACTTGGATACGTCTCAAATGCCCAGTGCTCCTGTCCCGCCAAGTCATACCAGCAATACCAGCGGTGTGAGACGCCACCATTCATTACCCCATGCACAGGCTCGATCTGTTGATAACTTGCGCGGCATGGGACCCGTATCAAGTAGAACCCGGCGAAGTCAGGCACATGGTGTCCCGCATTACGAGACCCCTGATGAGGAGGACGAGTTAGTCGACGAGGCCTTGACAACCACACATAAGGCAATAAAGCGGATGGAGCGGAACTCACTCCAGAACGACTCTCGGCAGCCACTGCGGCACTCGACCAGTAGCGTGGTAATAACCAATCCCTACCCAACGCCATCGCCTTCTGCAAGCGGTAATGCGGTGCTCTTTGGCCAGGGGACACAAGTGACTCCTTCAAAGGGCTCGCAGAACAACAAGCAATCTTCAACGCCCCCCTACGACAACGAGGAAAATGAATGGGCCGCCTCTGCGGCTGCTAGCATATTCGCAGCCCAAAATCGGTTTTAATTAAGTTGGGTTTCATGGAGACGTGTGTATATTACATGGAGGAGAAAAGTTCTTGACTGCATCTACATTGCATGGTGTTCGGGGATTCCCTGGGGCAAATACGCCCCTGCTTGAAATCGTTCCTTTGTCTTGCACTCTTGTCACGTGGGCCAGCGTGTACATTTGGCGTTGTGTTTAATTTCTTTCAATCCTTCAATCCTAGTTTTTGATCTTTTCATACCCCAGCAGAGGCTGCCATCGATGCGCTTCTTCCTGTTTTCTTTACTTCCAAAATACCCCTCATAGACTGCACAATATATGTTGAGAGAGAGCGAGCAAATACTGCTTAACAGCGAAACATTTTTCTTTGTCACTTCCTGGATGCCGAGGCTGGCGGCCGGCGTGTAATGCGTGTTGTTGTGTCGGCAGAGTTATTTTTTCAGTGTACGATACAAAGGGGCTCAGATTAATCTGAATGTATGGGTGGTTAGAGTGCGGAGGGTAGGGTTTGTTCTGGGGAATGCCCTTCTGTCGGAATTTTGGGGTTTCGGAATGCTATATCAGCGGTGCTGGCACACACACATATCTTGGGTTGTATTTAGAAGGGCAGATCCAGATCAAAATATGGCTCAACGCCTTAATTTCTTTGCAACAATGGCTCCTGATGGATTATTTGGTGATGTGAACTTATCCTAACGTGAGAGTGCGGTATGGGTAACTCCCTCTCGCATCTCCTCGCGCTAAACCTAAAGAAGTTCGACTGCCTCTAGGTCAAAGATGCAACAGCTCTAGAAACTCCCCACCTACCTATATATCCATCCATCGTTACCTTCTACACCAGAGATCAATCTTTCCATTCAAAATTAGTATTATTAAGTTAATCACAAGAGACACCAAAATCCTAATCGTGCTGCGACTTAAAATCTCTACTCAACAAACAGAAAAACAAGGAACAACATATTTCCTGGCGTAACTAAGGCAAAACTTTTGGAAACCCCTCAGAAAACAGGTGTGGGGTCCAAATCTCAAGTTCCTATCTAAGAGACTATCTACCTTACCTTATTTACCTTACACCTCGGGAATGATAAATATCCCTTCTTCTTCTTCTTCGTCTTTTTATGCTCGAGGAGGAGCATCGATAACCATTCATCCATCAAATCAAATTAAATCAAATCCCGGACCATCCATCCATATCTCACTCACTCCTAATGTCCACACCATCCCCCTCCTCCTCCTCCTCCTCCTCCTCCTCCTCATCAACCCCAATCCTCCCCAGCAGCAGCACCACCAGCAAGCGCACTCCAGAAACCCACTTACATATGCATCACAACGACAATGACGATGTATCAGGACAGCCTCCCCAGGATGACAGCACGATGAAACTTGAACCGCGTGCTTATCAGATAGAGATGTGTCCATCTATCATTCCCCCCTTAAATCAGCATTCATACTTCTATTCCACTCCTCTGCTCTGCTCTGCTCTGCTCTTCTCAAAACCGCGCCCTCCCCCCCCCCCTTCCCAAAATCTCCCCCAAAACAAAATCAAAGAAAAAGACGGAAAAGAAAACTTACAGCGACGATAATATTCCTCTTCAAACTCTCCTCCAACAGGAAGTGGGAAGACTTTTATGTGAGATGATTTCCCTTTTCTTTTTCTTTTTCTTTGGTTTCCGTGAGATATGGGATTTGAAGTCGGGAATTGCGGTCCTGAGTGGGGTCTGGCCTGTCTTTAGGAGGAGAGGAAATGAGGAGATGAGGAGGGAAAGCTTGTGAGGAAGTTGGTTTGTGGATTCCCTTTTCTTTTTTTCTGATCCAAATCTCGTTATGTTTTCCCGTGGATTGAGAATTGAAGAGTTTCATGGCAGCAGCAGTGACGTCTGTTAAGTAAGTGCTTATAGTTCTAGCATTGAGATAGATGTGTTGCAGAGTTTTCAAAGGATTCCAGGATCTCTTCATCTGGCTTGGTTTCTAGCAAGCAACGCAGTTCTGTGACTTGAGGCGGTATTCCTAATTACTATTCTGCTTTCGTAACCATGTTGCCTTGTCACACCTGAGAATTTCTCCCAAAATTCGATGTATGCATGGCATTTCAATTCCTGTGGCGGGGTGAAGAGGTAGCATCTGAGCCTCATCTGTTTCGTTCTTATCTGGGTCTTTTTTTCGGTCCAGAGCTTCGTTCCGAGATATTGACTTCTTCCACTCAATTGCTAACGATGCCTACCTACAACATAGAGCTGTTTTACGCATACTCCATGAACTTGAACGCATTTCTCCTCAACAGGTTCGGCAGCTCCTTGCTTACAAGATGGTTTCTCTCTCTCTGACAAGCAAACACAGTTTATCTGGTTTCTGGCACCCACAGTAGTTCTCTGCTCGCAGCAGTTCGAATATCTCCAATCTCAGATCCCTGCTGTCCAGATTAAATTTCTGAGTGGGAGCGATGGAGTTGATCGCTGTAAGTTCATGAGCTCCCAACTAGAGACGTACAAGTCATGAAGTTGTACTCCCTTGGTCTGATTTTGGGCATAGAATACGGTGTCATGTTTCTCAAAGCTTCTACTATATATGCTCGCTTTGCTAACTTTCATAGGGACTGAGCAGAGTCTTTGGGATGCAGTCCTTAAGAACGTCAAAGTTGTTGTATCAACATATCAAATACTCTTGGATGCGCTGACCCATGGATTCGTTCGTATGGAATCACTGGCTCTGATCGTGTTCGACGAAGGTGACAGATCTTTCACTTACCATTCCTCGAACAATATCCAGCACATGCTAACAATGGGAAGCCCACAACTGTGTTTCAAAACACCCCGGCGCGATGATAATGCAGAGCTTCTACCATGAGAGGAAACGGAAGGGTTTAAGCGTGCCTCACATTCTCGGACTCAGTGCTAGTCCATCTATGAGAGCTGATCCACGTTACCTAGCCAAGGTTGAAGAAACTTTGGACGCAATCTGTCGAACGCCGACGAAGAGTCGGGCCGAGTTAAGACTTCAGGTCCACCTACCGGTCTTATCATACGTCTACTACCAAAGTTCCCCTCCCGAACTTCAACTCACTGGCAGTACGAGAGCAATTGCAAGCCTCGGTCAAGCATTCGCGGACCTTCAAATCGAAGAAGATCCGTATGTTCTGGGTTTGTTGAAGGAAGGTACTGAATCGAGTCAGCGAAAGCTGCAAAAAGTACGCCTGAGACGCAGAACTTGGTGTCAAGATCAGATGAAGACTTTCCATGCAATGAGCCTCAAGATTTGTCACGAACTTGGGGCTTGGGCGGCTGATTACTACATCTCAAAGGTCGTGTCTAAGTCCGTTAAGATGGCGGATAATGAAGGTAACTCCATTACAGCGTGGGATATCGCAAGTGCAGAGAAGCAATACCTGGCCAAGGCTTTGAGGAATGTCGAGATCAACCCTGCTGCCGGCGGCGATACTCCTGCCGTGATGCCACTGGTCTCGGACAAAGTCACAAAGTTAATAGAGTGTATCCTCCGAGAACCTCCTGGGTTTTCTGGTATTGTTTTCGTGCAAGAGAAAGCCGTTGTTGCTGTTCTGGCCCATATCTTGACCGTCCATCCCGCCGTTCGTGGTCGTTTCAGGGTTGGAACGATGATTGGGACTTCTGCATCTCCATACCGTCGCAATATTGGAGAGCTGATTGACGTGAAGACGCAGCAGCAGACTCTGTCCCTGTTCAAAGCCGGGGTCATCAATCTTATTGTGGCCACTTCCATACTGGAGGAAGGCATCGACATCCCAGCCTGTAATCTCGTAATCTGCTTTCAGAAGCCGGCGAACCTAAAAGCCTTTGTGCAGCGTCGTGGGAGAGCCAGACACCAAGAGTCCAAGATGATCCTGCTGCTGGACTCGACAGACAATCCGACAGAGTGGGAACAGCTCGAGATGGACATGAAGATGCTATACGAAGACGAGATGCGCACGTTGCAAGAAGTCTTGAAGATCGAGGATACGGAACCGCATGACGGTAGACAATTCCGCGTCGAGCGTACAGGTGCGCTCCTAGATTTAGACAACGCCGTGTCGCATCTTTACCATTTCTGCTCTACTCTACCTGCCAAGGAGTATGTGGACCTGAGACCGGAATTGATATGTTCAGAAGATGGCCCATCTTTTATCCGTGCGAAGGTGATTCTGCCGCTCTCGGTTCACGAGGCTGTACGTACGGCTCAGAGTCGAAAGTCGTGGATGAGTGAGAAAAATGCTATCAAGGATGCTGCATTTGAAGCGTACATTGCACTTTACAAAGCTGGCCTGGTCAACGAGAACCTATTGCCCTTGCTCAGACATGATGCTGTTCTCGATGAGCTAACGTCTTCTGCTGTTGAAACTCGGGCATCTATTATGCTTGTGAATGAGCAACTGAACCCGTGGATTGGCATTGCCAAAGAATGGAAATCATCCCGAGATGTCAGACAATTCACAATACAACTGGGGGATCTCAAAGTACATTCGTATCTTCCGATCAAGCTACCTCCTATAACACCATTCAAAGTGTATTGGGATTCGAACACGGTGCTTTCTTTGAGTCTGCAGGAAGACACTACGGTTGGAGAAGGGCTCTTGAAAGCATCGGAGGACACCTGGTCGATGCTCGAAGCTGCATTCGGTGCTCGTTTCCCAATACAGCGGAAGCAACTCGTCATGCTATTTTCGTCGACAGAAAATAAGCACCTCAGTGATCAAATGGGTCGTCAGACAGTCGCTCTTACTGAATCGTCTTACTTTGGTCTGATCAGAGATACAACCAACAATGTGCCATATTTCTTCAGACAATGGATTGCAGAGAAGCCAAGTGTAGAGATGGTGCAAAAGCCCTACCTGGGCTATGCTGATATACCTATAGATTCACCTCATCTGTCTCTGACTCGGCTCCCCCGACGGCTGGATCTTCTCCACAAATTTCCCCTTGCGAATTCCCAAGCTTCAAACAAGCCATACTCTGTGGTCTTGCCGACTTCGAGGTGCACTGTTGATGACTTGCCTGTTGAGTATGTCCAATTTGCGATGGCAATTCCGTCAATCATGCGTCGCCTAGAAGTCTATCTCCTGGCAGATCTACTTTGCACCACCATACTTCGAGACGTTGGCATTAGGGATATCAGTTTGGTTGTGACTGCGATAAGCGCATCTAGTGCCCAAGAGGAGACGAACTATCAACGCCTGGAATTCCTGGGTGATATGACGTTGAAGCTTTGTACCGCAGTGCAACTGGTGTCCAAATACCCTTTATGGCATGAAGGATACCTCTCGGCCCAGAAGGACAGGTTCGTGGCCAACTCGCGATTATCAAGGGCGGCCATGGAGACCGGCTTGGACAGATTCATTGTAACAAAGGCATTTACGGGCAACAAGTGGCGCCCGCTGTATGTCGACGATCTGCTTGAGCAACCCACAGACACACAGAGGAGTCTGTCCTCCAAGGTGCTCGCCGATGTTGTCGAGGCACTTATTGGTGCTGCCATGGTTGATGGAGGGTTCCCCAAAGCTCTCGCATGCCTCCGGGTCTTCATTCCTGAACTCGATTGGCAATCACTTGAGGAAAGGCGATTCGCGCTCCTTCAGCGAGCCCCCGAAATTGAATTACCAGCAACACTCCGGTCATGTGAGGAGCTCATCCAGTACGAGTTCAAGAAGAAGTCATTGTTAGTTGAAGCAATGACCCACGCCTCTTGCAATTCAGGGATTGGCTCGCTGGAGCGGTTGGAGTATTTGGGAGATGGAGTGCTAGACAGGGTTATCACCACCATTCTCTTCAGACTGGAACCCAAGCTCTCCCACGTGCAAATGCATCTGATAAGGACCGCGCTCGTGAATGCAGATTTCCTGGCTTTCGTGTGCATGGAATGGGCCATAGTGCAAGAAGGGGCAGATGTCGTGGAGGCCACGGCTGAGGACAAGACCCGCGGGAAGTTTCTGGAAGTATCCTCGAAAGTTTCACTACCCCTCTGGAAATTCATGCGACATCACTCGCCCGATCTTGGTGCCGAGCAGGTCGGAACGGCGAAACGACACGCAGAGCTCCGCGACCAGATCAACGCGGCCATCGAGACTGGGTCACACTACCCTTGGGCTCTCCTCGCGCGGCTGCAGGCGCCTAAGTTCTTCTCTGACATTGTGGAGAGTCTTCTGGGTGCCGTCTGGGTCGATTGTGGATCTTTCTGGGTCTGCCACGAGATCTTGGAAAGGGCAAAAATCCTGCCGTACCTGCAGAGGATCATCAACGAGGGGTTGCACACCTTGCACCCCAAAGAGGAGCTGGGGATGCTCGCCGATACGCTCACGGTGCGGTATGACATCGAGATGCGGAGAAAGACAGCGCTGGACACGGAGGATGTGGCCAATGCCATGGGCGAGAGGGAATACCTGTGCAGAGTGTTCGTTGGGGAGGTTGAAGTGGTTGCAGTGGACGGCGGGGTCAGCAGGGAGGAGGTACAGACGAAGGCGGCGGAAATGGCCGTTACGATTTTGAAGGCTCAGAAGGAAAAGCGGATTGGTAGCAAAGAGATGGTCGGGCGGGACGACATGGTCAAGAAGCAAAAGTTGAACGTGGATATTGAAGTGGTTGATATTGAAGTCAACGTGGAAACGGGTATGGATTGGGAATGAATGAATGAATGTCTGATGAAGTTACGACAGCGGCAATGGCGCGATGATCGGGAAAGAAAAGGGATGTTTGATTTGGAAGAAATGGAAGATAGAACGAATGAAGAATGATTGTGAACCATATAATATGGTTCTGAGATTGGTGAAAGCCTCGAGTGGTGATCACTGACCAACATCAAGAGCCTTTGAGGAATACTTAGCCTCACAGCATTGTAGATTGATTTCTATCACCGTTCTGCTTGGCCTAAACTTGTAGACCTTGCAGACGGGAGAGAAGCACTTACACAACTTGTTCTTGTTAATTTGTCCGAGAGCTGACCCCTCTCGGCCCTCGTGGACCCGAGACAGAGTCTCCTCAGTTCTCCCCCTAATGAGAACCACCACACGTGACCGACGCAGCAAGGAGCCAGGGGCTTGAATGCCGAGACCTCGGCCGTGGGAAATCTCGATGAGGGAGGGGAGCTCCCTGCGAGAGAAACATGTATGATGCATGATCGCATCACACCGTCACGATATTCACATTCTCGCACTCGCACTCTCGCACTCTCGCACCCGCCCACACACGGGACAGGGGGCGGCTGAGTAAGCCACAGGAAAGATCGGCGATATGGCGTCTGATTTTCAAGCAGAACAATGGTCCGAGAAGAAGTGAAAAACAGGAGAAGAAGAGGCCAGAAGCCTGACGGCCACAAAGTCTCCGAACAAGTTTGTCCCAGTAGAAGACACGCAGAAGCTCTCCTCTGTCGCCGGACGACGGACCGCGCAGGTGCCAGGGCCCCGTTATTCCGGGAGAAAAGAGCAATTTGCCCTTTGATCCTGGCAAGCGGCCAAGCGAGCATTAGGGCTATCCTGATAGGGCATGGCGGCCAACAGAAAAGGAAAGGGGGCCAAGGGGGGTTCTCCGGCCTCGGGTGCCTTGGATTCGAGGAACACACGATGATGGCGGGCCGATACCAGATACGGAGGGGCGCTAGGGCTCAAAGCCGCAATGCCTGGAAATGAGTGGCTGTTGGTGCCGACGTCGGCATTCCTGCCTCCTGAGTGGCCACTAGCACTTTAAACTCACGCGAATCCGCCCTCCGCCGGCTTGGCCGATGACGACATTGGGCCGGCACCACCTGTCGAGTCGGTGCTGTGCATTGCATGGCAGCGTGGGATGATGGGGGATGGGGGGAAGTGTTATTTGTGTATCAGGTCGTATAGATACGATAGGGGGGCTGGTTGACCCGGGGAAAGTCGGAGACAGAGAGGAAGGTATCACTACCTACAGTATGATTACCTAGGTAGGTACCAGGTAGGTACACGAAAGATGAAATCACACATCGAACGATTTTCGTGGGTCCAGCGTATTGGGGTCTTGACTCCTGAGGCATCAGCTGTCGAGGGTGGGGAAGGAAAGGGGGGAAGGGAAGAGCCGGGTCATGCTTAGCTAAGTCGCACTTGTGCCCAGGACGGTAAGGGCATGCGGGGCCATGTCATCTGCAGGCTTGTCCCATGTACGTAAAGCTGCGATAAGCATGGCGCGCTGCACCCTGACGTCGGCGCTCCCTAGGTCGTGCGTCATTGTGCCTCTCGGCCTTACGGGGTAGGTACGTGTAAGTCCGTGCCGCTACACTTGCTTTGATGGCTTGACGCTTTAGGGAGTTAGGGAGGGGGGAGGATGGGAAGGGAAAGGGCGTTTCCTCATTGTTGATAAAGGAGGAATGACCACATATATACCTAGGTATGTATCTCCATGTCTCCCTACCTCGGTATGTATATCTGCGTGTGTGCTTATGCGATATGCATATATATATATATATATATCGTGGCTTGCTTGACACTCCCGCCCTCCCTTTGCTATCAGTAGGCTCCATCTCACGTATAGGGGTACACGACTATGACAGAAGGAGGCAGGTAACACAGATGGAGCATTGTCTTTTTCTCTTCCCCACCTACGTATCCCTTACCGTATCCTTCGAGTATCCCTGATGATCCCTCACCTAGCAGCACATGATCCACACTTGTCACTCGTGCAGAGCGGTGCGATGTGCGATGGGAGGGCATCTCTGGTCTGGTCTGGTCTGGTCTGGTCCATGATTGATTGATTGTTCATTGATCCCATCCCAAGCACAGTACCTAGGTATGTATAATGCACACCTCTGACAAAGTGACAACACCCTGACAACGTCCTGCCCGGTCTTACTCGTGGTAGCCCCGACTCGAGCGTTGTCGAGGCTGCAGATCCCGTCTGCACAGGTCCTTTAGATGCCACAGAATTACACACAGGAGCAATCTGGAATGTATTCGCCCCCTCGGTGGCTGCCGATCAACATCTAGACGGAACAAAAAGACGCTGCCGTATGTATGGTCTTGCGGCCCGTCCCCCGGAGGTCGGACTGGGGGGCTCTAGGCTTTGAGTTTTGACTTTGGGTTTTGCCTCTGAACTTGGCTATGACCATGAGGTGTAATAATGAGGTGAACCCTTATACAGGAGGAGAGACTGAAGTGGTGCTTACATCCTTCCGTGACTTGTTCTTGCAAGCCAGATATGGTTCTATATAGACGTAGAGCTTGATATAGATATGGGCAATCCTCCCCTGTCCTCCCCCCTCTGCACCACTTGTTCTTCTTCTGTTCTTCTTGAACACCCTTACTCCCTTGGATTGAACCTACGCTCGAGTCTCCTGCTACCAGCTCACTATCAAGTGGCAAAGAGCAAGAGCCAGACCTCAACCTCTCAAAAGACCCCTCTTAGACCAACTAGACGCTGAGCTTCTTTCGAAACAAAGCCAGCAAGCCTTTGAAGTTTGGGGAGGAGGGGAGCTAGGTGCTCGTACTCCGGTTACTTAGCGGGTTATCGGGAGAGGCTTTCCTTATTATTAAATAGCATTTCATTTTCGCCGCCTCTTTGCAATTAATCCACCCGCGCTTCTCCCCCACCAAGACCCTCCCGCTGGCGCACGCCCAACAACCAACGACCGACCATCTTGAACTTGATCCTCTACCACGTCCTGTATATACCCACCTATCCAGGCAATCTCCCACCTCGAAAAAGGAAAAAGGAAAAAACCAAAAACCAAAATTAATAAAATAAAAAGACCCCCGCGTGGGCAGCAACAACCCTGGCGAACGAGACGAGTAAAGACGAGGAGCTTCCCACCTCTCGCAGTGCATCGTTGAACGAGAGCACGCGCGACAAGAGCTCCAACCCTCCGACCATGCCCACCGATAATACACGACGAGAAGTTGAGGACAGGGTGAGACGACCTTTCCCGTGCGCAGCCAAGGGGCCCGAGTGAGAGCGGTAGCTGACCAGACGCGCAAACACACAGAGCGAGGAGGGCTCAGTCGGTCTGCCCGACCTGGGCGACAGCATTGATGCCATGACCTTCGAGCAGATCCTGGAGATGGACGACGACGAGGATGAGCGCGAGTTCAGCCGCTCTATCGTCTTTGGCTTCTTTGAGCAGGCCGAGCAGACCTTCACCAAGATGGACGATGCTCTGTAAGTTCCATGATCCTCTTCTTAAGACAGAATACTTGTCCTTTATTTTATTTAATTTTAAATTTTTGTAAATTTTTGGGTGTCTGTTTGTTTTAAGCCTTTGGCATGAGGAAACACCTTTGCTGACGTGTTGCCTGTCGTTTGCCCCCGCATAGCAAGGATGGAGATCTATCACAGCTATCTTCGCTCGGACATTTCCTGAAGGGCTCATCAGCCACGCTCGGTCTCACAAAGGTCAAGGACAGCTGCGAGAAGATCCAGCACTACGGCCAGAAGAAGGACGATGCGGGCACAACTGATGAGCCGGACGAGGCAACGTGCCTGTCGCGGATCAAGGAGACGCTGGTGGCGGTCAAGGAGGAGTACGCCGAGGTCGAGAAGGTGCTGAAGAAGTTCTACGGAAGCTGAAGGACCGTGGCGGTGTGTATGGCGGGATATGTTCTCGTGCTGGCGCATCTCGGGCCCAAGCAACACTGGCTGCGGGTCGCTGGTCACGACATTGAAGGTTCACTTATGAGCAGTGGCTTTCTCTTACAGCAATACTCCCCATAGCTCTGGCGCATAAGGGTTTGCATTCAAACGTTGTTTTTCATGAATCTGAAGGCATGCTTCATGGTCCGGTTATACCTTTGGTGGCGGGGGATCGATCTCTTTTTCTCTGGCACGGCTCGGGCTCTCTCAAGGTTGATAGAGCGGCTTGATGAGCGAAAGTGATGGTGGACTGCTGCTCTTCCTTTTCTTTTGTCCCTGATCTATCTAGAATCAGGAAACCAATGCGAGATGCCCGAACTGGGGCTTGTGATGACTACCTATCTTGTGCTGCGCATCGTGACCCTCTGCTACCTAAACCCTACACATCCCTCAGTAATACACTTGATCTGATTTTCAGGCAAGGGGGATTCCTCCCCGTCTTCCTCACGAGTTTCTCCCTCAAGAGGCTACCTACTTTAGCCTGACATCTTCAGTCCCAAGGCTGAAGACCCCGTAGAAGGATTTTCTAGCCAAAGCGCCTAGTTTTCGTCGCAAATCCCCTCCATGATATATCAAGGAAGCTCCACCTGTCCCTCAACGACATACTCCTCATCCCCATCGTCCAACTTCCTCGCGCCCATCCTACAAATCGCCACATTCTCCAGCCTCACATCCGACATCCACTCATGTTCCTCAAACCTCTCCAACACCTCCCTCGCATCAATAGTCAACCTGCCTTTACTCCTCCCTCTCCCCGCCACATAGACCGTATTCACAATCGTCGCGTGCAGCAGCAGCGGCCGCGTATCCGGGACCAACAACTCGGCCGCACTGAACGCCTCCTTAAGCCTACCACAGAACCTCTGCAATCTAAGATCGCCATCCACGGGCGCCGCGTACAACACCGACGTCTTGTCGGGGTTCTGCATACTCTCCAGGCCCCTGAGCGTGACTCTCAGCGGGGTCCCAGATCTCGCCATCGCCATCGCCTCTCCTCCTCCAGCTATCCGCTCCTCCAGCATCTCCCGCAGGTTCAGCGAGCGCAGGAGCGCCAGCGCCTGCTCGACGCGCTCTGCCGTCAGCAGGCTCATCACGCCGAGCGTGAGATGCAGCGTCCCGACGGGCCGCACGGCCGCCTCGGGGATCCCGCCCAGGTCCGCGCGGAAGGCGCTCAGACTGCTTTGTAGTTGGGGCCGCGAGGTCGTGGTGAGGAGCGGGAGGCAGAGGAAGTGTGTAAGGCGCGGGGCGGGTGCGCGGGGAGGCATGGTGAGTGTGAGAGGCGTGGCGGAGCGGTGGGATTGCGGTGCATTACAACGTCGGGTATGATGGAAATCTCCTCCTTTTTCTTTTCTTTTTCCTTTCTCCTTTCTTCTTAATGAGAACACGGCGTTCTCGTGGTGAGGGCGGGTGGTTAGGGGGATGGCTAGACCTGTCCGCCTGGGTTTGTTGCCTGAAAATACTGGAACGGTTCGCCCGTCGCGCCCCAACGAATCAGGCAAGAAACTTCATTTATGAATCGGGTAAGGGTAAAATAAAGTATGAGGTTCTCTATACTATGATGTTTACAAGAGCTCTCTCTGCTTTCTTACATGAAGTTTTGCGGCATAAATTGTGCCCGAAATTGAATCTTGAGGCCCCTCGTAGAGATTGACACTTTTACATAAGGTAGGTAGCGATCTGTTAAAGATATATTTTAATGATAATAAGACTTTTGAACCCGGACACTAACAACGGGAAGGTATATTTTTATATACAGAAACGAAATACATCATGATGAGCATCATCCCGCTCCCCGCTCCCGCCCCGCAAGGCTGCGAAACCCTACTACAGCCTCGCCGCGCTTACCGAGTGCGGAAGCCCCTTGCCTCCCTGCTAGGCAGCCATAAATGCACCTTTCTCTTCCCCTCGCGCATCCCCAATGCCTTCTCGCAGCGCCTGGTCTCATTGCCCTTGAACCCCCCAAGATGCCGACGACAGTCAGGAGATGGTGCGCTCCGAGAAACCCCACGACATGAGCAGCGGCCACGACAAGAAAGCCCGCCGCGCAGCCACCGCAGGCAAACAGGGCATCATCGCGGCCCCGCCTCGCGCCGCCCTCAGCGGCCGCTCGAAAGCCGAGGCCTCCTCGCACGACGACAGCGCATCCACGAAGAGCGCCGCCGATGGCAATAACAGTGGCAATGGCAATGGCAATGGCAATGGCTCGGAAGCCGAGGAGGCAGAGCCGCAGGATGGCCGCAAGAGGATTGCCGCGCTGGAGAAGGAGCTCGCGACCCAAGCGGCCGAGTTCGAGCGCGAGCTGGCGCAGCTGGGCAAGAAGATGATGGAGGAGTCCGAGACGGCGCGGTTCTGGCAGCAGAAGCACTCGCAGCTGAACCAGACGTTCCTGAAAGCCGACACGGAGCTGCGGCTGCTGCGGCAGGAGGCGGACTCGGCGCGCGGGGCGCGCGAGGAGCGCGAGCGCGATGTGAAGACGCGCATCTCGTCGCTGATGCTGGATCGCGATGCCTTCCGCGAGGCTTATAACGAGGCCATGGGCGACTTGCGGACGAAGGAGGATACGATCAGGGAGTTGCAGGGGCAGGTGTGGGGGCTGAAGAGCTTCGTCAGCACGAGCTCGAAGATGGATGAGCAGGTGACGGATGAGGCGTTTGGCGAACAGATGCAGAGACTGGGGAATTCAATACAGAATTGGGTCATCACAAATTTCAGGAGGGCCAAAATCAGTACGTCACTTTCTATTGCTCTCAAAATGCTTACTTGGTCGCCCGAGTATATGACCCGTGGTTGGCATATTTGAAGCTTTGCAGTAACCCGTATCATTGTTGAAGAGTCTTCTATGAGCAGCTTCAAAGTCTCTGTAGTTTCCTCCGTTGGCTACTACAGCATTGGATGTGTAAGCTGACCCAACGTATAGACACTGACAAGGCGAGCGATGAGATGCGGGAACACCTGCTCGGCTTGGTGCCTACATATGAAGCTCTGGCTGCTACTTCCAAGGTCCATCTTATTCAGTCAATCGTGTCTCGCCTTTTCGTCGACTACATTTTTGACGAGTACTTTGTCGGACTTCCCAAGGAACGTGCAGATGAACTGAAGAATGTCGAAGAATATCTCAATGCTTTTGGTGAGCTCGATGAACTAGTCTACGTATAAATCCATACGTACAAATCTGATTGATTCCAGGCTCAATCGAGAGCATGAACCAATGGCGTTCGACGACCCTTGCCATCCTCCGGAAAGAGGCACCGCAGAAACTCCAAAGTGAGACAGCGGCAGTCGTAGAAGCTGTAGTGGCCCAAGTAAACAGCATTCTGTGCTCAATCAGCGATGCGCAAAGCTCAGAAGCAAGAGACCAGTCCCTGCGGGCGCTGATTGGCAGCTCTATTGACCTATCTCGGCTACTCCGAGTCCAAAAAGCGGTCTTTAGTATCGTTATGCCATCCATCGAGGGACACCAGCGAACGATGTTTGATGCAGAGATCATGGAGGATATCGGCGGCGAGGACGAAGATACTTTGAATGAGCGGGAAATTCGCTGTGTGACCTTTCCCGGGATCATCAAGTCTGGAGACGAAAACGGACAGAGGGCACATCTGAGGAATGTCGTTTCCAAGATCCGAGTGCTGTGCGCACCTGACTGAAATGAGGCGTTGAAAAGAGGGGCAATGAGGCAATGAGACCAGGGATAGGAGGCAATGAGAAATTGGATAGCTCTCTGCTTACAAGGCATACCATAAAGCAAATACCTACGTACGTGACGAACTAGACTCTGTAGACGAAATTTCTGTTTCATGAAGACTTCCTCAAGCCATTTCTGGGTCATTAACTGCCTATCGGAGCCTTGCACCCCTAATGGTGAAACGTGAGCAGTCGCAATAAAATTCTCGTTCAGAATCAAACGTGGCACTCTAGCATGGCCTCTGCACTTTGCCAATATACGATGCAGAATTCCATTGAGCCTTATTGGCAGGGTAGACTTGAGCCTCAGCGGGGGTGGGGGGTGAACCGCCACGCAAAGGGGCCATGGAGGCTCTACATACCCAATCATGCATGAGATAGCATTCCTCCTAGGAACAATGAGCGGTGGGTTCATCGGATTTTGCAACCTAAATGCTTCGAAGGGCCTCCGAACCCAGATCCAATTGAGCCCGCTGACGAGTAGCATTGCCCAAAAGCACTCGCTGGTCTGCTGACGCGGAACCCAATGCCTCTCGACTCCTTGCGCACCTGAGGAGCGGTGAACATGTCCAGGTAGGTACATGACGACTCTTGCCATTCCAAAGCCTACCTTACCCAGCTTGCGTCGTCTTACCAAAAGAGTATGATCCCCAAGTGGATAGCTGCAGAATGTAATTACATGCGCCTGACATGCAGGGAGCGCAAACCACTTGATGCTCTCCTCGCCCGACTCCCCTTTCAACTTGGAACTGTGAGACGGCGGGTGAAAGGACAACTGCAGGATCGGTACCACGAGGTCAGGATAGCATGTGGACGCCGTTGGCAAGGCCCACGCTATCGGCATGGGGAGGGGAGCGGAAGGAGGATTGAAGAAAAGGAATGTCAATTGATTCTGCCGTTAATTGCAAATTCGGCCCTTGTATGTTCCGCCGAGTATGATGATGGTGTAGAGACAACTCATCGCCCCTACTCGCTGTACCTGTGACTTGCGTATTCTCTCCTCTCCAGCTTAAATAAAACCGTAGGACGCTTCGTAATTGCCCTTCGCCATCCCCAACAACAACAAGCCTCTTGAACGTTCCAAAAAGCCTGACATTACGATAAAATCGAGCTGGTCTTGCTTTTGAATAAATAACGCTGGAGGAGGGTTCTCATACCTCGAACTACGAAGTACCTTGTCGAAGCGAGTAACCGACGCAACTTTGCGTCGTCCCTCCTCCAAACACCATCGGCGTTTAACCTTCGTCTTGAGGGAACTTGCAACACCAACCATCCACAGCGGGCTTGGACTGGATTCATCGCCACGCTGCTGCTGCTGCTGGTGGGCCGTATTACATCCTTTTCGAGGTGCGTTCTCGTGGTAGAACGGCTTTCCCTTCCAAGGATCCTGATCCTCATCGAGGGTTCTCGCCCATTTCGGTCTGCTGGGCCATTTCTCGGATTCAGAGAGTAGATCCGATAGTCATGAGTGAGGAGCCCCGAAAGGGTTTTGACAGAGCGCGGTTTTTCTACTTCGAACGGCCTGATGAGCCACCGTTTTCCAGCTATTCCAGCCCACGTAGAGTTGCTTCGAGCACCAGGATCCCGATCAGCAGAGAGCATGTCGATACCCACTCCCCTCCCGCTGTGAATCGTTCTCCCAGCAATGCGTCAACAACATCTAGTACAACTAGAAGTACCAATAGTGATGTTTCTAATCGAGAATCGCCGACATCGACTGTTGCATCGAAGGCCAGCCAACCCCCAGCCGGGTACATACAACCACCCTCACTGAATCAGCAGTTGGCTTCGGCTGCCTACGACTATGCCAACGACGAGCCATGCGACTTTGGCTTTCCCGATTGCGATCTGCGTGACTGTGCCGATGAGTTCGAGGGCTGGATAGCTCATGCAGCCTCTCACTTTCCGCATAGCACTTCTCCGCCGTCGAAAGCCGTCTGTATGTTCTGCGATGTCGAATTCGATGGTGCCGAGAGCGAAAACAGTGCACACCCGACTTTGTGGGAGCGTATGCTACATATCCGCAAGCACCTTCAAGATTTGACTTCCCCCGCCATCGCACAGCCCGTCCTATCTCTGATAGAAGGCATGTACGCGAACGACTTCATCAGCCATGACCAGTACGCGTGTGCTATCCAGTACACTGAGAAGGATTGGCTCTTCCCATTAGATTATGAGACACAAGAGATGAAGATAAAAAGGGAGAGAAACTCGCAAGAGTATCACAATCTTGACAAGGAGAGACGAGCGCAGAAGAAGGAAGCCCAGAAGGACAAAGACAAGGGCAAGGGCAAGGAAGTCCACGAGCAATCTCAAGTTTCCCGCAGGTCCCGCCGTCCGCCAACGGTCCGCCAAGCGGATCTTCGCCTCGTCCCGAATACGCGGCGTCGCGGTCCCACGATACCCTAGTCTGACCGACTCTGACGTTAGGGGTCCTCACAACTTATGGAGGTCCATATGTCACACAACACTTGTTGTCTTCAGCAGGAGAAACGGCAGGATGGCTTGATATATAGATCTGCAAGTGGCGAAGAAGGTGGTCTTGGGGTGGCGAAAAGTTTTTCGGCACTCCCGATTGCCTGGAATGTTGCCTCCTCCCATTTTTCTTTTTTGTATTCTTTTTTCGACTCCTTCAAGTTGGTGACACCGACTTTTCACAAGCGGATACCGACAGATTGGTGTTCGGGAATCGGGATGCTCGCCGGGTATACGCGACGGTGAGGCGGCTCAGTGTCCTACTGGACAAGAAGATTTCAAGAGTCGAGGGAACTCTTGTTTCTTATGAGATGGATGACATGTTCCCCTACGATGATGATGATTATGACTCGACGACGACATGTTTAGATTCGTGAAAGGGCTCATTCTTCATTTCTCTACCCATACTTCTTTGTCTCTGGTAGTATGGATTGCTGTCTTGTATAGATATCCATGTCAATACCAATCTCCTCTACTTCATGTTAGCATTGTCATCAACGGCAGCCTACATTACTGTATTATTACTTACAAATTGAGGGAGGCTGGCTGCCTCCACGTCAAAGATCCTTCATGCACACTCTCTGATTTCCCGATTCGCACTTCCCGAGCACTCCTTCAACTGAAGAACCCGAGGAGAGTGAAATGCACTTCAGATTCTTGGAAGTTTACTCTCGCACGGGCCGAAATCCCAAGCCCGGATTGGACATTGCACATCCCCAAATCGAGGCAATCATGCTTCTCTCAACAGCGACCAAAATAATCAACAAACAAACAGAATTCTTGCATACCCAACCAACTAACTCATCAACAAAGAATAGAAAGGAAACACCCTCCCCTCCGCATCTCCCATATACCTATCAACCCCCCCCAAAGTCATCCACCAAAGGAGCCTAACCGATACAATCAATCAACCAGCCGTCTCGTCTCCATCAAGGCTGAATCTAATCATCATTAGCGAATCAAGAATCCAGAACACGCCATGCCATCTCATCCCCCTCCCAACCTTAAACGCACGACATCCAGTAACCTCCCTAGTGCAAATTTCACTTATCATTTTTCTGTTTAGGAATTATTGGTTTGGATCGTGAAGCTGGGGAATCTGCCTTGGAGAGGCGGACGGGGTTTTCATTGGATGAGCGAGCTTCATTGGCTTGATGCCCGACGAGAGAGATGAGTGGTGTTTATCATAGATGGCATAATCTGGGTGGAGATAGGTAAGTAAGTGGTTTGGTGAGTCTTGTCTTGTCCTCCTTGTTTCTGGAGAGGGAAATGCCGTTGCCACGTATTGTAAAGCTGGTCAAGTGGAGATGCCAGGATGGGGGGTTGTTCTTGAGCTCTGGTTTGCAAACACTACACGAGTCTCCTGCCCCCCTGAAAAGATGGGGATCTTCGAGGTTTGTCCGATCGTCTGACTGACGGGATATATTTCATATGCATATTATTTCCACTCGCATGCACAGCCTCCTTATATAGCGCTGATAACTGCCCGTCCTCATTATATCTTCCAGTTCATCATCAATCACTCATCTCATTCCCTTCCACTTCCTTCTTCATACATGGAAGCTAATGATAACTGCGAGGAAGTCCCCACCTAGTGAAACTCTGCTTCCACTCGCCCATACCTAAAGCCGTCGACCTTCAACTCGAACGCTAATCCCGCACTCTCTACCACCATTTCGAGAGTGAAGTCTAAGTTATCGAACTCCACCCCCCGCGTCGTCGTCAACCTCGTGAATAAACTCTTGGGTACTGCGCCAAGATCTGTCGTGAGCGTACACACATTTATCAGATCTCGAGTATATGAGGAGGGTGGCTCTCCATCAGCATCTGAGGCGATGAGGTCATCGGATACAATCTAGACAACCAGTGTTAGCTTTTAAAACCACGGACCACGTTTGTGCGGGAATGCCATACCAAGGACTGTCCAGGCCTGAAATTCCGTGTATAGTGAAAGCTGATGGGTGTATCAGCGCTAAGAGTTTCTCCCTGCGAAGAGGTTAGTTCAAACATCATAGTTCTCGGAGCTGGGGGTCCTACTTTCGTAATGTGCCATTGCATCCTGTCGCTAACCATCCACCGCTCCCACAATGGACTCCAGTATCGTTCACTGACTTGGTGTTTATTCTCATCATAGACAGTAGCATATGAAGTTCCGTAGTGCATTCTCGCTTTACGAGATATAACCATGCTCCCTTCCAGGCCCCTCAAGACCGCACCTCGTACAACCGCTGTCCATGCATTCACAGGTTGCATGACCTCGACGGAACCATTCGCGATCAATGAGGTCGCTTGTGCAAGGGTAGGTCTCTCGCTATAAGGAGGCGGGGCTGCAGTATTGAAGTGTGCCTTCAATCGCGTGTAGAGGTAGTTGCTCTGTCCAAATCCTCCAACTAGCACTATACCTGATACGATCCCACCCTTTTTCCTGATGCCATCTACTTGGCCTTGTACCAAATCACAGACTTCCTTGACGACGGGTTCGAAAATTTCTTTGATCTGTGCTGCAGTCATGACCAGAAATCCACAATCCAGGCCTGCTTCCTCGTCGTCAGGCAAGCCTGGGAATGGCACGTTGACTTCAGCATGTTCCTCTTCATTGAAATTGCGTTTGACGAATTCCTCCCAATACCGCAAACCCATTTGCCAACACTTGCCCTTCTTGAGCTTCATCTCTTCAAAACGTTCCTTTCCAATGCGCCCCTTTACATGCTCTTCGAATCGATAGTTGAGGAACGCACTGCCACATAGGCCTCCAGTCCCAACTGCAGACTCTTCAACTCGCAGTGGCTTCAGCGAGATGATTTTATATGCAATCAAATCGACCGTCCCCCCTCCAGCATCGCAGACAACGAAATTGTCTCCAGCGCTGAGATGATTAGGTTGTATAGCTTTCAGGGTATATACAGCAGCAGCTTCAGGTTCACTGATCATCTGGATATCAGATTTCGCACCCATACCAGCCCTTTCTGCAGCCTGCAACGTTGTATTCTTTGCAGCATCAGACCAAACAGCTGGGCAAGTAAGAACAAACTCTACTTTCGTTGAGGCCATAAAAGACTCGCCGTAGCGTCTGGTAAGTGTCTCCATGGTATGATTGTAGACTTGCGTCAAGTAGTCGCTCACTGCATCCACGACATTTTTGTTGAATCTCTTCAGTTGGGCAGCCGTTTCCAGTGGACTCACATAGAAAGGCAGCTTCTGTGACCGGTCGAGGAATAATTTGATGCATCGAAGGCGAGATTCCTCAGGTCTGAATTGAAACCCCCACTTGATGTTAGGATCAGCACCATCAGGGGCGTTCGGGGGGAAGTCGTATGCAATTTCAGTTGGAACTTTATCCGACGTGATTCCATTTCCACCTGGCCAGGTCTTGATAATCTCAACATCGTCTGGAGTTGATGTGTATACAGCCGCTACGCTATGTGATAGTCAGTCTTAGGACTTATGTTGGGGCGTAAGGACTCGATAGGTAACCCAGCGCAAAGCCAGATACCCCACAATTCGGCTCTGCTAGAGAAAGCGCAGTACTTGGAAGCGGCGCCTGCATACAATAAGAGAGACCTGAAACAAAACCCAGATTTGGCTGACTTTATACCCCTACCAGTAGACGTCAAGTGGCACAGTCTTTGCAGACTTACAAGATACTTATCTTGTCTATAATACTATGAGAGCTAAACTTACCCTGAATACGTAGTTCCAAAATCCAGGCCGACAATCAGTCGATCATTTAGAGGTGCAGGTTCTCGAATTGGTCCAGCAATAGCCTCGGTGGATGAAGTAGGGGTGTAGTTGGTGAAGTGGGCCCTACTTTCACCATTCCTTCGGCTTGGTATTCGAATTGGGAGACTCAGATCCATGGTTCTGGTTTAAACAACAGGTTATGGCCATAAGATCTCGTATTCAGGCCGCTTAAATCTCGAAGACTCGAACGTCTGGAAGCACCGTTGGCGTGGGGAGTTGACGTTTCCTCAACGCTGTCTCAACCTAGGTTAATATATAACGAGCGGCCTTTCTAAATGACACGAGTATTCAAGAAAGATTGAAGATTTGATAGACGCCCTGGATAATGTGAAGGACGACGCGCACCGGACTGCCTTGTGCAAGGAGCCCCCGTCCTCTCGACTGCCCAAGACCCGATATCTTGAAGAGAGGATGCGTCCTATAAATGACACAAGGCCGATAGATAGCCCGATGATGGATACTCTGATTATCTTGCAGGTACAGACACAGGCACTGAGGCACAGAATGTTGGAGCCTGTGAAGTAGGCAGACACTTTTGGACCTGGGAATTTGACGTAAGTTCTGGATGCGGGGCAGAAGGGATGCCGAGACAGATAGACGGAGATAGAGATTGCAAACGATCAGAACACAAGGACTCGTGTCTTCCTTCTTCTTCTTCTTCCTTCCCTCTTCTTCATCAACAGCAAATAACAGTGTTTATTATTATGTGGAAAGGCTTCAAGCGTCGGAAAGGAGGAGGTCAGCAGCCAGGGTGTCTGTCTAGCGAGACGGGCCAAATCCATAATGGGGGGGATTCTGCCACGACTGTATTTTTAGAGGTCTCAGCCTACAAGGCTGATTACGCCCTGGCCGCAAGCAACATCGAATGGTTGAATCTCGTTTCCCGAAGCCAATGAACGTGTTCTCTTCTCCTCGACTCCATCGATTTCTTGGCCATGGAACTATGGGCGGCAGGATTCAATGCTTGGGCTCAGTTCCACTTTGATACTCCGGTTCCAGTTGATCCCGTGGACCTGCCCAACTTCACCTCCATCTTGGAAGACGATAGCATCGAGGTCCTAGCATTATCCGAGTCTGCCATCGCAGGTAAGCCGTTTATATCAGGTCTTCTCTCCTTGCCCTCGTTGGAAAGTTCCATCTGGATAAAAAACATGTCCACTATATCACGTGATGGTAACGAACCTGTATCTCATTTGATGCTGTCTGCGTTCTGGCTCATCCATGAATGCAATGAGATGAGTTTTGGGGGACCAGATTACCACTATGCTACGCCATTCTTTCATAGAACTGTTAGGATGAGACCCTCATCATCACGTTCTGTAAGGTCCCTTGATCGACTGATCCCCTTATCTTCAACTCCCTTTAAAATTTGTACTATTCACAATATCCGATATACTTTTTCCCAATCACTCAAACCAACTTAGTTGTTGAAAGGCTTTGTTCTGTTTTTAATTCTCGTCACTATTACCAGGTCTGTTAATCCAGCCATATATCTGCCAACCTTCTCTCACCTATTCATGACATGGCAATTTAGACATATTGTTACCCCTACCAAAGTCCTCTGGATAAATCCCTAGACTAATATTATACAGTTAAAACATCCAAGGGCCTGAAAATCTCCGGCAATCCCTCAGAATATATGACACATTTTGCTTCACTTTGTGCTGAGAGAAAAGAGGAGGGTACTTGGCCTATAGCCACTGCGGGTAATGGGAAAGTTGCGGGTATGATCCCCCTGAATCACTCAACCTAAATTATAATGGGCTTCTCGCTGATCCTCTAGATATTACGTCCGGTTTCATCAAGCAATATGACCTCTTGGAGTACGATTGGTTCCCGTCTTACCTTGAGAAGGACGGCAAAGTCTTTGAAGAGCTTGATGGCACTGTAACTCAGATTGTTGCAAATCGAACTACGTTCACTGCTCTCACCTCAACCGGCAATGTATATACCTGGGGAGATGAGATGTACAAGGAGCGTCTCGGTCGAGAAGTGTCAAGTAGCAGGTAGTGATGATCTCCGGCCTGCGGATTGCTCTACCAACGCTAATTTTCATTGGCAGTCCAGCCTCCCAACCAGGCATCGTCGAGGACCTCTCTAATCTTCCGGATAAAGTTGTTAGGATTTCTTCTGGTGGCGCTATGACGGCTGCCTTGACTTCTGGCAACGACGTTTATTTCTGGGGTGTGGGGATGTCAGGTCCGTTAGGCAATCTCTGGAGTGCAAGTCCACAACCTCTCGACCTAGATGAACAGGATATTCTCGACGTTGCCGTAGGAAACGAGCATATACTTATACTTACCACTGAACACAAAGTCTTCGCTATCGGTGCTAATGGGAGCGGTCAGCTTGGCCTAAGTAACAAGGAATACAGGGAGTGGACTGAGATCCCTTTACCTTTAAAAGAGCGGCAAGAGGTCACGAGAGTGTATACGAGCTACAACAACTCGTTTGTATTAGTAACAAATAGCGTTTAGTGCTTGAAATGGGCAGCCATGGGCTTTCATCTTGTTCTCATCACTTTTTCTTATGCGATTCTATAATACACCATGAATGAATTGCACAACGTGAAAAATGCCAGGCGGATGACCAAAAGAAACAAATCATAGATTAGTAAGGTAATCCTCGATCTCCTGTGGGCTTAACTTTCTGAACCTTGGCCCTTGTGCCCCCTCAACTCCCTCGACGCCCAGTAAATGGTCAGCTGGTGGGCCAACGATCCCTGAATGATATTAGATATACGTCGAACTTCTATGGAATGGAGAGCCAACTTACCAATCTCTATTGTCTCTCCGTTCATCTCTCCTTCAATAGTCTCCTTCAACGTCAATAGAGCAATATGGACCGCGTCTTCTAGCTCCAAACCCTCGGTATATCGCTTCTCCAAGAAGGTCTTAGCAGAGGTGGCACTTTTGCCAATTGCCGTCGCCTTCCATGGGAAATAACTGCCACTGGGATCAACCTGATACAACATGGGCCCGCCCTTCAAGACGCCTCCAGTCTTGCCTGACGGCTTGTCATCTGGATGCGCACCAGCGGCCTCTTCTGATTCTGGCTCAATTCCATCATCCCATCCTGCGATCAACAGACTGACTCCATATGGTCGTACACCACCGGACTGCGTTGCCTCCTGCATGACCCTTGCGACATCCTGCACTAATATTCTCGTGGGGGGGTATTCATTGTAGATGCGCTTGTAGCCCGTGTGGGAGACTTTTCGTGCCTTGTCGACCAACACTCTATAATCCGGTCCCATACCTGAGTATACCATGCCAATATTCGGGGTGATCAGGCTGACTTTCGACAGGGAGGGAGGATCGATTAAGGGCGATGAGGATTTCTTTTCTGTAGCCAGGACGATGCCGTTCGTAGCTGTAAGGGAGGTCAAAACTCTGCGCAAACATGTTATAAATACAGCTTGGCTATTTACCTTTGATACCTAGTGCAGTCACACCCTGATTGACAGCATTCAAGGCATATTCTGAATCCAAGAGTCAACATTGGCCGGTCATGGGTTATGAACGGTGAGGCTGGGGCGCGCTCTCAGGGAAGGTATAATCTAAGCTGAACGAACCTATTTGGACGAGCTTCCCACTATTATAAGTCAGTATAAGTTTCCCTTTTGCTCATATTGTACTGTGATACGCGTGATGGAAAGCTAGAGTTGGGAGAGCATACCTGGGGGAGAAGGTTGTCAATGAGAAGGAATATCTGTCCGCCATGATTTCCGTCTATTCTCAAATTTCGTCAGGAGTAATCTCAACGGTAGGTAGAGGTAGCGGATGGTTCAGAGCGATCTAGTGTTTGGTGAAAGAGTGGAAAGTTGAGTGTCGCCGTTGCTACCTTAGAGGTCGTTATGTCGAGCTACTTCACAGGCAGCTCTGGACGCGAGTTAAGTGTTGATGCCTCAGATCCAAGGCGAAAATAATCCAGTATTCGGCTCCGAATTTCTTTTCATCGGGTCTTTTTTCACGAAGCCACATCTCAGATGGTCCTCCAAAATCCAATCCGCACTTTCCTCCTAGGAATATCTTCTAATTGCTAATGACCTTTAAAGCTGACTGCCCTAAAGAGGGAGAGTTGGCTTCGAAAGCCTCAATGACTATAGCATTTCTTTAGGCACTGAGCTGCCGGCTTCACGCAATGTCGTCGATTCCAGCGGAGACCCGTTCAGGCTGGTCGTGGCCAGAAGAAGCCTCCGCGGGACCATCTACTGAGCAAAAAGCACCTCTGCCGGGATCATTTGAAGATGAAGAATGGGACAAGCCTGAGGAGAGATCCACGGCGAGTGCAAATGGAACGAATCCGACTCCCAACCGCCAGAGACATTATCCACCACGAACGTGCAGAATATGTTTGGAGACCATACTACCAACATTCGAACCTGCTCCGGAAGGTGTTGCATCAATGCTCAATCCAACGCCGAGCGTATCTTATATCTCCTCAGATCCAGCGGCTGGCCGGCTCATTCGACCTTGCAAGTGCAGCGGTTCGAGTCGATACGTACACGAAGGCTGTTTACAAGCGTGGAGGCATGCCGATCCAGGATACCCTCGCAGAAATTATTGGGAATGTCCGACCTGCGGATTTCGGTATAGGCTGGAACGTATGAGATGGGCTCGCTGGATTAATAGCACCTTTTTACCACTTTTGCTTACGGTTGCCATTATGTTCACAGCAGTCTTTGTATTTGGATTTATTGCAGACCCAATTATCAATCTTTACCTCGACCCTCTGGACACAATCACCTCAATACCGTCAGGAGGACCGGCTTCGCTACACTTCGAAGACAGCGATGCTGCATCATGGGCGGAGCACTTCCTCAAGGGAATGGCATCTATTGGTCTCCTTGGTGTCGTGAAAGTCTTTTTTACATCTCCCTGGCACTGGTGGAATCTACGCCAGACTAGGGTATTGGGAGTCGGTGGTCGAAGGGGTGGGACAGGGAGAGATCGCTTAGAGGACATTTCATGGACATTGGTTTTTGTTGGTCTCATCACATTCTTATTGGTGAGTGGTGCATCTCTTGCGAGCCGTGGACGATTGCTGATCCTCGTAGGCCGTATGGAAATGGGTCCATGCTTGGAGTCGAAGAGCGCTTGAGAAAGCCGGTGAACGTGTTGCTGATGTTCAAGGAGATGACGATGACTTCGAAGAACAACCAGGTGCCAGTGGCTCGGCTACAGCAAATTCAGAAAGTGAAACTCCGAACACACAATAGCATATCAAAGATCCGCGTTTTCCAGGAAAGTCCTGGAATATTTGTAAATCGGGCGAGTCCACTAATTAACAATTATTATGAGGTCGAACGCCTTGGTTTAAAGTGTCACGGTGACATGAGAAGTATAGAATTCTCCTTTCTTTCTCCTTTCTTTCATTGCACACTCTTAAGTTGCCACGCATCCTTCTTCTGTGCGTGTTCAACTAGTCTGTATGCAGATATTTACAGCTTAGCTGGAGCCTGAAGCATGAGCGTCTTGCTCTTGTTTCGTCCCGGTGACCGCAAGCATCGTCAGCATCATTCCGTATGCCCCGTTCTCATTCGAGATTGTGGGTACTGGTTTTCCTCGTCCGTGTGATGTTTCCAAGAGAATCCAGAGGCGGCTATGTTGATACATTGAAGTAGTGAGACCCTCCGTGGCTTTTTCCAATTCCGCTCCCCCAAGTTTTGTTTTTTTATATCATATAGTTGCCAGTAGCTACAAAGAAGCAGTCCAGTGCTTTTGAGTGATGAGAATTAAAGTTTTTAAAAAATATCCCTTATCTTGAAAAGTGTTGACTACCTGCAAAAGTGTGGTTTTGTGAGTTCGCCCTGCTGGAGCCCCCTGTCACCAAAAAGTGGCTAGGACTTGGGAACATAGGGGACAGAGTATATGCTGGTTATACTCTAGGCTCTGAATCAGAATCATCTGTAAGTTCTTGCTATCTCGGGGGTGTTTTTCAGAGTATCAGATAATTCTGTGTGGTCTAATGAGCTTCGCAGAAAGCAATATGGGTCTCAAGACCACTCTCCGCTACCAGCTCAATCTCAGTGTTATAGCCAATAAAGAAAACGTATCCCTCCTTCACATCGTGTTCCTTGCCCTCTGCCTTCAGCTTTCCTTTGCCACCAGTTACAATCATGATGCTAGGCCCTTGAATAGCCTTAATCGTTTCTGTTTCATTTGCTTTCAGCGTCGTTACCAACATATCGAACTCGCTCATCGGAGGAGATAACAACTTTGTGTGGCGTTTCAAACTTTTGTCCGTACTCTTAGGGGCCAGGATTGCGTCCGGAGCGTTGTTGGGACGGAAGGTCAGAGCTTCTGTGAATGTTTCAATCGAATCTCTGTCTGCCCTCGGGCAAAAGCCGGTATTGAGTACATTGTCCGATCGTGCCATGCACTCAACAATGTCCCCAGAAAGGTAAGCGTGGATTCCATCGGCTGGGACATAAATCGCATCTCCTTTGTCAAGGACGAGGAAGTTCATTGTTAGAAGAGCTACCAAAGTACCTGGATCGCTTTTGTCATATTGCTGAGCTAGTCGAGGCAGCAATTCTGGAATATAAGAAAGTTTTCCAAATTCCTTTGCAGGTGTCTTCTTTAGTGTTTCATATACTTCTGTAATTTCTTCATCGGACGCACTCAGAATTCGTCCCACGATTCCCTTCACGGTCTCAGCATTGAAATGCGTTTGGGACTCGTTGGTAAATTTTGACTTGAGGATTCGGATCGTCGTGAAAAGTCTTTGAATTTCTTCGATGGGCAGGAATCCTACAAAGACCTCAAACTTGCCAAGCGCTACGGCTATTTCTGGCTTGTGGTTTGAATCTCCTTTTCCTCTGGTCAGCTCATTTACTAGCTATAGGAGGAATTGCGACGGACCAAATTTCTTGGGGTCTTTCTGATGCAGACGAGCTGCAAGGTCCTTGTCAGGATGGATCTGAAGGGGTAAAGCTTTCGCAATGGAAAGAATCTAACACAGCATCAATCTCCGGTATTAGCCTCGTCATTGATACGATGGGAGCAGTTACCTTTGGGAGGTATGGAAGATCAGTCCCAAACTTGTTGAGGATTGGCTTCCCTATAAGCTTTTCCTTATTGGCATTGAGGTGCTTCTGAAGGTCCTCGCGAGTACCAAGAACGAGGGATGGAGTGGTAGGATAAGTCCCGCACCACATCTCGGCCCATGGCTTTTCATCAATCTTGAAATGGCCGCCAGGTGCTGATGCAGCATATTGAGCAGCTAATGAGTCTCTTCCCACTTTACCCCAAGGGTAGTCGTTGCACTGACACTCCAACTGAATAACTGAGGAAGACATGACTTTCTTTGCACTTAAATATTTGAAGAAATTGAGAGGAACTGAAGAGCTATAGACTGAGATATAATAGATGGAGAAATCGGGCTTGCCTGTGATAAAGTACCTACAAGCATCATTCAGTGGGATCCTTTACCTGCTTCAAATCTTGAATGACGTTGACATTGACGTTGCTCTACTTTCTACCAGCATCGTCACTCCTGGTCACCGGGCGGGATCCCCCCATTGAAGTGACTAAAACATTTATAATAAGCTATGGGCTGGGGCTCTGCGGATAACAATCTACCACAAGTCCAAATCAGGCCGCTTTGATTCTTGGGAGAGAGAGAGGCCATTAGTTGAGAATGTTACCTGGGTAATATAATATGTAAATAAATGTCAAGCTGAGCCTTTTGCCTATATTGCGCTTGACTCAGTTCATGTGGTAGTTAATTGGTAAACAGATAGCCACTAAATATAAATATTGATACCGTTTATCTTCTTGGCGTTATTTACCCCCGTATGTCGCTAAATGAGCCCAAGCGGCATTTGGAGCCTTTGACAGGAAACTTAGACTCTCATTTCCCACGGCGCACTGTACGAGCCTCCTTCACAGTCGACGACGGCCTGTCTGACTTTGTCGCAGAAGACAGACATTGGGTTTTCACTCACTTAAAGATCCATCCCAATTGTCAGAAGCTCGTGCGCAGCGGCCGCACAAGCTAAACAGCGCGCCAGCTGCGAATACGAAACATCTGCGGATACGAAAGAGGACACCATTCTCATCAGGCCTTGCCATCGCGACCATAACCTTACAGTCGACAGATATCGAGACTGCTGTATCTTGACACCAAGTTCGTGGTGCCAGAAGGCCGGCTCTCTTTGCACCATGCACCTGGCGTTACCTGCGAGGAAATCAACACACCCCCCACCGTATGCACCCCGGACAAGACGGTTTCCAATGCTTCGCAGAAGTAGAGTTCAGGCGATAGTGATTGGCTTGTGTGTGCTGAGCGCAGTGTTGTTCCTAATATCGCACCTTGGTGGATCAGATGGAGTTCCTTCAGGAACGCCCCCGGTGGTGATAGTCACGGTGCTGGACCAGGACAACTACAGCAAGGCATACATTGACAATATCAAAGAGAACCGGATTGAGTACGCCAGAAAACATGGTAGGCGGGAACTGTTTGAGACCCAACTATCTATGCTCACAAATATATCTATATAGGCTACACAACATTCTTCCCTAGCAATACCGACTACGACCTAGCTGGAGCCCCGAGTTCATGGGCACGAGTGCCTGCTCTTCGACATGCTTTAACCAAGTTCCCTCACAGCACTTTCTTTTGGTTTCTGGATCAGAACTCCTTGATCATGAATCCGGCGTTGACGATCGAGGGCCACGTTATGAACCCGATAGAGAGTTTGATGATCAAAGACCAGCCAATTGTGCCACCGGATAGTGTCATCAAGACCTTCTCGCATCTGAAAGCACACCAAGTCGACCTGGTTCTTTCGCAGGATAGAGATGGGCTCGCCCACGGAAGCTTCATAGTCCGTCGAGGAGAATGGAGCAAGTTCTTTCTTGATACTTGGTTCGACCCTCTATATCGTTCTTACAATTTCCAGAAGGCAGACGCACATGCTCTGGTATGTTTCCATTCTCTTCCCATTCCTAAAACATGAAGCTCATAGATTCAGGAACATATTGTACAATGGCATCCTACTATCCTATCGAAACTCGTGCTGATCCCACAACGAATTATAAACGCTTATAGCCCAGGGGGTCCTGCAGAAGAGTCAGGAATGTACCATGATGGAGACTTTGTCATTCGCTTTGCAGGATGCGACCAAGGAGGTGGACGCGATTGTATAAAGGAGGCGGACCCTTTCTCGAAGCAATGGCGTACGGTTTTTCACTCACAACGTTAAAGCTTTCACCTCGATATATTGATTGAAAGGATGCGACCATACGGCCATAGTGGCCTCGATGACCTACGACTTGCAAGGAGACACTGAGGACCGGCGTTCCTGGCGTAAAAACATTGCGTGGAGAACGAGCCAGCAATATTGCATGGACATCCGCAATGGTACTGGCGTTTTGTGGTGTGGAAGAAGCAAGAATCTGCTCTCCTGTGTATTATTTCACATGCCCTCGCAGTCATGGGACTGTTTGATCTTTCGGATCTGGGGAAACACTGTCGATAGGCCGTCATGGATGAAGAGAAAGTTGGCGCTGCTCTATTGGATGTGGGAGGAGCAGATACATAATATGATGGGTCAAATAGTTAGTACTGTAATGATATTGCAAACCCGAGATGCTACTGGGTCTCCGGCGACAACGTATTCCCTCGAACAGTGACCTCGAAAGTCCCCTTAGTGTATTACTAGCCATGCCCATCAAGCCGTAGTCCATACCTAGTGTGTTTGTTGAATGACATCTTTGCGAAAAGTCTCCGACAGAAATGAGAAGATTGGGAATCTCTAATCGTCCAGTTATTACCTTGTCGAAAGATTTGAATGAATTCAGTGACATCGGAAAATAAAGTTTAAGAGACGAAGACGATCTGCAATATATCTTGCCCCGTCCAGAGTCCTTGCACCGATTGTGGCATAAAAATAGGTATGAGCCTGGGCCACCGCGACGAAACGGCATCGCATGTGATCCCTTAGCTTGACTACCCTCGGCATCCAATACGAAAGCTTCGGTCCTCCCGACAATTATCTCATCAATGAAATGCGTCAATAAATAAGTGAACCTTTGTTGCCCAAGGGATACTTTGCACTGTTGGTTTTGGAAAGACTCCGCCAACATGCCGGGCACTTCTAGGATGCCAGTAAGCCTGCGTAATAGCCTCAATGTCAAGAAGGGCAGTTCCAGCAGCCAATTGCTGTCACTGAATATTGATCTGTGAGTCTGGCCATCTCCCCAACAAGCGCTGCGCAATAGCGACGAGGCTGACTTGAGAATCGCAGGTTTCGCAATATCATCTTCTTTCTCTTCTTGCTGCGATGGACAAGAAAGGGACTGTTGAAGCTTAAAGGGAGAGGGGTATTCGGCACAATCCTGGATGCCTATATCTCCATCCGACGAACGCTGTATGGCTACTTCCTCCGCGCGCCGGGTGTTCGATCGCAGGTGCAGAAGCAAGTCAATGAAGCCATTACCAAGTTGCAAGGGAAGCTTGTTCCGTCAGGGCCCGGAGTGACGAAATATGTGAATCTACCAAAGGATGGGTGGACGGAAGAGGCAGTATTGAAGGAGCTGGAAGCTCTGGCAACGATGGACCACACACGATGGGAAGATGGTTATGTTTCGGGAGCCGTGTATCACGGAGGGGACTCATTGATGAAGTTACAGACCGAGGCATTTGGGAAGTTCACAGTAGCCAACCCCATACATCCAGATGTGTTTCCGGGGGTCAGGAAGATGGAGGCAGAGATCGTGGCTATGGTCCTGGCCATGTTCAATGCGCCGCCTGGAGCAGCAGGTGTCACCACCAGTGGAGGTACCGAGTCTATTCTTATGGCTTGCCTGAGCGCGAGGCAAAAGGCGTATGCTGAGAGGGGCGTCACTGAGCCAGAAATGTAAGGGTTGGTGACGCACGTGTTCATGTTCAACCGCTGATTGTCTTCCTAGGATTCTCCCAGATACAGCACACACAGCTTTCCGTAAGGCAGGCGAATACTTTGGTATCAAGATCCATCTAGTTTCCTGCCCTGCACCATCATATCAAGTTCACATTCCAAGTGTGTCTCGCCTTATCAACAGCAACACAGTTCTCCTTGTTGGGTCAGCACCCAATTTCCCGCATGGCATCATCGATGATATATCCGCGCTCTCCAGACTTGCATTGAAGCGCAACATCCCTCTCCACGTTGACTGCTGTCTTGGATCTTTCCTCGTCCCCTTCCTCGACAAGGCAGGGTTCGAAACCGAGCTCTTCGACTTCAGACTCAAGGGCGTGACCAGTATAAGCTGCGACACACACAAGTACGGCTTCGCCCCCAAGGGCAACTCAACAGTCCTGTACCGCACCTCAGCTCTCCGAACCTACCAGTATTTCATCTCCCCCGACTGGTCCGGCGGGGTCTACGCCTCTCCCTCCATCGCGGGCTCCCGGCCCGGCGCCCTGATCGCCGGCTGCTGGGCAAGTCTGATGAACGTGGGTGAGACGGGCTACATCGAAGCGTGCCACACGATCGTCGGGGCAGCGAAGAAGATCATCGGCGCGATCCAGGAGAACCCCGGATTGAACAGCGACCTCCAGATTATGGGCCGACCGCTCGTCTCGGTCGTGGCCTTCACGTCGAAGACGCTCAACACGTACGACATCGCCGACGCCATGTCGGCCAAGGGCTGGCACCTCAACGCGCTGCAGAGCCCGCCCGCCATCCACGTCGCGGTCACGCTGCCCATCGCCAAGGTGTGGGAGAAGCTGGTCGCGGACCTCGAGGCCGTCGTCGAGGCCGAGAAGGAGAAGGAGCGCGTGCGCGTCGCCGAGGGCAAGGGCGCTAAAGGGAAGGCCATGGGCGACAGCGCCGCTCTGTACGGTGTCGCCGGCAGCCTACCGAACAAGAGCGTCGTAGTCGACCTCGCGGCCGGCTTTCTGGATACGCTGTATAAAGTCTAGAACCCCCCTCTTTTGTTACTGCCCAAATATATGTATATTAATTATAGTACACCATAGTATAGTAGTATAAAATGGGCGTTGGGATTCAGCTTCATCATCATCATCATCTGGTTCTACCTACTTTACATATTGGTTTGTCTGCCAGATATTGATTGCATGTCGGCTTGCGAGCCTTATATATTTATCCATCTCTCCCTCTAATAAAAACAACCCCTACCGTATATAGCCAGAATCTCAACTGAAGAGGGCAAGCTTGCTTTATGCTACCGGCGGGGTACTACCTAGTTAGTAGCTAACTAAGTGGAAGAAAGACGTACAGCTGCAGAAAAGTAAGTAAGTAAGTATCAACACTGGGCAGAACCATTTCTTTCACTTCCGGAGAAGGAGAAATAACGAGATGGGAGATAGATATTATCTGTCATCCCAACACGCAACATCTGAATCTGAGCATCATGATATTCGAATTCCAATCAAAACAAAAATGATAGGTATTTTGAGATTTCATTTCCTTCTTTTTATTTTGAGAGAGAGGGAGAGAAGAGCACCATTTGCTTTTTTTTTGCTTCCTTGCATACCTTCCTTACCTTACCTACCTACCTACCTAGATAAAAAAAATCCCGAAGGTTAGCTAGCCATGCTAGCACAATATATACAAGTGCATTGCAGGATCATCCATCCAATTCCCATCTATCTATCCATCCATCCATGCATGCGTGCACGCCCCATCAATTTTCTTTTTTTTACACATTAACATCTCAACCAACCAGCTAGCTCCCGCCTCAAAATCCCAAGATTAGACCTCCCCGCCCTCACCCCTGAAGAAGCCGTGGTGGCCGGATGCGGTGACGCCCTCGTTGACCATGCTCTCTGCGTCGCCGACCTGCTTCCGCTCCGTGACCTCCCGGTTCTTGAGTTTGAGATTCATCTGCTTCACCCTCATCATCGTCAATCCTTGGGCCGCCGGGGCAGAGAAACCCGAGCCGGTCCTCATGACTGCTGATTGTTATTGCAGAGGTTCCGACGAGCTGGACAGCCGGTTGAGATGGAGGTATACGTCTGTTCCGTAGCTGTGGGGGGGAGAGTTAGTTAGGGTTGAAGAAGGGGGGCCGGGGATGTGGGGGATGTTCTTACCCTTCCATACTGATCAGCTTGAGATCCCCTCCGAAATACCGCGCGTATAATCGGGATATCGGTAGACCGTATCCGAATCCTGCCATGGGCGCTTTAAAATCGCTCTTGTCGAAATCAGGATCCAAGCTGGGCGTCGCATCCACCGTCGTGTACATGTATGTCCATACGAGAGGGATAGCACTCCGCGGGATGCCCCCTCCCTCATCTGAGATTTTGATGGTGATATCTTCTTTCCCTTCTGCAACAACCACCTTCGTCACCGGGAAGTCCTCCTTGTCCTGGCCGTGTGTCTCGACCACAGCGCGGAGGGAGTTCTTCAGGGTTTCGAAGAGCATGTGCGACAGATGTCCGGGGACGTACATGAAATTCAGGTTCGGCGGGCAGACGAGCTGGACCTTCGGGGCGTCGAATAACCCGTAGTGGTCCTCGCACACGAATCGAGCGTTCTCGATGGCTTCTTCAGCCAGATCGCGGACGTTGGTCTTCGTGCAGATGATCCCGACATATGTGGGATCTTTGTTGCGGCTCTGGTCCGTCAGGGCAATATGTTGCCCGATCAGCATCCGGATCCCGATACGCGACATGTAGAATCGGTCGAGGAAGGATTGGATGTTGTTATCGATCTGCATGCGTTGCCGTCGGCGCTTGTATTCTAGGATGCCCTGCGCTACGGTGGTCACGACGCCGTCATGCCGTCGTTTGATCTGGTTCAACGTTGATGCGAATCGCTGGTTGTAATCATGAAGCTCCGGAGGCCAGTCCGTACTATCCTCCACCGTTGCAAAGTATCTTCGCGTGGGGGCTTTCTTGGAGTCGTTTCCACTTCCGTGTGTCTGCCAAGGGGATGAGCTATATTGACCCTCCCTTACGCTGGGGTTGTGTGTCGCCTCCGTAAGGATCCTTGATTGCTTCCCGTTGCTATTCACGGGCTTCATGAGTTTGTCTCGAACCTCCTTCGATAATCGTGGTTTTGGAAGAGTGGTTATCTCCTGATCACATGTCAACAGCTGCCATAGGTCTCTCTCCGCACTCAGAAACTACCTCAAATGACTGCGCATACCAGTCCTGTACCCTCTTTATAGATGGCATCTCATTCAACCCATCTGGAAGCTCCTGAAGTTCCTGTACCCGGTGCGCGAGCCGGATGGGAAGTTCTTCAGAGAGGAACTGCGACGCCCGAAATAGTGTTCCTACACAGAAACAGATGTTAGCAAAGCGCTCCCCCCCCTCGTAATGACTTGACGCCCCATCGCGCCGAGGTGGAAAACGTACCTGTAGATGGCCTCTCCCCAAACTGTACCATCTGCCTCAAGCTCACGCCCGTCGCTGGGAAGCCCGAGTAATGCTTGATGGTGTCCATCAGCTTCTCGGACTTTTTCCAAGACATCGTGTGACTGCTTCGCGGCCCTCAGGCCTCTAATGGATAATGGCAAGCCCTTGGAGAGTAAGCGGCTCTATCAAGCCATGTGCTGTTGCTGGCCACAGTGCGAAATGCTCTTGTTTGTCTCCGCGTTCTGTGCGCTCGTTCCTGAAGCTGCTTATGACGCACGCGGGAGCTGACGAAAGCCGAGGTAGCCCGCTCGCTGCTGGGCCAAGGCAGAGGGGGAAGCAAAGCAAAGCACAAAGAGGAGGAGAAGAGAAGAAGTGGCGAGCAATTGAGCAAACGGGCGGGTGGATTGATGGAGAGGGAGAGAGATGCGACGAGAGGAAAAGGGGGCGTGCAGAGTCTGGTGTCGAGGATGGTGTTGTGGGTTAAAGAAGAGAAGCTCGGTCGTGTGCTCCTTGGGACCTTGGGTCGAGTCATCTTTGGCAATGTTCGGTCGCCGGCAATGCCCCGCGTTCCCCATTGCCGCACGACAGGAATCCCGTCGGTGCGGCAATCCAGCGGATGAATGGTATTGCCTCCTTATAGCCAAGCATCCCGCCAACTTCGAGGGAGCTATTAATACATTCATTACAACGTCTTCCCGAATCCCTCCCTCCTTGCATTCCTTTGACCTGCACTGCCTATTCTCTCCCCTCAGAGCTTTCCATCCTCGTAGAGCCACATGCGCTCAAGCAAGAGGTACAAGTTACAACCTCGGGACACACGTGAGCTCGGGATCTGGCTTGGCTTTCGAGAGAGCGATGAACGGGCAATGTCGGGAACAAGGAAGTGAAGAGACGAGTAGAAGGAAGACCTTTTGAGCTCTGTACCCTGTCTTTTATAAGATCCGTCTTGACACTTTTGGTCTGGACACTTTTTGGCTTGAATTAGAGACAATGACCTTGTAATGGCGCCAAGGCAAGGCAAGGAGACCAGCCACATTGACCCTATAAGCCTTCTCGAGGATAGTTAACTTCATTCCAAGTCCAGCATCGTGCACAACGCCATGGTGATATATGTTTTGATCTTGTTTTCTGATTTTTGTATTGGTATCACAAATACGACACCGTCTAAATACTCAGCTGTAGGACGCCAGTCCAATGCAGCTGGCCGCTAGCCATCCCCACATCAAATCATCAAATCGGCCATCCGCTTGAACTCATCTAACTCATCTAGAGTCTAATAAACCAAACGAGGCTTCGTGGTAGCCTCCCATTCCCCTCGTCACTTCCCCTCATTTCTTCCCTTCCCATCCTCAAAAGACCCTAGAGAAGCAAAGTAAACTGGTATTGTACAGATGCAAGTGCAAATGCAAAACAAGAAAAATGACCACCAGATGCCTGCTGTATTCCCATAAAGCGGAATACATAGAAATTATGTTGTACGCCGACTCCGCTATGCATTTATTAAGACCACAATTGTGTAAACGAGCCCCGCGGGAAGTTTCAGTGGCGCCGTTCGCCTTCTATCTTTTATCGTACGTAAAATTCGTACTGTCTCGAGGGATTGCCTGGAGAGAGTGAGAGACCCAAATAAACAGTTGTTGGATCAATGAAACTTTGAAAACAGCCGGCGAGAAAGAAATTCGCCGGCCGGGCACTGTCCAGAACCTAATTAGAACCAGATCTGGACAGGCTAGAAAGTGGTATTCGAGGCGTGGATGGCATAACCAAGGTCAGGATTACCCGAATCACGCTGTGCAGCCATCCACCAATGTGTTTTGGGGCCAGGAATAACCTGTGTCCGCCCAGCTCGTTAGATTGGGGTTCTACCAAGGAGTTAGCAATCGCCTTAGATACCCATGAGCTGTGGAAAAGGGAGAATCTTACATTATACGCCAGGGGATGAGCCTTAATATACTCGGTTGTTTCATAGCCCTCCGGATCGCATGTCACCGACGCCTCGTTGGGATCTTGGTAGATTCGAATGTAGTCGACCCGCATCGTGGCAGGTAGGAGCTTGGCGAGGTTTGCCAAGAGGACCTGGGCGAACGTGTTCGACATACCAAAGTTAACGATGAGAGACATCGGTTCCTCCGGTAAAATTCGCTGTCCAACATTCCCATTAGGTTTAAGGGACCGAGCATCCATCTTCCACGTATAGTCATTTCCCACAAACCAACTAAGATCCCCCTGGGGCCCGGGATTATATTCAAAGCCGAAGGTCTGGTAGGCCTTCCCATCATACCAATCGTTGTTCAACCACGACAGCGCCGAGAAGGCTTGTTGGTAGGGTCCACCACGATACGTGTTCATGCTGGTAATCTCAGTGTCATAGACCTCTACATAGTCGTAGTCCGGCTGATAGAAGATATCAAACGGGGCTACCTGGAAGGATTGAGACACCTCACCAGTTCCGCGCACGTATTGCCCAGGACCCAGCCATCCAACAGAAGCTTCGACAGCATCGATTTCGGGAGCTGATCGAGAGATTCCAGGTGTAGGGTGATCTTCTCCGCTGCAGGTGCATGCTGGCAAACGCATTCCAGGTAGATAGCTTATACCGTCCGTAGAGCTCTGATTTGCGGTAATGCCTGCATCACATCCATTCCAGTAGCTGTAGGGCCACATGCCTTCCGTGGTCGCAGGATATCCAGGTCTTCCAAGGTTACCCATAGCCCAGAAACCGGGCCAGAAGCCGGAAAGGTCACCTCGTCCAGGCAGCGAAATGCTTGCTTCCAATCGACCGCCCTTGAAACACAGTTTGTTCCATGACTGCAACATACCCGAACGGTAGTTGAGGTTATGACTTTGGAACGCGTCGAACTTGATATTGAGTGTTCCATTCTCGGTTGAGATGGCATCTGGATCGTACCATTCGAGATCCTGCGTGACACCATACCATATGTCCACCCCCTGGAAGAATGGGTCGTCGCCATCGTAGAAGGTTCGTCCGTCCGTGTTGAACTCATCCGAGAACTATGAAGGTTAATTCAGACCTCGAAAAATTGAAAGTAGCCGATACATACCTGGAGCTGAAGTGTTGTGCCATCATTTGATGTCCTTGTATATTCGGACTTGGGGGTATCAGGATCAATGAGGCCAGATCTTACGTTCTTCAGCATGGGCACTTTGTCTGACAAGCAATCAACTGCACTGGAGCAGCCCGGAGAAACCTCCTTTGGTGCTACTGCCTTTCTAACGGCGGTCCTGTAGAGGGTCAGTGGATGAAGACAGGGTGCGCAGACCTGGAAGGTACATACACAACGGGGTACGCAATGAACAATGCCAGAACTCCAAGAGTAATGAATGCCAAGCCTCCAAGATTTATAATACCTCTTTTCGAACAGAAATCGCACTTTTCTCGCTCCTTGTCGCTCGGATCCGGATTGTGTAGGTAGTCGTCCTTCTCGACATCTTCGGGGAAGAGCAACAGGCCGGCTGAGGGCATGATGTTGTACTTCTCTGATACCGTCTGGGTGTTGATATCGTCATCGCTACCAGCCCGCGAAGGAGCTCTAGAATCATCGAAAGGCGAGGCGAATGGCCCATGCCGACTGTCTCTGCTTCCAGCATCTGAACTCCAACTAGTTCTCGCAGACGATATTGCTGATGCAGTGCGTGATATGGGATCATTTTGCAGATCTTGGTAGGAACGAGCACCTCGTGCTCTCGTAGGGGCGAGCAACATCTCCGATGACTCTGCCACATCGGGGGCACCGTATATTGAAGGGCCCGGCGTAGCCCCCCGCGGTGCTGGGCTCGTCGCTGGTCTCTGCTGTGGTAATAATTGTCTTGAGGACACTGGGGTGCCTGCTGTAGACGGCGAGGGTGAACTATTGTCAGACCGCATGCTGTCAAGTATATCCCCTCCACTACCTGAGTTCACCGTGATATGGGGAGGCCTCCGCGATCTTCGCGAGTCCTCGGAATCCACTGTGAGGGAATCCATGGCGATGGTTGTGGTTTGCCCGGATCAAGGTATCAACAAGCCGCTCGCATCTGCCCTCTTGCTAGGGGTTCAGGGGGTCGGTGTGGAGATAGATCGATCTGAAGAATCGAACCGGGGGCGGGGGGCGGACTAGAGGTATCTCAATGGCACAAATAACTTTTGTGCTGTCGACAGTCGCGAGCCTTTCTGATCTGTCGAGCGTTGGTTTTCGTGCAGAGGATAGTTAATTCAGAAGGAAGGCTCGGGGAGCAGGGAACAACGCGCAGGATGAGCGAGAGCGTCCGACAGGACACACGAGAAAAAGAGTGTGATAATGGGAAGATAGGCAGAAGATGAACGAATGACGCGGTTGAAAGGACAACCTGGGGGAAGAGGGCGGTAATTCAAGTAAGACCCTTCACGAACTTACGAAGTTGTGGCGATGTTGGAGGCGCTTACGAGGTTGATGGGTCGTGGTCGAGGTTAGGAGTACGGAGCAGACAAGACACGACTCAAGCGAACGGGGCTAACCACGAAGGGTTTTGGGGACGGACAGGAGAGTGGAGGAAGATGGAGGATAAGGAGATGGGCGAATAGAAAAAGATCTAACAATTAAAGTTGTTGTTGTTGTCACTGTTTTTGTTTCAATGCGTAGGTAGGGGAGGGCGGAGAGAATGCTGCTAAGAATCTGTCTAAAGCATCGTGTCCAAAGGGAGTCTTTGACGACACGGACCTGTCTTGTTGTGATCCTCTGCTGCCGGCTAATAATAAGTAATGATAATTACTCCGTAGCATGATTATTGCTGCCTCTCGTACATACGACTACTACTTACTTACACGACGGGGCCGCGTACCAATGTCCACTATTCAACGGTACACACTACATTACATTACATTAGCACCGCACCGCCCGGAGCATTCTTTCCCAGCGAAAAAAAGAAGGGGTCCACTATATGTAAAAATAAAAATAGGAACAGGTCTCAGAGCCGTCCATCTCTGCGGCCGCCATCCTGTGTGAAGTAGAAGGTTCTCAACTTCTCAGAGCAGAGGAATTGCAAAGACCACGGATTGTGTGGACTCAGGGGTGCGAGGCGTCCTCGTCTCGGCACTGCTGGGGAGTCCTGAATCCTGAATCCTGATCCAGGGGAGAAGGGAGAAGAGAGAAGGGGTCTTTATGATTAGCTGGTCCATGCATACGTATACATAAATCGATACCGCGCAGAACAATATCGTATGGCCCTCTAGCATGCATGGGATATCCATGTCTCCCTAAAGGAAAAAGCAAATTGGACAGATAAAGTATAAGTTCTCCATACACCACTTCTTCCTCTACCCCGACCACCGACCAACCTTTCTATTTTCACTTGCGCCTACAACTCATACTCTTACACCTACACTTCCACGGCCTGCGCATGACGGAACCCAAGTGCCGTTCCGTGGAACCCTGCTTTGCCTTGCTTTTTTGGGTTCTGCCTCTGGCGCTGGTGTTGGTGCTGGGCCGGGCGGAGGCAACTGGAGGGTAGAAAATGCTAGAATGACACTACCACAAGTGCCTCGAAGTCTATCCTCGATTCGATCGTGGACTTCATAAATACCACATTCATATGTCCATCGGCCTGTAGGGACATATACGCATACGCATATACCTACATACGCGTGAAACAGCCCCTTATTCATACCTACTCACCTCCAATCTATTCGCATGCGAGAAAAACCCCTAAAAAAACCCCTCCTCCATTTTCTTCTTTAATTCTCCTTCTCCCGTGCGTGCGTGTGGCCCGGGGCCTGCCTGCCCTTTACTCCGTCCCGACTCCGGACCTAGGGGACTGCGTTGCGCCGTTACCATGCGGTGGGGACGCACTACCACTCTCTCTCTCCCAGAGCCCCCCGGCTTTCCCAGCCCTTCGTTTCCGTAACCGGGTAATTTCCGCTGAACACGTGACCCCCGCCCCGCCCTCCTCAAACTGGGAGTGTAGGAGGGCTGGAGTCTGGAGATTTTGAGGGGCGGACGATAATGCATATGGACCATACGTTCGTGTGAGGTTGGAGATCAAGATCGAGTATGAGCCTGCAGCGTTTCGGGATCGGGTGCCGGTGCTAATTTTGGCTGGCACTAGACTTGCCTGCCTGGTCTGCACAGCGTAGGAGCTCTTCTGAACCAGGGAAGTAGCAGAGGACGAAGTGGGAATTGGAGAGGAGGGCTGGTTTGGTATCTTGATATTATATTGTGGCTTGACCACGGGAGACGAGTCGCATCGTGCTGTATACAATAAAGAGTGGATATCCAGGCGCTCGTAGTCCTGGATGATTGCCATCTCAGTTCCATATATCATCACCAACCCAAGGTCCTCAACTCTCAATAGCCAAAGCCTTGACTCCCAAAAGCTTTCCCCCTTCTACCCCAACCAGCCAGTATTCGACCCTAGATCCACCTCGCTCAATCCTATAAACCATAACATCGCTCCCCTTCGTAGCCTTCCGCGTCGCATCCACAAGCTCTTTATACTGCCCCTGCGGATCCCACTTCCCAATATCCATGATCTCGACCACTGCCTCCTCCGGCTGTGGGTGCTCGACCAGCTTTGCGAATGTGGCTACAGCAATGTCAGCTCCGCGATCAATGCTTCAAGAGCAAACAAACAGGACAGAAGAACGCACCTTCATCAGGCAATGTGCCCTTATCCTCCGGTAGATTCAAGCAGACGGGCTCAAAAGGCTCATCTGCATCACTGACATAGAACGCATCTGCGACAGCGCTCTTCAGCACCGCCGGGATTGCCTCACCCTCATCCACGGCTTTAAGTCCTGCCCTGCCAACGCTCTGCGTTGCGCTGATTCCTTCACTCGGGTCTGCATTGGCCTTCTCTAGGAACGCGGCATAGTCCTCGTCTGTCGCCATCGTGTGCGTAGTCTCGGCCTCTCGTTGCGCGTCGCTGCTGCTATGGCTCGTGCTGTAGGGGAAGCGTTCAGCCCGTGTACCTCTCTCCCTGATGCTAGAGCTTCCTGCACGCAGAAGAGATAGAGATGAAGAGGATGAAGGAGAACGGTTGGAGCTCACGCTGTAGCCAACGGCGCGGGAACTGCTACTACTGTTCCAACGCCTTGCGCAACCTGAGCAGTTCCACCTACTCCTGACGCTGACGATGACGCTGGAGCTGCAGGAGCGGGAGCTGGCTGCGCGCCCTCGGCACCCGAATCTGGCGTGGGCGAGAATGGTTGCGGTGGCTCGGGGCGGTCGTGTGATTTGTTTCGTCGTGTAGCTCTCTTGTCCCGCGAATGCTTGAATGGTTTTAGGGCGGTGGCAAGTGCTGAAAGAATTACGTCCATGTCATTTCGTGGGACTGAGTATATATATGTAGGTGGTGGGGTGTGGAGATGGGACGTGCTTCACTATGCGAGGACCGATGACGATATCGTCACAAATATCGCTCCTCGCGGGTGTCGGAGTGTTGTAGCGCGTTAAGTGGGAAAAAGGAAAAACACAACAACAAAAAAGCTACAAATTCGCATCAATGACTTGAAGACGGTCACATTCATTCATTATTGGGCGTTAAGAGTGTATTTTGACATGTATTCATAGCCTTTCATTGCTAATAAATCCATGCCATGGCCATTGGTGACCGGTCACATCGAGCACGAAATGCCAATAATTCCCCTCTACACCAGATCGCAAAGCCGGAAAAGAAATCAAGACCAAATTTAAGAGGAAGAAGCGATATCCTTCTTGAGCGTACCTGTAATAAATTAGTAAGACCGTGAAGAAAACTCGAGAAGTCGGTGAACTTACCCATGAAGGCGTGCTTCTCCTGGGGAGTTTGGTATGCACCGTGACCGAACTCGGATGAAGTGTCGATCCATTTCAAGTCGACCTTCTCGAGTGCCTTTCTTGAGGTGTGGACGAACATTGACTTTCGGAGAGTCATGACACGCTTCTTAACACCTGGAACTGAACCCTTGACGATGATGAAGTCGTTCTTGACCTCACCATATCGGACGAAACCACCCATACTAAAAACGGTCAGTCTTAGTTACCCAAGATAGAGAGATCAGGTACTTACGGAGTGATGCGCTTCTTGGAGATATCGAACTCAGTGGATGCGTTAGAGTCATCGTCACCCTTGCCAATACGGTAGACCTTGTGGTTGACAGAGGTACGGTGGTGGTATCCGTCTTGACCAGCACGGGCAACAGTCCATTGGACGTGGGAAGGATGCCAAGCACCGATACAAGCAACCTTTCTGAGACCCTTGTGTGTCTTTCTTGGAAGCTTCTTGGTTCCCCATCTGCTGGTGACACCTTGGAAACCCTTACCCTTGGTGACAGCAATGACATCGATCATCTCATCCTGCTCGAAGATGGAGCTGATCTCAACTGGCTTCTCGAACAGACCGTGGGCGAAGTCAACCTTGTCGGCAACGCTACCGCCGTTGACCTGGATCTCCATCAAGTGGGCCTTCTTTTGCTTGAGAGGGGTCTTGCGGATTTGGGTGTGGGCGAGGACACGGACGACAGTGCAGTACTTCTTGATGCGCTCGAGCTCGCGGGTGATGGAGGCACCGTTGTTCTCAGAGTGCTTCTTGGCGTACTTGGTGAAGGCCTTCTTCTTGCTTCTGTACCAGTTCTTGTAGAATCGGCGCTTGACCTCGTCGCTCAGGTGCTCAGCCCAGACAGTTGTGAGAGATCGGAGACCACGAGGAGTCTCGATGTAACCCACTAGACCAACAACGATCACCTATAAAGATGTTAGCCATTGGCACAAAGCCAAGCGGGCTGCATTGTTCGTACCGGTGGTGTCTCAATGACAGTGACTGCCTCCACGATCTCCTTCTTGTGTGATTTCGCGCCAGGTCGGTCGAGGTCACGGACGATGGTGGTCATACCGGCCTTGTAACCAAGGGAGGCAGTGAGGTGGACAGGCTTCTTGGGGTCATCCTTAGGGAAGCTATTGAACGTCAGTGAGCTCTAACGGGAGGGCTTGGATGGAACTTTTTTCACCTCTTGACCTTTCCACGGTGACGGGAAGCTCTCTTGCGCGGAAGGTAGGCAAGAGAGCCGTGGCGGGGCGCCTCGAATTTACGGTGACTCATTTTCGAGATCTCAGGAGATACCTACACAGGATATCTGGAGATCAATGGTCGTCGAGATTGGCGTGCGTTGAGGGTGTTGATAGAAAGGAAGTTCTTCAACTCTCAAATATTGGGCAAAAAGTTCAGTGTGGGATCTCGTGCGCTAATGTTTGCGCTAAAGTTAGCGAGCCGATTAACCCTCTCGCACGCACACGTGACTCGGGACCGAACCACCTCCGTACTGGGAAGTGCAGTGGTAAGGTACCCTTAGGTAAGAAACAGAGAAATACCAGGTAGTAGAAGGATTTTGAGGTATCTTCTGCACTTAACAATGGAATGCGCAAGCTACATCACAACCTCAATGAAACTTACAATCACATGGCAAAACACACCTAAGGTACCTGTTAGGTCCACTCCCGAAAGATACTTGTACTCAATCTACAATAGTACCGTAGCTACATATCTGCTATCATACCCGCCGTCATGAGGAACTTACAACTAGATGCTCAATTAAGATTCTTGAATTTAAACACAATGATTTATACATAAAATCATTATCGCTATCGTTGATAAAAAAGCTACATACATTTAAGGCGCAGCCTCTACTTTCGTCTGGCCATTTGGTATCCCATTCGCAACACCATTCGCAACATGTCCATTAACGGCAGTCGGAGAATTAATCTTAGCCTCTCCAGAGGTAGACCCTGGCCCAGAGCCAGTCGCTGACCCTACTCCTCCTTTCTTCTCATCCTCACCATCATCATCATAGTCTTCGTCAACATCCATCTTCCGCGCAGCCCGTTCAGGCTCTCCAACCGGAGGAGGTGGTGGAGGAAGCTCCAGCCGTTCGCGTTCCCTCTCCCGTTCTCGCCCGTCGACGGGATACTCCTTTTGAGCTGGCGGTGGAGGAGGTGCTTGGTGTTGTTCGTGGATAGGAGTATGGGCTGGAGGAGGAGGAGGCCCTTGCTGCATAGGTGGCAAGTGGTTTGGTGGTCCATGCGTTGGGGGATGATGGGCTGCCTCAGATGGATGGTAATTTTCATTCGCACGATGCTGCTCTTCAGCGCGGCGTTGGTCCTCTGCACGTCTTTGATCATCGGCGCGACGTTGATCTTCAATGCGACGTTGATCCTCGGCGCGACGAGCTTCAGAGGAGCTGCGTCGGAACGGCTCTCCAGATGGGGTTGAGGGTCTACGATGATGTAGATCATCCATCCGCGCCCGATTCTCTTCGGATGCAGGCTTCTTCACCGACGTCTCCTCTTCCCATTCTCGATGCCTCTTAGGACCCACTGATGCAGGCCTGTCCCCATTACGCTCCGCCGCCGCCGCCGCAGCTTCGGCAACCATAGCAGATGGTGGCGCGGGAGCACCACCTTCGATCCCGCCTGGATTAGAGATATCTGGGTGGTGCTGGTAAGGTTGGTGGGGATAGCCAGCTTTGGGTGAGGGCATTCGATTATTCTCCATGATTGGTCTTACTTCTGGTCGCGGACTGCTACCTCGACCGAAGGGTGGAAGGGAGCCTTGGGCTTGGGCTTGACCTGGTCCTGGGCCATTCATCCCATTTGGAGCAGGGGGGAGTGCCGCAGAGGGTCCAGGGCCGGCGTAGTTAGGATTTGAAACTCGTTGCGGCTGGGATGGTGGTGGGGCTTGGGACTGTGGCGGAGGAGGAGGAGCCACAAGTCCTGGTCCAGAATACGGGGCCATGGACGCGTGGTGTTCACGAGGGGGTGACCGACGAGGTGGCGGCAATGGGGCCTGGCGATCGGAAGGTTGGCCTGGGTACTGCCTGATCTGCTGCTCTTGTCTGGGGCTCGGGGCACGTGGAGGAGGCGGGATAGGACCCCTAGCAGGCTCCCTATCATAAGGGTTGGGAGGCTGAGGTGGGGGGTTGATCTCAGCAAGTCGGCTTCCCCAGCCATTCGCTGATGGGCCACCGGGCGGACCATTAGGTGGAGGTTGAGGAGCCGCATTTCCCCATTGAGGCGCAGGGGGTCCAACGGCTCCGCTAGCTTGATACGCTTGGGGATGAACATCTTGGGGGAGCGGCGCGCTGTTCTGCCCAGGCATGCCATTGCTCTGTCCGCTGCGTAATAGCTGGAGACGAGCCTTGATGTGGATATTGCTCGGGTCAAGCTCTGCGGCGCGTTGATACGCATCCAGCGCATCGTTGATCTGATTGTTACATGATTCATACTAACACAACGGTTAGTGATGGCTCAAGCAAGATTGGACGGATCTGAAGCAGACTTACCAGAGTCCCAAGGTCGTACCAGACTTCGGAGATGTACGGGTTCAAGCGTATCGCACGGGAATATGCATCTAGCGCATCTCGGTACTGGTTGATTTGATAGTACAAAACGCCAATCGAGCACCAGAATGTCGGGTTCCGTCCGTCTCGGTAGACGGCTTGCTGATAGGCCTCGTACGCCTTTGGGTACTTCTGCTGCGACATGTAACACCGACCAAGCAGATACCAACTTTGCGCATCACTTTGGTCTGCCACGTGTTAGCGCGTGTAATGGAGGGCTGATGGTTTTTGACTCGTCTTACCAGAGCTGACAGATTTTTCCAGATACTCAATTGCACTCTCCTGACTACTGAAACTGTTGCTTTGTTGATGGTGCAGCCAGCCAAGCTGTTGGAGGACCTTGGCATGGTTGGGATCTCGGTCAAGCACACGCCTATAGGCCAACTTGGCATTATCGTACTGTTATTCTGTTAGAATGAGGTAATCACATTTCCCTCCTTCGCCACTTACATCTTTCTGTTGCTCATGAACATGTCCAATTTGAAACCAGATATCTTCCTCAGTCAACGGAGTGGGTGGTACAGAGACTATATATCTGAAGCACTGTGTATTATTAGTGCCTTGCTTATTTCGAATTGTTTTCTGCGACATACCTCGAGACTCTGTTGGTACTTTTGTTGTTGCTTGTAAATTATACCCAGTCGGAAGTAAATCTCATTCGCCTTTTCAAAGTCTGGCTGCATGCGCATGACCTGCGAAAAAGCTTCTTCGGCATGTTCCAGTGACCCATATCGGTCGTACAGGATTCCGATCCCATACCAGAGTTTGGGCTCCTGATTTTTCGGCCCGTCAGCTTTGGCCACATTCACCGTATTGGGGGCGGGGGCGGGTGAGCCAACCTTTGGATCTCTGAGATGATACAGAGCTTGCTGATAAGCAGAATATGCCTGTTGCAAGTCGTCCATCATCAAGTAGCAATGGCCTACGTTATCAGATTAGTGACGCAGGGCATGGGAAGCCGAGATACTCACCTAGACTTCCCCAGACATCACCATTATTCGCATCCAACTTGAGAATATTCTGAAGATACTCGACCGCCTTATGAAATTGCTCTTGCGTACGAAGGATACAGCTGATAGCATTCATGGCCGGGATAGATCTTGGGTTGCAACGAAGTGCATGTTCATACGCAATCATGGCCTCTTCAAGATTGCCCATGAGTTCCGCGACGCTCCCTGGTAGAGCTGGTCAGTACTGCTCAAGTTGATCTTGTGAGAGTGGCCTTACCAAGTTGAAGCCACACCGCCTCATTCATCGCGGCCATCTGCTGCGCAGCAGGCCACTGTTGTTGCGGTTGCGGTTGCTGCGGCGCCATAACTGGGGGAGGAGGGCCTCCTGGCGGTCCATGATGCAATTGCATGCCTGCTGGAGGCGAAGGATGATGGGTAGCCATAGTCGATACCGACATCTAGCAGCGGGCTGTGAGGCCGGAGAGAGTGCGCTGAGAGCCTGGCGCCCCGATGTCTCGTCAATGCTTCAGCAGGAAGCAAGGGCGACAAGACTATAGCAAAATCGCGATTCGGCAGTAGCAAGTGCGATCGACGTCGACCATGCGAGGAGGGGATTGAGATCTGAGGGTGAAGACCAGAGGGAAGTGCGCAGATGGGAGGCGATGAGGATGTCGATGCGACCGAGAGCCGTGGCGTTTCGTTTCCCAGGATCTCTCGATTAATCCCGAACACACACAGACGGTACGTGGGTAGCGAGAAGGGTCAACTGCGGCTCGAGCGAGCGACAGCAGTTCTCGTCTTCGACAGCAGCGACGGCGACGAGGAGAAGTGAGGTTATTGATGCGGGCGGGCGAGAGAGAGAGAGGCGAGATGGGAGGATCTGAGGCTCACTCGCAGGTCGGGGAGCAGGAAAGGAAGAAGGGATGACGGGAGGGCGTGAAGAAGAACAAGAGCGCGCCATTCGAGCCACCGAGAACCCTAACCCAGCGGAGGGTACCTACTAGGTACTTGGGCAGTCCGCAGAGTCTCAAGTACCCTTGCCTAGAGCGGCCGGCCGAGGCGGGAAGCGTGTCTGACGCCGACGAAAGGAACGAAAGGAACGCAGCGTGCGCTTAGCCTAAAGGGGTAGCTTCGCGCCGCGCGGGGCCAAGGGGGGGGTTCCAGCCTAGCCTAGCGCCACATGCACGTACGGGCCCCCGGCAGCTTGGCGAGTGCAGGCATGGTGCGACTTTCCTTCCGGAGACTGTCTGTCCCATCCCATCATCCATGGGCCCGTTGGTCGCTAGCCCTCGCTAACCACCATTAGCCGTAGCCGCCAAACACTTCTGACTTCCGGGGCGGTAGCCAATGGCGTGGCGCCGCGGTCCTGCGCATGATTCCCCAATCGGGACAGGGAAGGGAGGCACGCAGCACTGGACTGGATTGTTTTCGCTTGCGGGTCCCCTCGCTATCCCGCCCGCGGGCAGTGCGGGTGCTACGTAAGGCATTATTGTCCAGGACGAGAGAACAGAGAAGAGAGAAGAGAGGAGACAGCTACCTAGTTGCCTCTCCCTCGCCGGGGGGTTGTCTGGGACTCTGAGTGCTGTGTCCAGTTACGCCAGACGCGGTACATTCGGGGCGTAGTGCAGCGCCCTGCGGTACAGCACCGGCTTCTCGGTTTGGAATTTTGGGCAGTCGGGCCAGCCGGGGGGAAGAGCAAGTGTCGCAAGTGGGCTACGGTCTAAAGGGCAAAGCCGCACGCCCAGGAGGGACGGGACCGGGATCAGGAGCAGGAGCAGCCGAGCAGGATCATCAGTGATTCAGTTGATCGGTGTGAGGCGTGGCGGGGCTGGGGGGGTCATGACGCATCGCGTTAGCGCGCAGAAGAGCCAGGGCTCCGAACGACCCCGGAAAGGGGCTAGCGCGGCCCTACTTAGTAAGCCGCTGCGTGGGCAGAAGGTGGGCGAAGTGGGCGAAGTGGGCGAGGTGGGCGAGGTGGGCGAGGTGGGTAAGGTGCGGGTCTGGATTCTGGAGAAACTTTTACTGCTCGAAGCGGCAAGGCGCGTTTGTTATTATTAACCCTGGTCTTACGGCGTACGGTGTCATATTGGCAAGAGGGAGGCGGTTATTCGAGCCGTCGGCGGTCGCGCATCTCATCATCAACGGCCGGACCAGGGCTCGTCATGTGCCCGCCATCTCGACCAGCAGCAGCGCGGTGCTGCGCTGTGCCTGTGCTTGCATCATGACGATAATATGATACCTACTGTAGCAACGGGAGAATAAATAAGACAGTCCGGCGCCGTAGTGACAGGATAATCATAGGATGGTTCAAAAACAATAGTCCGCGTGTTTATCTCCTAGTCTGCGATGTTCGATGCGTCCTCGGAGCCGGGGGCGATCCGTCCCAAAAGGTAATCTTACATACGGAGGGCCACCGCAGATATGCTGCTCTCGCCACACGCCTTTCTCGACTCTTCTCAACCCATACATCACTCCATTTACCTGCCAATCAGTCCCGTGCTAGGCCACGATTCCTCGATACTCAGGTACTTGTCCATTACTCACAGCAAGCGCTGCTGCTGACTGAGGTCCTCCCTCCGTCCAGTTCCCGCACACCAATCCTTCCCCGCCTCGGGGTGCACGAGATGGCTGCGCTGTACCTACCGTGTCTACTGCTATACTACCTACCTACCTTACCTTAGGGATATACCTTAGGGACGTCGTATCGTCTAGCACGGACTCTTTTATGTGTGGTGTGGCTGTCGCCAAACCAGTCAGTCCTCTGTATCCCGCCAGCAGATGCGGCAGCTGAAATCCGTACCCCAACAACAACAATACAACGAGGCCAGAGGGGGTTAATAAGGATAAGACGGGACATAAAAAGCAAGAAAGAAAATCGAACATCGAGGGGGGAAAGAGGGAATAGTAATAAGCCTCCTTGTCTCACAACCAGGCCCCTTCACCAGCGCCACCCTCGCCTACGCGCAGCAGAGAGAGATCCCCTCGTCCCCAATCCGGGCCATCCCCATCCCCAATCTCCATATGCATCTCCATCTCGGTGCCCATGTCGTGGCCACCGTCCCTGTTCCCTGCCGCCACGGCCGACCATGTACGGAGTACCTAAGGCAAGGCAAAGCACGGAGGTACGTAGTACGTGTGTGCTACTGTACCTTGGGCTTAAGCGAAACGAAAAACCCTTCGGCTCGCAGCCTCAGGTCTCAGGACTCCAGGACTCAGGAGTTGAACGCGGTCAAGGCAGCCAGGCAGCCAGGCATCCAGACCACCTTCCAAGGGGGGATCTCCCGCACCAGGCCTGATCAGGGCTACGTCCCCGTAGCATTTGCGTGTGTGGGGCCCTGTGGGACAGTGGAAGTGAACAGTGGGACAGTTACTTAGTAGTGGGAACATCGACGTCGCGAGTCGTGACAGGCGTGACTATGTGTCGCACGGCATAGCGCCTGCACCTGGCTCCGTATACTGCCTGCACCTGCGCACGGCAGGGTGTGGCTGATCAGCGCAGAAACCGGCCAAGCCATATTATTATATCCATGATGGATGGATGATTCTTGCTCCCGCCCTGGGCCCCTAACAACTACTACGATGGCATCTGATGCAAGAGTTTCAAGCTGGTTGAATCCCTCGCTGGGTTCGTGGTTCTTATTTTCGTATTTTTGTGCTAGGGCTTTCTCTTCTGTCTCTTCCATTCATCCTCACTCTGTCTTTTCTTCTATTATTGATACCCGCGCACACCTGCCACACGAGGGCCTCCCTATCGATAAACAACAGCCTGCGCTTCAGCCGCTTTTCCTCTTTGTGGAGAACGTGGGCACTAGCCCGGCCCGAACGCATTCCACGCTCCTGCATCCTCCGGGGCCTATTATTGGACACAGCCGATCATCATCAGCCCGGCATCCTTCCATCTATCCAGAGCACGTGACTCTACATTCAGAAGAGTGCGAGTGTTGATCGTTTTGATTTAAGCATTTACCAACTTATCTATCCTTCTCGATCTTCACAGCCACTACAAACCTCGCAGGCAGAGGGCACCAGTCATATCACGTGCTAGCCCCTCGTATCGCCTGTGAGGGAGATGTGGCGTACGCGCCGGTTGGTTCTCGCCCCGGCCTCCTGCATCTCGGGAAAGGGGGAGGGGAAAGCGAGAGGAGGAGAAATAATAATGGAAAATGGAAAATACACCAAGGTAAATGAGGTACTTAAGTCTGTATCCACACCTGGCGACTGGGCTGGATCGAGACCCACGCTACAATGCTGCCGAGGTGGGCGTTCAACGCCACCGACCTTTGGCTTCAAATCCTGATGGCTATCATGCATATCCCCAACGAGAGAACTTTTACCTTGCTCTATCTGCGCCTCCACACAACCTCGCTGTCAGATATCTTCTGGGCTCATGCCATGCCTGCCCTGCTTGCTTCACCACCAAGCATCCATCCCCCACCTCCAAGCAAGTGTTTAAGCAAGTGTTAAAATACCTCCCTATTGTACGCCTGAGACAAGCCCCCTCCCTCCTCACGGCGCCTGCTGCAACGGCGCCCTGCAGGGTGTCAGATGCACATCTACGCCAGCTGTCCAGAACGGCTGCTGCCTCTGTGCACGGAGCTTTATTGCAGTCCCTCCATACATCCCATCTCTCCATACCTCCGTCTATCGTTCCATACATATACATATCCATAATAACCTACATACATACATATACATAAATCTCACAGCACACATGCATAACACACAGAACTAACGTCAACAAGCCTGAAGGAAAACAAGAAAGCAAGAAAAAGAAAGCAAAAGGAAGAAGAACAAGAAGAAGAAGAAGCAAAAACAAGCTCGCAGCGAGCATGTGCATGCAACTAATTCTGTATGTACACGTCCTTAGCCGCGTTTTGCCTGCTAGCTAGCCTCCTGCTCTGCTCGGCTTGGCTTGGTTGGGGGTGCGGAGGGGGGAATGCCATGCACAGGAGTGAGATAAACGGATCGGGGCGAGGGACGCTGATCGATCGTATAATACGCAAGTTATAATCTGGTATTGTACAGTACATCGTACATTACATTACAGTGCTTTAAAGCCGCTATCTAATCATCATATCATATCATATTTATAATATATACATTCAACCACCCCCCCCCCCCTTTTTCCTCCTAACAGCTAAGAATCTTCCATCTCATAATCATCCATCGCATACATAGCCAGCCAGCCACCACCACTTTCCATACTCTATCCCAATAAAACCAACCAAAAAACAAAAGTATATAAAACAAAATCAAATCCCCTCCGTCCCCCCCTTTACACACCCATCCATCCATCCATCCATCCATCCATCCATCCAGTCACCCACCTTGCTTAAATGCCTAAATGCTAATACAATTATTATCCCACCCCCCTCTCCTTCTCCTTCTCCTTACCTACCTCACCTACCTCACCTACCTTACCTAACCTAACTTACTTGCATAAGAACCCCGTGCATACATACATACATACCTTAGAGCTGGAGCTCAGATAGATATGACCAATCGGCTCGGGTTGCGTAGCAGCAGCAAGCGTGAGGAATTCTGGTTCGTGGGATTGGCTCACGTGATTTTCTAGTTTTTCGGAATGGGGGCGAGAGAGGGTGAGGGGCGCTACCTTTACCTTATATACTGCGTAGAGGAGGGGAAGGAAGGAAGGAAGGAAGCAGGAAAGAAGCTTTTTGAGAGGTGGAGTAGAATGCTAGGATGCGGGGAAGGGAAATGGAAATGGGGTCCTCACCTGGCTGCTGGGGACTGCGTGGGATGATGCGCGATCGGACGGGAGACCGTCTTGGAACAGGGGTATCATTTTGATGTAATAAGGTACGGTACAATTGACATTACACGCTGATAATATGCCCGGGATCGTTGAAAAGGTACACCAAGGAGATCTCACCAACATAAGAGGTATCACGCGCCACTCCTCCTCGCCCACGGCCTAAGCTTCCCCCCTTCATGCTATCATTTCGCTTCCTCCCTATCTGGCTGATATGGTGTTTCCCCGAGCATCGCAGGTTGTGAATTCGGCTGGGCTTGAACTGGGACACCCGACGAGGGGCCCGAAGGTGGTGGTTGTGCTTTGGAGGTAGCTTTAGCCGTTACATTGTTCAGGCGTTGATCCAGCGCCTTTAACGCCAGCGCTCGTCGGCGCTCTGCTTCTGCTCTCGCGCCACCTGGGGCGCTTCTCTGAACGAAAGTCTCTCCTCGAGATGCCGATACGTCAGCTGCGGAGAATGGAGTGCATATTCGCAGAGAGACCAAGACGCTGAATATTTGATTCGACACCGCTGCGACAAGGGGTTTCACTGGACTGGGGAAGAACTCGGCGAAGGCGAAGGTCTCGCTAGCGTCCCCGCGCAATGTTGACGTTTGGGATGTTTCCAGGTCTGGGAATGCAGACTTATAGAATCTGAGATATGTCCAGCTGGTCAAGAACGCACTTGTGACGAGGAGGACCGAGGCGATGCTCAACAAAGGGGTGAGCGACAGGAGGAAGACCGTCAGGACGTGTATGAGGGGGAATCGTGGGACTCGGAGCGAAACGATTCCGCGGAAGAGCGTTACAGTATGTGAAGGCACAAGCTGAGAGAAAGCCACCAGGAACGAGATTTGTAAAGGTATAGACCCATTGATGGAGGTTAAACTATGAAGGATGTCAGCATGCAGCAGGGGGCGCAAGATAGGGCATTGAAGACTCACGTCCATCGCATATCTCCAGTGATACTAAACAAGATAACCAAGATGGCAAAGGATAGCACATTAGGGATTATTGAGACCACCAGGAGGAATTTCGCAAAACCGGCGGATGTCCATGCTCTCTCCAGGTATCTTCCACCATAAAAAATTGTCAGGCCAGCTGTTCCCAGCGTAAAAAGATTGCTCTCGACCAGCGTAGTAGTGAGGAAGGTCCAAGGGTAGATCAGAGAGAGTTGCGGCACCAGGATAAGGTATGGCACTACTATGCTAGACTCGTCGGTCCACTGTCTGTATCGGATGGCGGCGTTGAGGATGGACTGGGAGAGGAGGGTGATGATGAGAATGCGGGTGATGGGCGGGAGGTTCAAGCGTGAAGGCATGATGGCGATGGGAAGCGGATCTGGAATTCGAGTCCTCCGAGAGGATCGGGGTTGACGACGGAGGATGGGTTTCGAGGACGGAAGGGTATCAACAGTATCAGCGGGATCAACAGGTGCCAGCATCGCCAAATGTCCGAATAGGAAAGGGAAAATCAGGAGGCTCGTGCACGGGCCATGGCAGCCTCATGTGTCAGGCAGAGAGCAGGCAGGAAATTTAAAGTTCTCGAACCTTGGAAGTTCGGTAAAGCACAGGACAGGCTACAGGATGCGAGTCAATTTGTCAAACGAAGCTACGGAAACACGACGACTCCATCAACAGCAGAGCCATCCAGCAGATTCAGGGCAAATCCATCCGGGCAACAGATCGCTGAATCGAAGAGACGTTGGCCTCTAGGATCGGTGGCCAGAGGACAACTGACTCGGGACGACGTGCTGGCCGTTCGTTGACGCTGCCGATCTTCTGGAACAGTGCCTGCATCCCAGCTTTCGGAGATTTCTGCACTCTGATACAGTATATAGGAGCATCGCCAGGATCGCCGCCACACGAACGGGCCCCCAATAAACAGGAGCAGGAAGCAAGAACTAGGCGGGCGGCGGGAGCGGTAATATAGCAATAACAACAATCAACACCGACTGTGTCATCGCGGCCGTCAAAATCACAACACATAACACACAGGGCGTCGATCACCCTGGCGGCGTGTGGGCGCTAATCGGCCTAGCAGGTCTAAGAAGCCGAGCAGCGCAATCCCACACACCCACGGTACACACTACGACGATTCCAGCGCAAAACCCACACCCACACCGGCTGTTCCGCCTGCACCATCGGAGTTCCTTCGTACAGTACCGCGCAAATCCAGGGCCCCCTGGCCTCCTGGATTCTTGGGCTCGTGGGCTGTTGTGCACAGTGTTCGCTGTACCACGCCTGGGCGTCGTCGTTGACTCCTGCGCTCCTGGACCTGGACGCCTGGACAACTGGATTGGCCGCTGGGCACTCGATACTGGACACTCGACAACATTCCTGGCCTGCCCTATCAAAGTCATTACTACGCCACTCCCCTTCCCTGGTCTTGGCTTTGCGCGGAGGCCTGCCGCTTGCTGTCCCCACAAGTTACAAGTGCCCACACCCATCGCCCGAAACGAAATCAACCCTTCAACTTACCTTTCGTTTTTGACTCTCCCTTCTTCATCTCCAATTCCCAACTCCCCTCCGGAGACCACATCGCATCGCCATCAACTCCAACGTCTTCTCCCCGTCCCGAACCCTATTGTAACGTGTTCAGCCCCCACTCCAGCCCCCCCCGTCTCCCTGCATCGCGTCGCCCTGTCCGCTCCCCTCCCCCCAGCGCCGCGATGATGAAGGAAGCGTTGGACTCCGACAAGCTCAATTATTTAATCTGGCGGTATGTGTCTCCTCCTGATCTGAGTCGCCTTCTGGGCCTCCCAGGTACGCATGGGATGGTGTTTCGCTAACGGCACATTCTCACTGCACAGGTATCTCGTAGAATCAGGTGGGTAGACCAACGCAGCATCTGAGGGACGCCCTCGTGGAAGACTGATTTGGAGTTCTAGATTACCAAGACACGGCTCTTCGCCTTCAGAAGGAGTGGAACCTTCAAGATCCGCAGCAGCTGCCATTTGCGCCCCACGTCACAAATCATGCACTAGTCTCGATCCTGAACAAAGGTCTGCTGTACCACGCTGCTGAGAGGGAGACTGCGCGGGTATGTAACAATCCATGATGGCTCAGCTAATCTTGGCCATGTCCCCTCTCGAACTGACGCCTTCTCCCAGGTAACTCGTGATGTTGTTGACGAGCCCGTCGCTGGCTTCTTCGGGCCCTTGACGCTACAGCAGCCTCGCCCAGAAATTGGCGAGGAGGACCTGGAAAATGTCCGAAAACGTCAGCTCGAGGATGAGCAGCCCCAAGTCAACAGTAATGGCAACAGTGATGCCACTGGCACCGGCAATGGCCCGGCCAAGAGACCGCGACTCAGCAACGGCTATGAAAATGGTTTCGAGTCTACTCCTAAATCCCCCATGGACGTTGATGACGAGCAGAATGTGGACGGGAACGCCTATCCGTCGCCCGAGCAGCTCCCATCCCCGGTTGCCGCCACGATTGGCCCGGAGAGGGGCACTCAGGTGGAAAAAGTATCTGATCTCAGCACCGACACGACATTTCTCGATCTCGCCGGCGATGCATCCTCGGGTATCCTGTTGCAGTGCGAGTGGAATCCTCGAGACCCGACGATCTTGGCCGCGGCGGGAACCGATGCGCTAGCACGGATGTGGATGTTTTCGCGTAGCGGCAAAACTACGGCAACCGATCCGGAACAGGGCGCACAGGCGGGCCAGGCCCGCGTCTTTCCGCCTCACCACAATCTCCTGGATGAAGGGGTTGCGGCCACCACTACCGCAACCGGGTTGGCCTGGACGTCTAATGGCCAATATATCGCTGTTTCCAGCGAGCCCATTGATGATGGAACCGCAAAGGTCCAGGTGTGGAATACCGATGGCGTCTCGGTCGCTTCTTTCAATGCCTTCGAATCTCCCATCATTTGCTTGCGCTGGAATCCCTCCAACAGTCTCCTCCTTGCCCTATCTCCCGAGTCGGATGGCACTCTCATCACGGTGATGTCTCTGGCTACCCAAGAGTCTTTACAGTACTCTTTGTCGCAACATATTCTGATAGAGCAACCCCTGGATGCTGTCTGGACGAGCAACGAGGAATTCGTCCTTTGCGGCGGTGATATGCTCCAAGCGTTTCACTGTGTTGATGGTGCAATCTCCCACGTCCGAAAGTATGAAACTCGCGAAGGCCATGCTCTGTCGAAGGTCGCCTTTGATTGGCATTCCCGACTTCTTGCTACTGCCAGTGATACGGGCATGATCGATGTAGGTTTTTGGTTATTATTCAATAATACTTTACTGACACATGCATAGATCTGGGACCAGGACGGCCAATGCCATTCCTTTAATGCTCATCAGGGAGTAATTACATCTCTGGTCTGGCAGCCTATGCAGACTCCTGCAGTCTTGAGCGATGTTGCAGAACGACTATTAGCATCAGCTGGCGAAGATGGTGCTATAAGCATATGGAATGCACGCTCGTCAGAAAACAAATCGAAATGCTCAATGACTATGGGGTCGGGGGTGGTTGCTTTAGCATTCACACCTGACGGCAGCTTTATTGCTGGAGCTACTAGTGAGCGCGTCCTGATTTGGAAGACTGATGATGTGAACTTGCCTCGGGCGAGCTGGATTCGGGGAGATGAATTAGGTTGGCAAACACCGCAATCGCACGACTCTGCACCCGATGAGGACCAGCACTGCTTGTGTTGGGATGCGGATGGTCAGAAACTTACATACGGAGTTAACAGCCTGGTACGTATAGGATTAAGTTTCTGTTTCACAGGCTGACCGAGTATAGCTGGCTGTGATCAATTTCCAACGATGATACCATGCATCGTAGGACTTGCTTGACACCATCTCACGATTTTCAGCACGCCGGGGGATTTTATTTCAACGGACCTGAGATATTAACGACGACACAAATTCAGTGTCGCACAAAAATAATCGCCGCGCCACGAAAGAAAGCCAGGCAGAATCGGTTCGGTTCGCCTCAACTGTCGCGGAGCGCAACGAGGACGCTGGCGAACCAGTGGCTATGATTGGACAACGTGTTGGTGATCTGAGAGAAATTCAAACTCAAATCTAAGTGGGAGGAAATGCCGAGAAGAATGGGCTATCGATTCATGATATTGAGGCCAGCAGTCTCATAGACTCTTGTTAACACACTGTAAAGTAGCAGACGATTAGGATACCCAGGATCATAGGTTGTTTCAATAACTGTGCATCTATTTTAGGAAAGCAATACCACTGATTGAACACGTCCAGTCGTTACCGAGGTACGGCCTTATATACAAGTGTCTGAGCATCGGAGGCTCTTTAGTTTCGTGCAAGAGTATCTTTTCAAAACAAGCGTTTAACGGCAAAGCATCTTTTCCAGTTTCAAGCATCTACGTTGCACCTCAATATTGAGAGGGTCAAGCCCATCACGCATCACTCCGCAGACGTGACCTCCAATTACTTTTGGGCTTCAACGAAGATTCATTTTATTTACTCAAGGGCGTATACAAAGGACCCAACAATTTATATATCTAAAATTCTGCAGTTGGCGCACTTCACTCCCATGCCATCTTCCTGGTGTCTAATCGGAGACCATCCCCCTTCGACACATCCTTAACCTTCTGCCCGGTCTGCCATCTCAGCATCGTCATCGAGTGCTTGGCGAACTTGAATTTCCCCTGGCCGTCCCACTTCGTCTCCGTCACGCCAACCTCCTCCTTCCCATCCGCATTCACAGCTTTGACACTAGGTCCAGACACGGTATAGACCGTGGCATTCCCCACACCTGTCAGATCAACTTCATAGTCTCGAGTCTCGTTGATATTGACAACTACCAGGCTTACCACCCCATCCTCGTTGACGGAAGCACTGGCATCCAGCCAGCTTGCTCCTTGTTCCAAGACTCCCTGGAGCCAGGCCGGCTGCGTCACTCCATCATATGCCCCGCCCTTGACGTGCACCCCTACGGTCCAGCCCCTCATGTATTTGCTAAAGAGCAACAGGGGCCACCACGTAGCTTGCTTGACAATCCCATTCTTAGTTGTCATCAAGGGGCTGATAACATTGACGGTCTGCGCAATGTTGGCCATACCCACCCATTTACTCTGCCTGACGAACACATTCAACCAGACCCCCACTGCCAGGGCGTCAGAAAGCGTGTACAGCTCCTCGGCTCCCTGCTCGCCCGGGGCACGGACCGGATCCCAGACATTCCATTCATCGAAGCAGATCTTCGTTGGGGCGACACTGGGCGGGATCTTGTTCTCGATCCGGGCGATGTCAATAAGGGCCGCGGCAGTCTCGATGGCTCGTTCTGCGGAGAGTGGAGCCACGGCGTTGGGAACATGGTCGTTCGAGCAGGTGTAAATGTGGATGCTATGCATGTCGACATACGGAATACACGCCTTGAGAACCTCATGGTCCCAGGATGAATGGCCGGTCTCTCCGCAGAGGATCAAGCACAGACTTGGGTCAAGTAACTTGAGAGCCTTGGCCCATTGTGCAGCTTGCTTTGCATAATCCTCTGCGGTCATTTGGCCGACTTGTCATGGTCCCCACATCTGAGACTGTTAGCTCGAACTGCCTTGTCCTATGGGATTCTGGATGTCACCTCGTTTCCCAGAGCCCAATACTTGATGTTATATGGCTCTTCCCTCCCATGCTTTCTCCTCAGATTGGCATAGTAAGTATTTCTGGTACCATTGCAATACTCAACCCAAGCCAGAGCTTCATCAAGAGTACCTGTCCCAAAATTCAGACAGAAATAAGGCTCTACTCGTTTTTCCCGCCCTTCACTGAGAACTTCCAGCCAATGCATGAATTCGTCCGTGCCTAGACATATATCAGTGGCTAGTTTGAGATCGAATCTCTTTCAAAGATAACGTACCGAACTCGTTGGTCTCTGTCCCAAGCCACGCAAGCTCTGGCCGAGCTGGTCGGTTTTCCTTTGGTCCAACACCATCTTGCCAATGGTAGGTAGCAACGAAGTTCCCTCCTGGGTACCGAATCACGGGGATATCCAGCTCTCGGAGAGCTGAGAGGACATCCTTGCGATACCCATTGGAATCTGAGAGAGGGTTTCCTGGGTCGTAGATGCCTCCATAGATGCAGCGGCCCATATGCCTGACGTCCAACAATCAGCCGAGAAGAAATAGGAAGGGACAACTTAATCAAATAGAGTGGTCGACCATTTCCAGAATTTGAAGTACATCAGGATCTCCTTCAAAAAGGACGGGAGTCTCAGGTTCCTCTTTCTTCTTTGCTTCTCGCTGGCTTTCGGAAAGATCCAAAATTGTGAGAAGGGAAGCTGATTCTAAGTAGAGGAGCACGTGTGATCAAACTATTGACCCCAGCCTATATCATCGCAACAAGACACTTGACTATAATGAACTGGACTCACTCGGTGAAACCTCCATAGATATTTGGATCTGTGCGAAAGTCAGTAACTGTGTATCGTCTTTCAACAAAAGTCGAAGGCTACAGTACCAATCTTTGACAACCTCCTAGAAACATCTACATTGATTGAAGGCGTCTCGTCCTCTGGGATTCTCGTAAAAGTCGTCATCTTCAGTCAGTGTGTTTTGAGTGATCGCCTGAATTCTCGAAGATTCATGAAGCTCAAAGTCAACAAAGTCGACCTGATGAAATTTCAAGACCCCGCGTTCCACGCCATTCTTGCGGTCGTTGCCCTCCTCTCGGAGGCTAGACCTACTCTGAGCAGAAGTTCGCCTCCGCACCATGGGACGATGTTCTCCCCATGTTGGTGCTCAATAGCTGATTGGCGCGCATATCGTTGGTATCGGACGTGGACAAGCGAACTTTCAAGACGGCATTGTTCGACGGAACTAGTTGTTAATTATTCCACCGTGTTTGCAAGCGCTGCGTTCCATCCCGAGGTCTCCTTCCTGATAATAGAGGAGAAAGCTATGGGGAGAGCTATGGCTCGTCGCTTCACCCGCTATGGCTTCGAGGATGCGCTCCAATGAGCGATCCGTACAAGCCTCTCCTCCTCCTGTCGTATGGGATCCCACTATTCTGGGGCCGAACGAGATAGCCCCCTGGTCGGATCTGATGTCTGGACTGGAGTTTCCCCCGCATGTCAAATCCGGGGTTCTAGCCTTCTCCAGTGGAGATGATTGCTTCTCCACGTGGTATAAGATGTCAGTTCTTCCCAGTGGGAGGCCTGGCCATGCTCCTCGAGCTCCTTCTTGATCGCACATCTCCTCGTCAATTACTAAAATGGTGCTCAATCCAAAATTGTACCAGGCATGTTTTGTCTTTTTCTGCGAGCCTGGAAGTTCTCTAATTGTGTTTCTCTAGTTCCTAGTGGGCGTGTTCGCCTCTCTGGGCTCCGTCCTCTTTGGATATGATCTTGGTAAGATGCCTCGATATATAACATGTTCTTTTCTCCTTGAGAAATGAATAGCTAAGTCAGAGCATAAAAGGTGTCGTTGCTGAAGTCATCGCATCATCCTCATTCAATAGCTACTTCAAAAATCCAACCTCGACACAGACGTAAGCTCCTACAGCATACTTCATACCCTAAGTGCATAAAGTTAATGAGTTGTCAGTGGAATTGTCGTCTCGTTCTTCACCGGCGGGGCGTTCTGTGGAGCAGGGCTAGCAGGGCCGTGTGGAGATAAGCTGGGACGAAGATGGAGTAGGTATCCCCAGGATTTCATCCCCAGGATTTCCCTCTTTTCTTCACTTCTGAGATACGCAATGTGATGCTAGGAGAGATAGTCCAGACTCTACCTTTATCCTTTCGAGGAGTCTCATTGCTGACATTATTCACAGCCATCATTATTGGATGCATGATCTACCTCCTTGGTGGGGGCTTCCAGACCGGTGCACAGAATCTGAATTACCTTTGGGCTGGCCGTTGGCTCGCGGGCCTTGGCGTCGGGTTTTTGGTCATGATCGTACCAGTATATCAGTATGTATACCCTGAGCAAACTTTCCTGCTCGAATTCTGAGATACGCTCAACAATTGTGCCCAATATTCCGGAAGCAGAATTTGAGATGCAAGAAAGCTATTAGTAGATGTCTATCTTTCAGGAATTATATATGACGCGGCTTCGAACCTCTTGTCAAAATCATTTCAATCATTGGTCAAGGGATGTACATCTGACTTTTATGAATAGGTCAGAGATTGCGCACCCTTCCATTCGAGGCACGGTCACTGCCCTGCAACAGTTCATGTTAGGGATTGGATCTTTCGTCGCAGGATGGGTCAGCTACGGTACTTATATCGGGTTGCATTCAACAGCTCAATGGCGTCTTCCACTAGGGCTCCAGATGCTACCAGCTGTTGGACTAGGTATAATCACCCAGGCGAATTCAAGCTTCGAATCCACGACTAACCAGCTCCGCAGCGGCACTTATATTCCTCTTTCCCGAGAGTCCACGGTACGTCAATAGTTTCCAGTTTTCCATAGTAGTAACTAATATTATTTCCACTAGTTGGCTCATTGATCACGGTAAACCCGACGAAGGTCTGTCAACTCTGGCTCGCCTTCACTCTCATGGCAACGAGGACGATCCATGGGTCAGGGCCGAATTCGACCAAATCCAGGAGAGCATTACGCACGAACACGAACATGAAGCAAAATCATATCTAGATCTATTTACTCACAAGCCCTCTTTCCGACGCTTGCTCATAGCTTGCACTCTGCAGGCTTCGGCTCAGATGACCGGTGTATCCGCAATCCAATACTATTCTGTGACGATCTATGGACAGATTGGAATCACTGGGTCCAACGCTCTGAAATACCAAGCTATCAATAACATTATTGCACTTCTTGGGGAAGCCTGCTGCCTCTTGCTTATTGATAGACTTGGAAGAAGATGGCCGCTGATCATTGGAAATCTTTTCAATATGGTATAATACCTATGCCCTCGGAATATATCCGTTGTTGTGCATGCTAACAAAGTGACCCAAATAGGTTTTCTTCCTCATTGCTTGCGTCTTGATTGGTATGTAAACCTCCTCTTTGTCCAGGATCAGATTCCCAGGAACTGACAGTAATTACAGCGCAGTTTCCGCCGGGATCTACCCACAACGACGCAGCATCTTGGGGTTTCATTGTCATGTAAGCGTGATGTCAAACTTTCCCTAGAATAAAATCTAATAAGCTGCAGGACTTGGCTTTACAACTTCTCTTTCTCCGCCTCCTGCGGCCCCTTGACTTGGATTATCCCTGCCGAGATATTTGACACCCGCACTCGAGCAAAAGGGGTCTCAATCGCTACAATGGTCTCCTTTGCCTTCAACACACTTATTGGTCAAGTTACAGGTTAGTTTCATCCTCCTGGGTATCGTCACCATTGCGGATTTTCACTTAAGCTTGATCAAAACCGCTGGTTCAGATGATTCTGCAGCGCAGCTACCATCTCCCAACTGAACAGCAGCTGACATTTTACACAGATACCGCAATGACCAACATAGGCTACCGATACTACTACCTCTTCATAATCTGCAACTTCACCAACGCACTAACCTTCTATCTCTTCCTTCCCGAGACCGCCAGACTGCCACTTGAAGAGATGAACTACCTGTTCACGAACGCGCCGTTCCTCGTCCCCTTCCACGACAAGAAGGCTTATCAAGCGAATTACGCGGCGGATCTGGAGCGGAGAGCGCGCGAGATTCGGGAGAAGGGGGATGTCGTGGCTGAGCATCAGGGGGAGGTGATTCATGAGGAGGAGGTCGTGCAGCGGGAGAAACAATCGGAGGCTGTTTGAAGGAGCGGAGTTGTCGTGGCCTCATAGCTAGTGTTAGACGGATATTCAGAGAGTCTCAATTTCTTGATTTGAGAACTAGAAGTTGCTGTCTATTAATACAAGAAGGTTAAAAGAACTAAAGTGTTAAAAGAACACTGTGTTGCCTTAAGGCACTATTCAGGCACTCCTCAAGCATCCGTCCTCAAGGGGACTAGGGAGCTGGTCTTATGAGATTTAAGCAGATTTTCTTGTCTTGGCTCTGATGACGGGTATAACTTGTTCAGAGCTTGTTGCTAAAGCTTGGATAAAAGCTGCACAGCATTCTCTTGGAACCTCATGAGCAATAAATAAAGTGCCATAATAAATGATTCAGCTTCGAAATCCTAGTCCAACCCCTAACAACAGCAGCCCTAGCAACCCCCCCCCCCCCCCCCCGCGAGGAAGAACTCATTTCTTCCCTTCTCTCCCTGTTACCTTTAAGTACCAATGGTGTCGCAATATCCACAATATCTACAGTAAATTTGAATACTAGGTATCTAGCTATCAAGTGCATGAAAGCATGATGCATCCCCAGTTCTCAACCATACGCTTCATGTCAATACACGCCGTCGAATCTGAAGACCCTGTCGGACGAATGTTATGGCAAAGCAAGTGTATGACAATTTACCAATTGTCTCCACCAGAGTGACTCCAACCACCAGTAGCAGCAGGAGCTGGAGCATCATCGCCCTGGGTTGCCCAAGCACCGGCAGCAACAGGAGCCGAAGCGGAAGCATCAACACCACCACCACCGCTATAGTTCGTGAAAAGGTCAGCATATTTATCAAATTCATTAGTGTCTGGAGCAGCAGGCTGAACAGAACCGCCACCACCATATGAAGGGCCAGCACCGTATGAAGCACCGGCATCACCAGCATCTCCATCCTCGACAGGAGGCTTTGTGCAACGAATCTTGGTGTGTCCCACTATTTGAAACAATCAGCACCCTCTCTTCGACGTTCAGAGTTGAGGGGAATGCTTACTCTCCTTACAGTTTTGACACTGGACACGAGAATCTGCGAGGTTGTTAGCTTCATTTAAACTCTGTAGGACAGGATCACACCTACAATCACGAGGCTTAGGGCACTCCTTTGAGATGTGACCTTCACCATCACAGTTACGGCAGATCATCTTACGCGGCTCGGGACACTCCTTTGCAATATGGCCATCGTTACCGCAGTTACGGCAGCCGCCACCACCACCACCGCCTGTGGGACAATCCTTTGCAAAGTGACCAACTAGAGATATGTCAATGACTGGGATCCAAGGGGAGAATGAAGAGATTTGCATACTCTCACCACACTTCTTGCACTCAACGCCCTCTGCGGAACGAGGCTCGGGGCACTCCTTGGCGCTGTGGCCTGATTTCTTGCAGTTACGGCAAGCAAACCGGTCAGGACGAGGGTTAGGACCTAGAGCGAGATGATCAGCTTATATCCATGAGCAGGAAAGGGTCTGACGTACAGTCGCGTACACGATGTCCAATCTCCTCACAATTGAAGCACTTTACTTGGGCACGGCCAATGACCTCTTGTTTCTCCTCAGGACAGCCCTTGGAAGTATGACCTAGCTTGTCACAGTTGTTGCACTTGGGTAGGCCCCGGTCAATAGGCTCACCAGCATCTGCAAGGCGAGCCAGGTTTTCCTCAGGGGTTGCTGGCCAGAGGTCCTTCTCCTTCGGACGTTGATGATTGGGGGACAGACGCCAGGACACAGAATACTTCTTGTCCATGTTTCCCTGGATGTCCATGTTGGTGTAAGTCAAGGCAAGTTCCTTCTCGATAGCGATCAAGTAGACGTTAATATTCTGGTTGCGGAAGGCCTTCTCGAGTTGGACATAGGTTACATCGGGTGTAGCCTTGATGAACTTCAAAACTGCCTCCTTAATGTCGTCCAGGTCACGCTCCTTGGCGGCAACCTTGAGTTCGGCCCAAGAGACCTCACCAGGGACATCAGGGATATTGCTACGATCAATCTTGCGAGGGTTCTTGCACTCCAAAGCAGTATGACCTGAAAGACGATTTTGTTAACATCATTCGGAAGCTTGCCGGGAAAAGAATTCCTACCTTCTTCCTTGCAGTTGTTGCAGATCTTAGGGGGAGCAGTGGGGCATTCAGATGCTCGGTGTCCCTGCTGCTCGCAAAGACGACAAGTGCCAGTAAACTCACGGGGAACAGCTGGGTTGGTGCATTCAGCCTTGGAATGACTATAGAAGTCTATTAGATGATATTTTTGGACATGATTGCGGGAATACGTACCCTTCTTCACCACAATTGAAACAAGCGCGTGGCTTGCTTGGGTTGGGGCAGTCTGCCTTGTTGTGACTACTCGCCATGTCAGATTTATACGCTTGTATCAGCTCGGAGAAGTTGACTTACCCATCCTCCCCACAGTTGAAGCAGCCGCCGCCATTGCCACCACCAAAGCCAGCACCTAGACCGGCACCAAGACCGGCACCTAAGCCATCATCATAAGCAGTCGCGCTTCCGTCAAAGTTGTTGGTAGCAGGACCGTCGTTCAAATCGTTGGTAGTAGTGCCGGCACCCCAGTCACCACCACCGCCTTCGGCGTTGTCCCAAGACATCTTGGATTTCACGTGTATCGTTTGGGTTTCAGATCTATGCTTAAAACGTGCGGGTCAGTAAAAGAAGAAATCACTGCGGGATTGGCAGATCTCTAGATCGAAATGTCCAAGAAGATTGACTTCGACTTCGACTTCGACTTCGAGATAAGCCCAAGCCCCACAGTCCAAAGAGAACTTGGGGAGAGAAAAGAGTGGGAAGACGAAAGCCAGAGATGGGGATTGATGACTTAGAGGAGAAAGTGTAAAGAGGGAAGAAGATGAAATGAAGATGATACAAAGTTGTTTGCGCGGCGAAACGCGAAACACGCTCGAGAGATGTGGCAGACCGATGCGTTGTGGACTGACCCGCTATAGACCGAGGCCTTAATAAACAGCAGAGCCGGCACCAAGTACATTAAGTAGACAGATACAGTTTGGAAGATGGAGTGAGGAGTATTGACCGCGGTGTATTGCACCAACCTCAACTTGGATTCTTCAACGACGTTGTTGATGTTTGCGAGGAAAAGCGCGCGGGGATGGAAACAAGACAAAAAGGAGTGTGTGTACACTTACCGTTGAAGGTTGATATTCAGGGTCGAGTCCACGAAGGGCTCGTAAGATCACAACTCGAGATCTTGGTGTTGATCAAAATGGTGTGGGAAAGAAGTGGAAGGTTGGTGGGAGAGAAGCTGGGCTTTATACTCAAAATACTCGAAGCGAGGGCATGTGCTTTTCTGAACGACATCGTCGCCGCGCCGACGACGTAATCAGCTCCCTTTCACCACGATATCGTCTGGGCGACGATCTTGCTGTTTGATGTCTTTGTAATATCCTTCCTTTGAGCTTACACAGCCTTTCCACCGTGTCTTGGAGAGCAAGTTATCTGAAAGGAATTGCAAGTCCATCCCGGAAATAGCCTCAACATCACACTCTGTACAAGCCTTATTGAGGAGTCGGAACCTGGCCTCGTGTCCCTGTACGCACCCGCGGAATCTCAGTCTAAGATTCCAGATTGATCCTTAAAAAGGAATAGTTGAATCCTCTTCGGCCGTCTTCTGGTCCGTATAGGAGACACTATGAACATCCCAGTCGTTACGATGAGTTGAGAAAATCCCAAGGCTCCTTGTTCTACTATTTTTAAAAGAGTGCCCTTAGATCTTCATGAGCAACTGGGAAGTAAAGACGTTAGGACAAAGGAAGCATCCCACGGGAAGTACAAACACGCTAAAACCTTCTGCATCAACATAGATAATAACCACAGAGCGCAGTACAACACCTGGTCCCGGATACGCGCTCCCCTACTCCCCAAAGCTGTATCCAAGAGGGGTGCTGGTCGTTTGACAGCGCTTAGAACTCGATACTACGGAAATTGGAAACACCACATGGAATTCAAAGACTTCTCGTTAATTGAAAAGTCGTTCATTCCTCTAGTACTACTGATATGATTTGTTATCAATCAGGACCGAGAAAAGGATTACTGAAGTTGATTGACCAGGACAGGTATTGGTTACATCCCTTGATCTCTGAGCAGCGTTCGACGATGGATGTTCATAGCCTGTTGGTACGGCAGCAACGTTACTGCAGGCAACGTGCTCGGAGCCTCACTCGAGGGACCAATGCAGATTAAGATGGTCCATTCCGATGGGATTCCTCTACCAGCAAAACCTTCATGGCAGAAAATAGTCAAGAAAACCGCCATAGCTTTATGGTTTTCACCGAGTTGAAGATTTCGGTTAGTATGGAGATGGTATGACAGAAGAAAAACTCTATTTAATCTGCCGTTGCTGACAAGAGAGTCCTTAGAAGCAATGTATAGATATTTGAAGGCCATTCATTGTCCGTCTGACCTTCCGGAGACGTGTCGTTGGAACTTTCCATCTTTGTGAGGATTATGTAAGACCAGGCACCCGACGAATATCTTACCAAGATATCTTTCATATAAGGTTTAGTGCGGGGTATACGTGGTCCCCTGCGTGGACGCGGAGTATCTCTCTCCGATATTCCATGTTTGCATCAAATGTCAAGATGTCGTGCTCTCATGCTAGCCCACTTGGGAATCCCATTATCGTTGCGATATAAGTTGAAAGCTCCTCTCCTTCCCTTTTGCTCTTTGGTAAGGAGCAGAAAATATATTCTGATTCGTCATTGATATTTCTCATATATATCTCTCTCATTCAAAAGGACAAGGAAATCCAGCATCTCATGATGTCTCCACCACCCGGACTTCCCAAGATGGAGTATAGATTTCTCGGTCGTTCCGGACTTCAAGTATCAGCTATCTCTTTGGGGGGATGGCTAACTTACGGAGGACACGTTGAAAAAGGTACATGGATTTTTCAGACTGAATATTGCGTCATAATGACCAGCAACAGAAAACACATTTGCCTGCATGAAAGCAGCCTATGATGTCGGAATCAACTTCTTCGATTGTGCTGAGGGTTACGCTGGAGGAGAATCTGAGAGAGTCATGGGCGAAGCTATAAGGAAGTTTGGCTGGAAACGTAACGATCTGGTAATCTCAACGAAGGTATCTCACCGATGTTCTATAAAGACTTATGCATAGATAATAGTTGACCGGGAAACACAGATTTACTGGGGCAGTGCCAACGGGGAAAATCCGGTCAACAACGTCGGTCTCTCGCGAAAGCATATCATCGAAGGAGTGGATGCTTCTCTCGAACGCCTGGGTCTCAAATACGTAGATTTAATCTACGCTCATAGGCCTGACCGAAACACGCCTATAGAAGAGACGGTACGTGCTTTCAACCATATTATCAATACGGGTAAAGCGTTCTACTGGGGAACGTCTGAATGGACTGCGGAAGAAATATCGTCAGCATGGCGCTATGCTGATAAGCTGGGACTGATTGGCCCTTTGATGGAGCAACCTCAATACAATATGCTCGCCCGAGAAAAGGTTGAGAAGGAATATGAACGCCTGTACGAGGAAATCGGGCTTGGCCTTACAATCTTCAGTCCTTTGAAGATTGGAATCTTGACAGGGAAATATAATGAAGGCATCCCAAAAGATTCTAGATTAGGGTCCAGCGATGATGACTTCGTCAAGAATATGAACAAACGTGTCGGGGATGAAAGTTGGAAGAAGGATATCGAGGTCGTTGCGAAGCTCAAGCCGATTGCGGATAGACTCGAGATTTCACAAGCTACGCTGGCTATGGCTTGGGTCTTGAAGAACAAGAATGTTAGCTCAGCAATCACCGGGGCCAGTCGTCCGGAGCAGGTTTATGACAGCGTGAAGGCTCTAGTTGCAGTGGAAAAGTTGACTCCCGACATAATGAACGAGATTGATGACATTCTTGGAAACAAGCCTACCTTATTGACAAGGAGGTATAGTTGAATATTGAGGACTCGGGTTTGGATAGAGATTATATCATATTTCGTTTTATACAAATTGATTCCTTCGGATCATCCTTCGTATCCTTGCTAGGTGGTTTCCCAAACATACCACTCTCTAGTCCCGTGTCAAACCGTCCATATAATGCTAAACGCTGTTCAAAACGCAAATTCCGCTCTAATCCAATACGCCTAGAAAATCAAGCATAAAACGAGCTTCCTGTGTTGCTCATCAGCCTTCTCATGGAACCAACCCTCTCAGAGGCCGTAACAGCTGTATCCGGTCTGGTTATTCCAGCAGACCCTTCTTCCGACATCCGATTCGGGTGCTCATGATAACCCGGGGGGTTTGCTTCTCCACTCATCCTCCTCAGCTCAACCACCCCTTCTGGGGCGTGACTTAAGCTCGGCCTGCGTATTTCCTCACTCCCAATACTCGGTGGCTTCGACACAGGCGCGTAGGGTGGTGGAGCTTCACCCCTCTCATCAAGCCCTTCTTCCCTCCCAATGTCATGTATTCCGTTGCTACTGCCGCTAACTCTTCCCACTCCGAATCGCGATCTCCAACCTTCGACGTCCCGAGCCAGAGCACGTTGACCGTCACTACGTGCTAGTGCAGCTTTTCGTCTCTTCCTCCGGCTAATGTATAAGATGGCGCAGCAGACCACAGCAGCAACCGCTGCCACTATCAGGAAGTAGTAATCGGCAACATGGGAATCTCCTGAGGGCGCACTCCTAGGTACCGGGGGACCTGTCGTAGGACGCGATTGCGTGAGCGTAGCGGGATGTGAGGAGGTTGTGGACTCTACAGGAGGAGTTGTCGATGTCGAGAGTGTTGTAAGAGATTGGGTACTTGCAGGCAAGGAGCTGGTGAGTTGCGCAAAGGAGGGAGTAGGTAGGATCGTCGACAGGAAGAGAAGTAGGCTGGATCTCGCACACCGACATGAACTTCTTGGCCGGCGAGAGGCCATTTTGAGAATTGGAAAAGGAAGAAAGGGCAGTCGGTAGCTCTTGGAAGAACGAACAATGTCTTGCTCAAGAGCTACACGGCCTCATCCCCGCATGTGTGCAAGAACGAGAGAGTTGGCAACGAGTGCCAATCTCTGGTGTAGATACGACGCGTTATCTCGGTTGTGCACTTGCGTGGTGCAATAATTGCTGCATAATAGACAAGCAAATGGTCGAAGGAATCAATGCTAAAGCCTCAATGACCCAACATCGATCCTAGATTGTTTTCCTAAAGTCCGAGTCTCCCGGGTGCAAGAAGCTTGATCTTGATCGTGGAATCTTGACTTCGTCCTATTCGACAACGGAGGAAGTCACGTTCGCCAATCATATCATATCAATCCTCCTCCACATCTTACGGAGTACGGTGGGAAAATCCGAACCTTGTCCGCGCAGTCTTATCGATGCAAGTCACGAGACTCAAAACGTGCCATCTTTGAGAACAAGAAGAGACCTGTAAACTTAACATGCCTCGAGCTATTCGAGGTATGTTGTCTTCTTGCTGGGGCAGTTTGTAATCTGCAGACAAATGCTGACAAGCTAGGCGTTCTCGTGGAGTGCGACCCCTCGATCAAATCTATCATTGTCAAGATAGACAGCGAGGAACACGCCTATATCGTAGAGGAGTTAGATGATCAGACACTCGTCATCAAGGAGAACATGATGTCCATGTTAAAGGCGCGGCTAGAGGATGTAAGTATTACGCTCCCGAAACAGTATAGTGACAAGGCTGACTTTCGATCACAGGCTCTCAAAGAAACGCAACAGCCAGCGGATGATTCTGGGTCAGACTAGGGGGGTATTTAAAGGAGTATACAGAGGTATGGCGTTGACTTGAAATATGGGCATGCATATCAAGACAAGGCATTGGGAGTTGGGGCTTTCAGAGGGAAGGCTTTCGGAGAGAAATCCAGGCCATGTTTCTTCATAAGAACTGCTTCATATCATAATATATTGGGAATCTGCATCGTCCCGAATCAAGTAAAAATTGTCTCCTAGATTGTTGAATCCGTTCTTCAAGGCCTCAATCTCCCGAGCTTTTTGCTATATGGAGTATGAAAGTGATACTTATTTCTTTGAGCAGTACCTGGCCAACGCGTGCTAAGTTTTGAGAGCTTGCTATCATACATTGTACAAGGACGTATGAAAACGTTATAATATACATATATGACTATGCGTCTGGCGACACAGACGCAGACGTCGAACTTGACATTGTTTCAGCTGTCGAGCCCGGGGGTATTGAACCCAGAGGAGTCTTTCTTCTAGGTCTCTTCAACTCCTCCAGCGTAATCCCATCCAGTTTTGTAATGCCAACAACAGGTGGATCATCCTTCTTGACAAATTCGTACATGCCTGCAAGGTCCAGATTAGTGATACTTTGATAATAGAAATGCGCTGGTGGGATAATTACCAGGCATCTTGTTTGCCGCTAATCGAAATGCATCTCGGGCAACCTGCTCGTGTATGTCGCCCTTCAATTCGAAAATAATTTTGCTGACAGCAATTCTGGATGCCCAGTGATCGAAAGTACCTTTCCCTTTACCCATACGGACCTAAAGAGAATTGGTTAGGAAGGGTCACGACTCCATATAATGATTCCCGGCATACCTCATTACCGCTACTATACACACCAATGTTGGCGCAAACTCTTTTGTACAAACGATACCGCATTCCCTTTAATCGGACCTTGATTGCATCCTCTCCAATCTTCAGCTGAGATGCGCTGACACGACGGTGGTGATCTTTCATCCGTAGACCGTAATCGCCCCATACCATGGTTGTACCTCGAGCTGAACCGCCCGTTGGCACACGAGGGCGACCTTTACGTGACCTCTTCTTTTCTGGCATTGTGGGCAACAGCCAATTTCCAGCATTGGCGGCTGTACTTGAGAATGGGCGTCTGGAGGTGGAGGCAGCATTTTTCGCAGGCAAGGCTCTGTTGCTGAACAAAGGCGTGGCGAGAGCACTTATCGGCCGAATGGGAGTCGTGGCCATCGATAGCCTTTCGAACTGAGCCGCAAGGCTCGGGATATATCGAAGAGTCATGATGGTGATGATCTTGTTGTAGTTGTACCCAAGCTTCAAGAAATGTCGAGCTCTCTCCAGTGTTGCTGCCTGGTTGTTGCCTCAGTCATAAATCACTTTACATGCCTACTCGCGTTCTCGCGTCTAGAAATCGCGTTCATCACCACCACCTCGAGATCGTCTGGCAGTGCAGAACAGAACAGAATAATTCTGCAATGATGGCCTCTTCCTAAACCCAAGAGACTGTATTGTACCAGGATTAGATTCGAACTTAGCTTGTCACAATCTTTTAGAGGATCACGATTTCTCATCACCCGACCAGTATGCCTACAGATATCAGGAACTTTTTCGGGGGCAAGGTCTCTACTCCCATACGGGAGAAGGAGACTAAGAAGGAAGATGATCCTAAGAAGAAGAGAAGCAGTAAGAAGCTCTGAGGCCCTAAATGTGATAATTTCGTGCGCTGAAATCATGCAGAAAGTCGCAAGATCATAGATGACAGTGATGACGACGAGCCAGCGTCAGTGACCAGACCGAACTTGGAGCCTGATAATACATACTAAAGTCTTGCTAGGGTCAAGAAATCCACTCCGAAGAAGACAGCGCCGAAGAAACCCATGTAATGCTAGCCATTCGCTCTTTGTGGACACTTAATTAATACCTTGGCTTAGGAAGGATTCGCCCAAAGGAGAGGAAACTACCACTGCAGATTACTTTGCATCCAGCAGCAAGCCTAAGCCACCGAAGTCAACGCCTACAAAATCGAAGACTCAACCCGCTGTCGAATTACAAAATAGATCGTCTACTCGGAAGAAGCCCACAACCTCATACGCTGAGCATCCGGATAATGACGATGACGCATTCCTGGATGACGATGAAGATGCTGGTGATGATATTTTTGCCGCAGATTTCAGGACGGGGGGAAAGCGGAAAGAGGATGGTTATATTGAAATCAACAGTGATGAAGAGACCCTACCGAAGCCGAAGAAGACAACGTCCAAGAGCAAGCTAGCATCGTCCAAGAAGAACGCGGATGTCGAAATGAAGGACGTCTACGCGGATCAGTCTTTTGTGGCGGATGATGATGCTATGTCTCTCGACAATCCAGTTAAAGGGCCTTCAAAGACAGGCAAGAAGCGAAAGTCTGTTGACTTGGATTCGGATGACGAAGCTGATGATTTCAAACCACCTGTCAAATCTGCCAAACAGCCACCTGCAAAGAAAGCCCGTCCTCCAGCCAAAAAGGAAAACGTTCCCGAAAGCACCGGAATACAAGCAATCCTGGACAGTATTCCTACAGTTCGGCCACCCACTCCACCGCCGAAAGACTCCGATGCGAAATTTGATTGGAGAAAGGCACAAGGGGGCGGAGGAAATGCAGGGCCACCCCCTTCAGCAGGCTCGAAGGAGATACCTGTCGGCGAAGAGAATTGCTTGGCCGGCTTGACTTTCGTATTCACGGGTCTGCTAGAGTCAATTTCCAGAGAAGAAGGCCAGGAGCTTGTGAAACGTTATGGAGGAAAAGTTACCGGTGCACCAAGTAGTAAAACAAGCTACGTTGTTCTCGGTTCAGATGCAGGACCTAGTAAACTGAGGAAAATCAGTGAAATGAAGATTAAGACCATCAACGAGGATGGATTGTTTGAGCTCATTAAAAGGCTGCCTGCTAATGGTGGAGACGGGAAAGCTGCTGAGAAAAGCATGGAGAAGAAGAAGGCGGAAGAGGAAAAAATTAGGAAAGAAGCCGAGGAGATGGAAAGAGAGGAGCGGAGAAAGGCCAACGAGGCCGAGAAGGCTGCAAAGGAGGCCCAAAGACAAGCTGCGTTGAAGGGTCATTCAGCTCCTGCGCCTACACGCCAAGTTCCCTCGACGTCTCAGCTATGGACAACCAAGTACGCCCCGACAATGATGAACCAGATTTGTGGCAACAAAGGCCAAGTCGAGAAGATACAAAACTGGCTGAAAAATTGGCACAAGTCGCGCAAGTACAACTTCCAGAAAAGAGGACCTGATGGATCTGGCGGCTATCGAGCAATTATCATTCACGGACCGCCTGGCATTGGAAAAACCACTGCCGCACACCTTGCTGCTAAGCTTTCGGGTTTTGATATCCTAGAAAGTAATGCCAGCGACACACGAAGCAAGAAATTGGTCGAGTCCGGCCTGAACGAAGTGCTGGATAATAACTCGCTTCTCGGGTACTTTTCAGGGGCTGGCAAGGCTGTCGACCAGAGCAAGAAGAAAATCGTCTTGATTATGGATGAGGTAGACGGAATGTCTGCTGGTGACCGAGGTGGTGTCGGGGCACTGGCCAAAGTGTGCAAAAAGACAGATATACCTATGATTCTGATCTGCAATGAACGAAGGCTTCCAAAGATGAAGCCCTTCGATCACGTTGCCTTCGAAATTCCCTTCAAGCGACCAACGACAGAACAGGTCCGTTCTCGTATTGCGACTATATGCCTTCGAGAGGGTCTCAAGCTTCCAGTAAATGTTATCGATGCTCTCATTGAAGGTAGTAACAAAGACATTCGGCAAATTATCAACATGATCTCCACCGCGAAGCTCGATCAAGACGCCATGGATTATGATCAAGGTAAGGCCATGTCAAAGGCTTGGGAGAAACATGTGGTTCTGAAGCCCTGGGATATCTGTCAAAAGCTCTTGGGAGGTGGCATGTTTGCTCCATCTAGTAAATCGACCCTTAACGACAAGATTGAGCTCTATTTCAATGACCACGAGATGAGTTACTTAATGATTCAAGAGAATTATCTCAAGACGAAGCCAATCCTAGCCAATGGTGCAGGCTCTGCCAGAGAACAGAGCTTGAAAGCACTGCGACTTGCAGACCAGGCCGCTGAGAGCATTAGTGATGGAGACTTGGTTGATCGTATGATCCATGGCTCACAGCAACAGTGGAGTCTTATGCCGACTCACGCGGTCTTCAGCACTGTGCGACCCGCCAGCTTCGTCTCCGGGCAAATGGTCGGTGGGACATCCTTCACCCAATGGCTGGGCAACAACAGCAAGATGGGCAAGCTCACTCGGTATGTCAAGGAGATACAGTCACATATGCGTCTCCGATCATCTGGTGATCGTCATGAAATCCGTCAACAGTATCTCCCTGCTCTCTGGTCGCAGTTAATCAGGAGGCTTGAGGTGGAAGGAAAGTCTTGCGTAGAGGAGGTCATTGATTTGATGGACAGCTACTTCTTGACGAGAGATGACTTTGACTATATCATGGAGCTTGGCCTAGGGCCACAGGATCAAGAAGGGGTGAATCTGGAAACCCAGACAAAGGCCAGCTTCACCAGAGCGTAAGTAGAAGTCACACACGTCGGGAAAGCAAGGCTAACAACTTATTTAGTTACAACGCTCGGTCACATCCTCTGCCTTTCATGAAGGCCAGCAACGTCGTAGCCCCAGCGCACGTGGCGAAGGCTGTGCCTGATCTCGAAGAAGCCTTTGAAGAGGAAGACGAAGAGCTAGTTGTGTCCGAGCCCAAGGAGGGTGACGATGACGATGTCGACCTTGCGAAGGACAAGTACATCAAGCAGCCGAAAGCCAAGAAGGCAGCGGCTGGGAAGAAGGCCGGCCCGAAGAAGAAGGCGAGCAAGGGAGCGGAGGAGGATGACGATGACGACGAGGATCCGGAGGAAGATGCCAAGCCGAAGAAGGGCAAGGCCAAGGCGAAAGGGAAAGGGAAGAAGTGAAGAGTGGGTGGGGCGTGGAAGAGTGAAATTCCGATGACCTCCTTGTTCAGGGCAGCCAGTTCTTGGGGGAGAGGGAATGCGCTTAGCCGTTGCTGTGCATAGCTTGGTGTGTCGGTTATCAGGCGCGGCTCTGTAATGATAGCGAGAAGCAGAAATGCATCAATTGGACCCAGGGCCACGGACTGCCAAAGACAAAGAGGTCTGATATGCGAATGCAAAGTGTGGCATAGCACGAGGGAAGTCCTGTCAAAGTTGTCATTGAACGGGAGCGAGGCTCAAGGCGCCGTGGAGTGCCCCTTCTGGGAATGCCGAGTGTGCCACCCCGCGACACGCCGGGCATTCCTGATGAAACCCGATTCACGTAAAGACCCTGTCAAGCTGTGGAGGGCTGAGAAGGGGGAGACGGCCCACGATGACGTCAGAGGACAAGGCTCTGTCCGGCGCCAGATGACAGGATGCGACAGAGCTGTATAACTACCTATAAGGTAATCGTACGATGAGGAGAAATATACCTGATACCAGCCACATCTCTGTTTCCCGTGGCTTGCGGTCCTCTTCGAGCCTCCCCGCATAGGGTCGTGCAGCCACGGCTGACCACTTTGGGTAATCCGATGGCGGGGGGCTGGGGTCTCCATGCTTCTCCACAACTCGGCCATTACCCCGGGGTGCCCGCCCACTCTGACTTTATTACTGTTTTACTGTATTTCCGTATGATTATTTCGTATTATTTTGTATTTTACTGAACCAGGTAGGAAAATGCCTTAGGTGCCCAAAAGCCTGCACGAGCAGGGACGGCCATCTCGGCCATCTCTCACCCGCAGCTCGCCGGTCTCAGATTCGATTTACGGGATTATACTAGTATTATACGGGTAAGCAGTCACCTACAGTAGTCCCGTCATGGTTTGACGAATCCTGGAGTAATACTGGAGCCACCCCCGGACTTCATCCCGGGAGCAGCTTACTGTCCTGTCCATAGTACAACAACAACAACAACACTCCGCCGTCACACTTCGACTTGGATTCATGTCCGGACAGGAGATCGACACCCGCCTAACGCTGTTGATCATTGCAAGCGCCATGGCAACCTTCGAGTATTCCCTTCCTTCATACATAGCTACACCCGGCGCCAGGAATAAATACGCGCCTCCTCCTCGGCCAGTGTTCGGATTCTCTTTTTTCGATGTTGGTCTGTTAAAATCGGCTTTGTTTTGGCATAGGGGTCTCTTTTCCCGTCCATTGAAGCATCGGGTTATCGTTGTCAATCACAAATCACCATCTCTAGACCACACATTCGACAGACGCCCACCATGTTTGGGGCTTCCAGGTATTTTGGCCTGCGGGGCAACAGGCTGAACCTCGTCGTGGGTATGGTTGCCGGTATCGATTTCTTGTAGGCCCTCACCATACATACAAACCCAACCTAACGAGCGTGGCTAATGATGAATAGTCTTTTTGGCTATGAGTGAGCATCCCCGTGAAGTTAAAACTTCGTCTTCAGAATCGCTTTATGAGCAGAGAATAAATATATATTTCGCTCTTGGGACATCTCCCAATGTGAGAGCAACGTAGCTAGCCGCTCATCAAATCATGTTCCACAGACTTCCTTGTGTGCTGGTTACCTTAGCGATTGCTGATTTCCGGACTATCTAGCCAAGGTGTGATGTCGGGGCTCTTGACTCTCCCGAGCTTTGTCAAGACCTTTCCAGAAATCAACGTCGTCGCTCATCCCAAAGACAATCATGTTACTACCATTCAAGGCATTACAGTCGCAAGTTATAATCTTGGCTGTTTCCTTGGTGCGGTCATCACAATCTTCATTGGCGATCTTCTTGGGCGAAGAAAGATGATCTTCCTAGGGTCTTCTATCATGGTTATTGGCGCTATCCTGCAGTGTACCGCCTTTTCTCTCCCGCATTTGATTGTTGGGGTACGAGAGTCTCCCTATGCCTTTAAGCTGATCTCAAGACTGACAATAACTGCAGCGACTTGTCACCGGTTTTGGGAATGGTTTCAATACTTCAACAGTGCCGACGTGGGCTTCGGAAACCTCAAAGGTTGGACGCCCAGACTAGATCCCGTCTCTCAAGACCAGAAAAGCTAATCTAATATCAGAGTCATAAACGAGGCAAGATGGTTATGATCGAAGGAGCCATGATTACGGGTGGCATCTGTTTAAGTTACTGGATCGACTTTGCGTTTTCCTGGCTCGAACCAAACACCGTCTCGTGGCGTTTCCCCCTCGCCTTCCAGATCGTCTTTGCTCTTTTTCTGCTTACAGTCATTATGGAGCTTCCAGAGTCACCTCGCTGGCTAATCCTGATGGGCAAGGAAGACGAGGCTCTTACGGTCATCTCTTCGCTTGCTGATCTCCCCGTCGATGATCATCTCGTCCTCACCGAGTTTACCGAGATCAAAGATACCGTCCTCGAAATGAAGGGCGTCCGCTGGAGAGATCTGTTCACTATGGGCCCCGAGAGGAATTTCCATCGCGTTGTCTTGGGTTACGTGAACCAGGTCTTCCAGCAAATTTCCGGCATCAACTTGATTACTTATTACGCCACGACCATCTACCAGACGTACATCGGCCTTGGAGACGTGACGTCTCGAATTATTGCCGCGTGCAACGGAACGGAATACTTCATGGCATCGTGGGTTGCCGTCTATACCATTGAGAAGTTCGGTCGTCGCCCTCTCATGCTCTTTGGCGCTGCAGGCATGGCTGGGTCAATGGCAATCCTGGCTGGAATGGATTACATGTCCCAAAACAATAAAGGGGGCGACAAACCCGGAATTGTTGCTGCAGTATTCCTGTTCGTTTTCAACACGTTTTTTGCTATTGGATGGTTAGGAATGACTTGTGAGTCCCGCTTCCCCCACTTCATCCTAGGCAAGAGTCTCTAACGTCTCTAGGGCTCTATCCCGCTGAGATCGTTCCACTGAGAGTTCGAGCACCGTCGAACGGTCTTTCAACCAGCGCCAACTGGATCTTCAATTTCATGGTCGTCATGGTTACCCCCGTATCGTTCTCCTCTATCGGATACAAGACGTATATCATATTTGCCGTTATGTGAGTTTCCATCCACTCTTCACTCACAATCCCTTTTCACTCTCATCCACTCTCCACATCACTTCCCCCTCTTTCCATCCATCCAAACCACATATGCTAACGCCTCACAGCAACGCATTCATCTTCCCGGTAGTCTACTTCTTCTACCCCGAAACCGCCTATCGCTCACTCGAAGAGATCGACACCATCTTCCGCAAGACCAAAGGCTGGTTTGACGTCGTCTCCGTCGCCAAGAACGAGCCGCAGCGCTACGGCAAGAACGGCGAGCTGCTGATCGACTACGAGCAGACCGAAGACCACGTCGTGCGCTCCCACAGCGTGGTGTCGGGCGCCGGCGCCAAACCCTCCGCCACGGGCGTCGAGAATATACATGCGGAACCGGGAAGCGGCGAGAGCTCGACTTATGAGAAGAAGGAAACGGTTTAGGAAGGAGGGTAGGCCGTGATATGAGGGAGAGGCGAGTTTTTGTTTGTATATACCCGAGAATGAGAGATGTAGGCTTTGTAGCCGTGAGTTGAACACAACTTCCCTCTGATGGTGGTCTGAACACCCACGATCAATGATCGATCCTATGAGTACAGAACGGTTGTACTTTTTTATGGCGGTAGTGGGTGCATCGTAGAACTTGAGGACGTGGCAGTTGAATAGGAGCTTCTGCTTTCCCCGATCGACTTGTAAGCCGAGCAGAGGGGATTTCTACGAGATGTATGGAATACAGACTGAAGAAATCAGACAGTCTGACTACAAATAAACCACAGGAAGCAAGACTCGCAACATATTACAGTATTCATTTCCACATAAACTCATCCAGGCTCTCACTAAGAAAGAAGAAAATCTACCTATCGACCATAATATCATCAAAGCTTCTCAAATCTGGGTTTCGTCTTCTTCAGGCCCGACTTCAGAGCCCTTTCCACATCACTCGTCTGCACCGCGGCCGAGTTCCAAACGCCCGTATATCTCAGGTTGTCCGCCACGCTATGATCCCGCGCATGATTCAGCAACTCCTTGGTACCCTGCACCGCCACGGGGCTCTTGGACGCCAGCACCTGGGCCATCTGCATGGCGGCCTCGAGCGCCTTCTCCTTGGACTCCAAAACGCGGCTGACGAAGCCGACGCGCAGGGCCTCCTCGGCGCCGAAGATGCGCGCCGAGAGCGAGACGTCTTTCACCCATGACAGGCTGCCGACGACTTTGGGCAGCCGCGCGAGCGTCCCGATGTCGGCGGCGAGCCCGATGTCGACTTCTTTGACGGCGAACTTGGCGTCGGCGCTGCAGATGCGGATGTCGGCGCAGGTTGACATGTCGAGCGCGAGACCGAGGGAGTAGCCGTGCAGGACGCAGATGACGGCTGTGTAGGGCATCAATCCATCAGTATCTATCTATCTATCTATTTATATCGCAGCTTTCTTTCTTTCCTCGCGAGGGATTCAGGGGAAAAGGAGGAAGGGGGGGGGGGAAGGGGGGAGGAGGCGCACGTTTTTCACATCTCTCAATGCTGGAGATGGCATCTTGGAATTCCTGGACATAGCGCCGGATAGCGACGGCGTTCCTGGCAGGGTCGGACGAGCCGTTGAAGAGCACGCTCTGGCTCGCGGCTTCGACGTCCAGGCCTGCGGTGAAGGCCTTGGGGCCGGCGCCGGAAAGGACGACGACGCGGATGTCGGGGTCGGTGGAGAGCGCGTCGATGATCTGTTTCAGTTCGAGCCACATGGCTTCAAAGAAGGCGTTCATCTTGCTCGGCCGGTTGATTTCGACGTGCGCGATGTAGGGCTGCGGAGTGCTGACCAGGAAATGCTGGGGCGTGAGTTGGGGCGCCATGGTGAGGGGCTACCTAGGAGGGAGGGCCGGGGGGAGGAGAGGATGCGGCGAAGGGGATATAGGGTGGGAGGGTTGCTGGAGTCCCGATTGAGTGGTGCGATGGAAGTGATGGAGGGAATTGGGATATTTGTTGCGCATTGGAGAGAGAATGTGGACAGAGGTTTCTGGTTGAACCCTCAAGGGGCACGATGTCCGTAAGGCTGACGCTCAAGCCGAGGCTCGGGAAGATCTAGTAAGGCTGTAAGGCTGCTGCGAATCTCCTCATGGCGGGAAATGGCCAATGGGAGGACGTGAGAACGGCGCCCACCAATAGCAATTCAAGGTCTGCTCGAAACACGTGAAACTCTTCCTCTTAGTCCCCCATACAACGTGGTGCCTATATGGGGCTTAAGCCGTGGGTGTGCGTGCGGAGAAAATGGGCTTCTGGAAGGTCGAGTTCTGTTGGGGTTGCCTTCGGTTTGGATACAAGGGAATACTAATAGATATCATCAGGGTATATGCATATGACCTCGTATATGTATACTGTGTGATATATTGAGGAGGCATTTAAATATTCGGGGACCCTGAGGTGGAAGGGCTGAATCCTGAATCACACTTGGACGCACTGAAAGGCATCTCAGCCAGTCCTCCTAACCCCTGAATCTTGAGGTTCTCGAACCTCTGAACTCCCGCCCTTCCGGACCAACTGATATTGCAGATCGTTACTGTCTCAATACTCTGGAAAAGCCACAGCCGCTCGAGTCATGTGGGATGTAGGAGGCTTCAAGAACTTCAATTACTTCTCGTAGTGAGGCCAATAACGATCGAGAGTGCAGCACACGGAGGATGGTGATTTGAATGAAAGGGGCGGCACTTGCCGTCCGGCCGTCTACTCCCGGCGCCATCCCGCAAATGGCCTACTGCCACTCCGGAAAGGACCCCTTCTTGCTCGTGGGACTGCAACACCGCTTCACCCTCTTATATACAGTATACCTCCTTTGCTGCTCTGGCCACCGAGTCTCTACTTTCCATGGCATTGCAGCAGGCCTGTCAATGCTCTGAACTGCCTTGAACGCGCACGGCAACCACACCCAGGATCGGGCATCAATATGCCGTATCACCTGTGCAGACGACATTGCGTCCCTCCTCTCGGCCCTGTGGCTTTTCTCTCCTGCAGTAATCAATACTCAACGAGATAATATTGGGCTGTATTGTGCCTAAAGGTGAGTTCGAATTTTGTTTAAGGATCCGTCAACGGCGTTGGGAGAGAAAGCCAGTTTTCCCGTCACCTTTCATGCCCCTCTTCTGATCTCTACTACGGCCGCTAATACACACGTCGCAGGTTGCCAGACATGTTTAAGATAAACGGGAACGATCTTCCCATTGTTCGAACGCGCCAGGCCCTGCTGGTTCTCAACCTACAAAATGACTTCGTTACACCCGGCGGCGTATTAGCTGCTGAGAACTCTCTCAATCTTGTCGAGAACGTTGTCAACCTTGCGGAGCAATTTCGAGACTCCGGAAACGATGTGGTATGGATTCAAACTGTATTCGAAACCTCTCGGCCAGTGAACAGTCTCGAGGGCGAGAGCGAAAATGTTATAACGGATCGGGAGCTGCTTAAAGCTCCTGGGAGAATTGGGACAGGTTCCGCCACCCGATCAAGGCCTTCCGATAAGCTACTTGAGCGTTTTAGTAAGATGGCTGAGGCTAGCGGCCTTGAAATGGATCCTAGTGCGTCGTTGCTAGACGAGGTCGACGAAGAGGAGCAGGGAGAACCTGTCAGTGAAACGTTTTTGACGGTGGAGCCTGGCCAAAGAACTCAAGTCGCCTTACCTGGGTCACCCGGGGCAGACTTGAGTCCGCTCGCCTGTCAGAACGTGGATAATGCGAGAGACCTCGTATTTCAGAAGAGTCACTACTCAGCGTTCAAAGATGGCACGCTCGTGCAGACATTGCGGTTCAAATTTGTGACGGAGATCTACCTGTGCGGTGCTCTGACCAATATCAGCATCTTTGCAACGGCGATGGATGCGGCTCGTTATGGGTACTCGATCACCATTATCGATGATTGCCTGGGATATAGGAATAAAGCTAGGCATGACGAGGCATTAAGGCAGTTGACCGAATTCACCGGATGCGATATAATGAGCAGCAAGGACGTCATTCGAGATTTGCAGCGAAGAACTAGCGCACAGCAAACTCCCCCCAGAGACGCACGAGAGAAAGCTACATCTCTTGAAAGTCTTATGGCTAATATGAATCTGAGTCGGAAGAGTTCATCATCCTCACGACGATCAAAGCCAGTTCCAACTGGATCACAAGCCCCGGCGACGGTTGCAGAAACTGGTCGAACTTCTAAGTCGCGGCCATCAAAAGAACCTCATATAGATGAAGACTCAAAATTACCGGAAAGGCATGAAGCCTCAGGCAAGAAACCGGAAAGAGTCAAGACGAAGGTCAAATCTCGACGGCGTCACTCAAAGGGAGTCCCCCAAGATGTCGCCGCGGCCGCGGCCGCAGAATCTGGAGAGCCATCGGGGGGCAGCAAAGGCCACAAATCACCAAGCTCTGCGACCCCACAAACAGCTTCCCAGGCCTTAGAGAAGATTCCAACCAAAGACAAAGCGGAAGCTGTAGATGCTGCTCGGATTAGTAACTTACCTGAAAGGATCGAGGCTGGCCCATCTCACCCAGAAAATGCGAACAAGGCGAAACTGGAGTCAGGAAAGGAGGATCACCAGGGAAAAAGTAATGCTAAAGCTTCTACGGTTCAAGAATCGGCTCCTATGTGTGAAGGAGATACAACGGTAATCACTAATCTCCTTGGAGATGATTTATTGGAAGGCATATTTGAAAGGGTACGCGACGAAGTGCAATGGCAAAAGATGTCTCACCAAAGCGGAGAAGTGCCTCGACTTGTTGCCGTTCAAGGCGAGGTTGCAGAAGACGGCAGCGTGCCAATTTATCGACATCCAGCAGATGAATCCCCGCCCTTGCTCCCATTTTCTCCAGTTGTATCTTTGATTCGGAAGGAAGTCGAGAAGAAACTTGGCCACCCTGTTAACCATGCGTTAATTCAATTTTATCGAAGCGGAACGGACTACATCTCCGAACATAGTGATAAGACCCTGGACATTTGTCCTAACACATTCGTTGCCAATGTTAGTCTTGGCGCGCAGAGAACACTGGTCTTCCGAACGAAAAAGCAACCAAAAAGCAACAATGTTGCCGATGATGCTGAAGCAGTCGAACCCCGCAAGGCATGCAGAGCCCCGCTTCCGCACAATTCAATGTGCAAGATGGGATTGATTACGAATATGCGTTGGCTGCATGGTATCCGACAAGACAAACGAATGGCATCGGAAAAATCCAAGGCAGAACTGGCCTACAATGGCGGACGGATCTCTTTGACGTTTAGGATGATCGGGACCTTCCTTGACAAGGATCAACGGAAAATCTGGGGCCAGGGTGCCACGGCTAAGTCTAAGGATCATGCTAAAACAGTGATCAATGGAGACACATGTGAAGCAGAAAAAATGATACGTGCGTTTGGCAAGGAGAACCATTTGACTGAGTTTGACTGGGCAGAGGTCTACGGTGAAGGCTTCGATGTCCTTCACATGACCAACTCGCCAAAACTTTTCTTGTCCGGTGACACCATTGCGGATTCGAGGGTCAAGATCTTGCTCGCGGAATATGGAATTTCCTGGAGTGAAGAAAGGCAGTCCCCGTCTTGCAACCGGAACAATGGCAGCTCGAGCGTGGAAGCATCGGCCACCCCGGAAAGGCCTACCGTTAAATTTATAGACAACGATGTGGACAAGTCTACTGTGTCAGGAGACGTGGCTATTATTCTCTACCTCGATTCTGTATACGGGCCGAAAGCAAATAAGAATGCAAGCTCTCAGGTCAGTCTTGCAAGACAATTCACTCGCTTGCAGCAAGTTTGCAAACTCCAGCTGAAATGGCATGCTATTCCACCTAATACAGACGCATTCAAAAGAGAATTGGAGCTTTGGGAGGCTTTTGTAGCCGAGGAACCATTCATGGCTGGGTCGGCGATCTCACTGGCCGATTATGCTCTCATCCCTATCTTAATGGAGTCAAGTGCTGAATGGGCAGGGAAGCCGGAATTCCCTAAGCTGAGTGCTTACTTCTCTCGTATGAAGGAGCTGGATAGTGTCAAGAAGGTATTTGGTTCGGGTGCATTGGATCAGAAGGCCAAGTAGTTGTCGCTTGCGGCGAAGGGGAAATCGACAAGCCGCAGAATTGTTCAAGCTCTGAGTTGGTAGTTCTGGAGAGAGACGCCTCCGGTTACATGTTCTAATGAAACGTGAAATAGGATATGGTAGCAGGCGTTTAAGGAATCTATGGCTGTATCTCTGTATAGGGGCACGTTTCCGATACCTTCCATCGTTCTCCGGGATTCTATGTTCATCTCAGCAGGAAATGTTAACGATTTTGGTTCAAAGACCTCGTTATTCCTCTTATATGAGTTAACTTGAGCATCATCTGCTCAATAACTAATTGCTAACTCCAACTGAACTCACCCAAGTCACTAACAGCTCTCCACCCCCTCGAATTCACAAATTCTTGCCTAGCCTCACTCTCCCCCAAAGCCTCCTCAGCACTCATCCCCGGTGCAAAACCCACCGTCTCCTCCCTCTCAACCCTTAGCCACCCTCTCCATCCCAACATGATATCCCCTCCCACACCCCCATTAACTACCGTTCCCAGCCATTCCCTCCCCTTACTCTCATGCTCACCCCACAACATATACCTCTCCACCCCTTCCAACGTCCCCTTCAACCCCCTCGGCGTCGTCCTAAACACATGCACATGCCTCAACTCACACGTTAAATGCGACGCCGAAAACCTCCCATCCACATCAATCACCACGACCGTTCCCCCCCGCTCACCCACCAAATAATTAACCAGCCGATACAACAACGCCATGCCCCGTCCCGTGATAGCCAGTCTCCCGCCATGCGCCTCCCACATACGATCCAGCTCTCCAATACCCGTCTTTCCGCGCTGTGGAGCGCATGTTGCGCGCACTTCCTTCAGGAACTATATATCGGGTATTGATGGTGAGCTAGCTGCTTGTATGTAGGGCGCGCTTATCGATAAGGGGGATGGGATTTGAGATGTCATCTCTCTCTCGGGTAAGGTACAGATAGATAGGACGTACAGATTCTAGACTTCCCTCATCGACGGCAATCTCGCGCAGTAGACGTGCGCCTTGGATTTCGGCCGAGGTAGTAGAAGTGCTGGATAGTGCCATTATCGTATCGTATCGAATCTCCTCGCTGCTGCGGCGCTTTTTTTCCCCTCCTCTTTTTTCTTCCTTCTCGATCTCCCTCGCCGAATCTCTCTTTTTTTCCCTTGCTGGAGCTGTTGTGCGGTTATTGAACGAGGACGAGGACGAAGACGAAGACGAAGATCATGACACCACCGGTCGAGAGCTGGGATGTGCAAGAGTTAGAGGCTCGGACGCTGGGGAACGCGAAGGGAAGACGGCGGAAGGACTTTGAGGGCGAGCTGGGAAAGTGCGAGATGTTGGAGCTGCTGCAGTATATGTGTGAAGTGGAAAGGCCGGTGACGAGGGACAGTAAGACGAGGTGTTGGCCTGTGGAGAGACTGTTTCGGAGGTGAGTTTGAAGATAGATGTATGGATGGATGTGTGTATGGATGGTTGGCTGACTGTGGATTTGTGTGTTAGGTGTCGGGATAAAGAGGGCTCGTTTATGGTGGAGACGACGGCTTGGGAGGGGACTGCGAAGAAGATATGATTGAGTGTTGCATTGATGGATATTTGGAAAGGTTTGGGATGGGAGATGGCACACCAAGGGTTGAGGCCGAGATGAGATCTACCAATCTACATCAACGCGATGCGCGCAATGCGTAGGCCTACAGCGGTTTTACCAAGTGGTGTTCATAAGGTCACTTTCAGCACTTGAGTCCTAGATGTGTGGCTGGATCATAATTGCCATTTCAGATCCACGCTGTTGGATTGGCTTGTATACCTACAAACCATATAGCTACATTAAGCAGAACTGTCCACTATGCCCAAAGAACCGCATGCTATCTCTGACAATCCCTCCAAGACTCCGCGCTAAACTGCAGCAAATCCCAACGACCTAGCCCTGATACGCCTTCAAATATCAATCCGAACTGTGTCTGCCGGTAAAGTACCCGTTTTCTTCCTTGGAACACCTTTCCTGAAATGCCGACGCTCTGAATTCACAATCAGACTATGGTCCTTGTCCTTACCGGATGCACCATTTGGAGCCGCTGATCTGCCAGTCAGGAGAGTACCCATTGTCATCTCCCACAACTCGTGCCTCTCCTTGCTCTTCGGATCTTTTTCCGCTGTTCTTTTGATGTCCTTATCCTTCCCAACTTTGCTGAATTTGTTCAGACGGCGTAATGCCTCTTCACCCTGTCTGGCAACCTTGGCAGCCTCCTCCCTAATCTTCCTCGGGTTCGTCTCGCGCTCAGATTCCTTCTCCGTCCACTTGTATGTATGTTTACTTGGAAAAGCTGGGAATCGTTTCGGGATGTATGGCTTAGCCCTTTTATCTGATTCGCCATTGAGCTCTTCTCCTAATAATAGAAGTTGAGACCCCAATTTCTGTTCCTCCACTGGCTCTAGCTCAAGCTGGACTTGCGATTTCGACGCAGGTATTGGAGGTTTGAGATGCGGCTCTAAAGATGAGATTGGTAAATCAAACCGAGAGAGGGCGTATTTGAAGTCGAGGGGAGTAGATTGTGACCGTCTAGCGTTGAGCATAGACGAGGTCACCTGGGAAAGGAACCGCGTGGCGTCTGCTTGAAGTCAGAAATTAATCCGCCGCAAAAAGGTATGGGTACTGGCATGTGTCAATTTCGGAGCACATGGCCTCCATGGCTTCTGGAGAAGCTCCATCGAACCCCACATGATCCAGAGCGAGTGCGACTGCTCGTAACAGAAGCTGCCGCGGTTCATCGTCAAAAAGTGCTCTGGTTGGAAGGTTTGGCAATGGCTGCTCATCGCGCTGTGATGATTGAGGGAGACTCGATTCGACACATTTCCTCTTGCTTGCGGGGCCATCCATCATATCGTCGTCGCTTTGCGACGGGGTTGATCGCTTTAGAGAGCTTGGAGAAATCGGAGCCATGATTGTAACCCGCGGAAGGCGTGTTATGATTGAGGGAAATGATAGATGGAACCGGCTCGCGTGTAAGTATGGCTACCACTCATCTAGTTGACGCGTAAAAGTAAGGTATCAAGACAAACATTGACTTCTTGTCAATCACAAGAAGTGCACCCCGACCTTGGGCTTGGACTTGTTAACGTGAAGGTCCGATGCCACCTCAGGGTCCACAGGTCGACACGTGATTTGCTATTCGGGCTTTTTCGCTTACGGTAGCTCCTAGTCAGTAGAAGTCATCCGATTTCCAAACATCATCCGCTCTATACAACATCGAGAATCACAATTGAGAGCTTTCCCGCAGAGTTCACAAACTATACACAATGGCAATTGCACCAATTACCGGAGTAAGTGACCTCCAGGCGTTGTCCCGCTGCCGCGGATTCCGTTGTCGCAATCTGGAAACTCCGGGATATGAAGCTTACTTTGTATCGACAGATGCTCCGAAAGGGCCTCATCCTTGACCTCAGCGTCGCTTTCGGTGAGTGCTATCGAAGTCCTATTGCGTGGATCCGTCGAGGAAATACAGTCGCGGGGATTGTGTCTGGCTGAAGGGGCAATTGGCTTTCTGGAATAGGTCGGTAACGGCTAACGCTATGTTGAACAGGATTCGGATCAGCAGCTGGATACGCCTGGTGGTATGGCTAATATCTCCATATCTTCTATATTCTGCGATATCAAATCCCTAATAATTCATCTAGGTACGGCTACCACGTTCCCGCCGTCCGCCACCGCGACCAGTACTACGCGAAGTTGGAGGAACAGAGAGCGGCAAATGCAGCGGCATAGAGAATAGAGAGACTTGAATAGCTCTTAGATGGAGTGAGCAGTCAGTTGGGAGCCTGGGGAAATATTTGGAGGGATCAGATATGGCGCGGTCAACACGGAGCACGATGGGATATCACACTGTACATTACCAAACCCCCGGAAGCTCTTGACAATACATATCCGTTTTCCGATATTATCAGATCAGGACGCAGATAGAAACATATCTACCGTGTTTACTGTTGTGGGTGTCAAAGTTATGCCGGTCAACTGCCATGGATGCCGAATAATTTCAATTCCCCAAATGGAAAAGTCCAATAAAGCTGCAATAACGGAGGCTGCAACAATGGAGGCATATGATACTTTTGGAGGGTTCAGGGACAGAATTGACTGTTATTAGTAATGCAAGAGGGATCACTGATTTCCTTGCAATCGCTTCTCAACCTTATCTTACACCGGACAGAAGGGTAGGAATTGCCTAAACTGGCTCATCGAGCCCAGAATCATCTTTAAACAGATCCAACGGACGAGAATCTCTCAGCGCGGTGCTGCTAGATGGTTATGGTAAGTTTGGATATTAACATAAGGTTAGACGTCATGTAGCTATGAAGCTAGGTACCTGGAGACTACGATGGCACAGAGCTTCGAGACGGCATTGCGATTGTCACGTGATTATAGGCACTTAGGTAAGCCCTACCTATAGGTACCTTGTACGAGTGCCCCCAACAACGATGTAGCTACCTAGGTAGGTATACAGGATGGAAATGATACTCTTTAATAATCATTTTAATTCAACATAACTCGAAATGAGATCTGGTCATTTGATTGGTTTTGACGTTCTATGAGCAGGCCTCGCCCATGCCGACGCCGAAGCTCATGGGGCCTTTCCAGGCTATACTAAGCGAGGCCCTAGAAATCCCACATTGAATTCAAAATTCCAGAGATTTTGAATCCCCTCTTCAACCGACGTCGCAAATCGATTGAGCAACGCCCAAACGATCCCTCAACATGACGGAACAACTCATTCTCAAGGGCACCCTTGAGGGTCACAGCGGATGGGTTACCTCCCTCGCGACCTCTCTTGAAAACCCCAACATGCTCCTGTCAGGTTCCCGCGACAAGACTCTCATCATCTGGAACTTGACCCGCGACGAGACTGCCTACGGTTACCCAAAGCGATCTCTGCACGGTCACTCTCACATTGTCTCTGACTGTGTAGGTTACCCCTTTCTATGGCCCGAGATTTAATCTCGGAGCTCATTGGAAAATTTGCTGAGATTGAGATTTAGGTCATCTCCTCTGACGGTGCATACGCCCTCTCTGCTTCCTGGGACAAGACTCTCCGTCTCTGGGAGCTTGCTACCGGTACCACCACCCGTCGATTCGTTGGCCACACCAACGATGTCCTCTCCGTTTCCTTCTCGGCCGACAACAGACAAATCGTTTCTGGATCTCGCGACCGAACCATCAAGCTGTGGAACACTCTCGGAGACTGCAAGTTCACCATCACTGAGAAGGGACACAGCGACTGGGTCTCTTGCGTTCGATTCAGCCCGAACCCCCAGAACCCTGTCATTGTCAGCTCCGGTTGGGACAAGCTTGTGAAGGTGAGCAATTTTCATCTGGGTTCAATTGGAGGCATGCGAAGATTACATGATGCTACGCAACTTAAAAGTATTTGCTACTTCAGAGCCTGGGAGACCAAGCCATGAGACAAACTAACACCATTGCACTGATACAAACCTTCGCATGCCTTCTATTTTTATCTTGTACCCAATCACTAGGAGGGAATAACGCTGAGAAAGTAAATAGGTCTGGGAGCTCTCCTCCTGCCGACTGCAAACCGACCACATCGGACACAGTGGCTACATTAACACCGTCACCATCTCTCCCGATGGATCCCTCTGCGCTTCCGGTGGAAAGGACGGAACTACCATGCTCTGGGACTTGAACGAGTCAAAGCACCTCTACTCCTTGAACGCTGGTGATGAGATCCACGCCCTCGTTTTCTCTCCCAACCGTTACTGGCTCTGCGCTGCCACTTCCAGCAGCATCATTATCTTTGATTTGGAGAAGAAGAGCAAGGTCGATGAGCTGAAGCCTGAATTCCAGGCTGTCGGCAAGAAGAGCAGAGAGCCAGAGTGTGTTAGCTTGGCATGGAGTGCGGATGGTCAGACCTTGTTTGCTGGGTACACTGACAACATCATTCGGGCTTGGGGTGTTATGTCGAGAGCGTAGGGAATTTGAGCGTCTATGGGAATCATGGTCAGGGAGACTTTGCGGGCTTTGCGATCTCTTGTCGGTTGGCAAGTTGTACTCCGAAAAACAATGGCATCTCAGGAGCTCAATTGAAAAAAATAAAAACTTCAAATTGCCAACCATGCATATATGTGAGGAGAGATGTTGAGATCCCCATTTCAATTTGGAGGATACAACGTTCGGCATCTAGAGCAGGGCATGTTGAGACTGAAGAGCAGCTGTTGCTTGCAATCAACCTATGAGTTGTAATTCCTATTGGATCTCCCGGGACATGCTCCTACCTCCTCTTACCTTTTTTCCAAACAAACCATCAAGCTGGTGAAGTCGGATTTATACCTATGTTGGTCATTAGAGTATCTGAACAATGTCGAAACAGAATTGTTATTAAGACTTTTGAGAAGCTCAGAAGCTCTGGCCAATCTCGCGGGTCGTGTGATAGCTCTCTGAATGCAGATCGAAGCAAAAGGCTGGCTTAGTAATCCCTCTTTCCGGAGTACGCGGGGGTTGGCCACTACATAGGTAACATAGTACTGCGCCGAGACTACCTACCTAGGCAGAACCCATATCCAAATTCAAGTCTTCTTTAGCTTCTAAATTCACGGGAGCCTTTCTGACTTGATACATGTGAATTGATATGAAAGGGAAATGTGATATTTCTAATCGGTATTCTGATTGGTCCTTTGGTTGACGGATAATTCTATCCATGATATCAGCGAAAGCCGCGAGCTTCCTTTCACCTGACAACTCAACAGCCATGTGAGATCTGCCATCATGTGTGGACGCTATTCGTTGGCTTTGGTAAGTAAGGATACTTTTTGAGGATGATTCTGTCTGACAATCGCCAGCGACCTTCCCAGGTCCGCGCCTATCTTGAAAATGAGCACATGCCGGTAGCTGAAGCTCCTGACGACGACGGCGAAGATGCCCCCAGACAGAGTTACAACTTTGCGCCCGGCTATCATGGAATTGTCTACCGTGCCGATACACCAGACTGGGGTTATGGATCTAGACAACATAAGACGAGTGAGGGAGTCCCAGAGGAGCAGGCCCCGCCGGAAGTCCGTGAGGAAGAGCAAGGGGAAATTCGATATAAATTACAGTCCATGAAATGGGGACTTATCCCGTTCTGGACGAAGCGCAATCCCGACTATGGATCCATGATGAAGACCATTAACTGTCGAGACGATTCCTTGGCCGAGGATAAGGGCATGTGGACCACGATGAAGCAGAAGAAGCGTTGCGTTGTCATCGCGCAAGGCTTTTATGAATGGTTGAAGAAGGGCAAAGAGAAGATACCACATTACGTCAAGCGGAAAGATGGACAACTGATGTGCTTTGCTGGACTTTGGGACTGCGTTCAATATGAAGGCTCGGATGAGAAGATATACACATATACAGTCATCACAACTTCATCGAACAAGCAGTTAAGTTTCCTTCACGACCGGATGCCTGTTATCCTCGAAAACGGCTCAGAGGAAATCCGAACTTGGCTTGACCCAAAGAGATCGTCATGGTCAAAGGAGCTCCAAAGTCTTTTGAAACCATTCGAAGGGGAACTGGATGTCTATCCTGTCTCGAGAGATGTGGGAAAAGTTGGCAACGACTCGCCAACATTTATTATCCCAATCGCCAGCAGCGAGAACAAATCCAATATTGCCAATTTCTTCTCAAAGGGGGCTGCGAAAGGCAGTTCGAAAGCGGCAGCTGGAAAAAAGTCTGGCATCTCTGATGACAAGTTGACTGACAATGTGGAGAAGAAAAATCCATCGGTTCAAATCAAGCATGAGCCAGGAGAAGACCGCAGAACAATAGATCACAACGGCACAGAAGACAATGCTCCACTACCTATTCCCACGCCTGAGACCAAACAAGGAATTAAGAGAGAATTGGAAGATGTACCCGCCGAAGAACCGCCCACGAAGGTTTCGAAGACATCTCCAAGCCCAAGCAAAGTCTCGCCTCCCCCAAAAGGGAAGTCGAGAAGTGCCACAAACAATAAAACCACAAGCCCAAAGAAGGCTACAAACAAAGAAAAAGGGACTCAGAAAATTACGAGCTTCTTTAGCAAATAATAAGTCATTATGTGAGATACGAAAATGATTGGTCGGTTGCGTCTATACGGTCTGAAATTGATTGTATGTGAACGGTTTTCTATGTCTGTCGTCCCAGATCACTTATTTGATAGGAAGAATGAAGAGGCCTTGCTGCCCACCAATCCGAAACAAAAACTTGAACAGTCGCAGTGCTGAATTGGAAGATCCTTGTGACGACTCGCAGTTTACTACATAGTCTACCTATATTTGCTGTTTCACCTCAAACTCCTTAGCAGAAATTTCCAAAGCACTGAAGATAATCTATGGTCAACTATACCCTTCAATCCGGCTGCATTTCATATATCAATTCACCTACACTGTCCGCTCATTTCTCTCACAAATCTCCCTCAGCTCCATTTCATAGCATAAATGGATATTCAACATCTCCGGGGGTTCTCGTGTATGACTCGGAAGTCTGGAGTCCTCGATCCGGGTAGAGATGACAGGCATTGTTACCTGCAACATCATCGCCATCAGCCTTATCCCAAGCATGCGGGAAAACCGGCTGTGATCTAAAACCTGGGGTCATGCGGGGAATCCTGGGTCAAGTGGCTATGACAGGACTATCAATGCCTGAACGAGCCGCAGCTCCGAGAGCAAGTTGCAGAAAGCTTGGCCCCCTAAAAGTCATTGCGGTCGGCATGCTTGGTTCCATTATTCCGGCACCTGACCTTCCCCAGATTTCAAGATGGACAAATCGGCCCTAAAACGGGCCTAAATCCCAGTAATTTATTGCGGGTAGAAGTGGCCCGCATGTGAATCTGGGAGATCTCTTGGATGCCCCCCGATCACATTTCGACGGTGATTATTTACCGAGCATCATGATCAGCCAACAGCAGAACCGCCTTTTGGAGTAATCGCAGCTTCATTCGAACTCCCCTTAATTTCGAGGCATGTGCGAATGAAGCAAGGGATCAATAGTTGGGTTTATTTACAAAGTTTGTGAGATTCGTTAGTGCGAGAAATCATATGTACATGAAGATAGTTTGCACAGAGGCCCAAGGAGTGACACGGGCATCTCCTCCATCAGCGTCCAGCACTGGATTCTTCAGCGTCGCCTATCTTGCAATACAGGCCTTCACAAGTGCAGTGTCCTTCATGCTAGTGTCATTTCCGGTTGGGACTTCGCTCAAGACTAAGATATATCGTTAGGAACATTGTTTGGCCAGATTTGGGGAACTTATGAAGCTTCACCGTATGAGGTACTAAAGGATCCAGCTGCCCATCCAAGGTATCCGAGGTAGACATCAGAGTTCGCACTGAGAAGGGAGGTATATATGTTAGTTTCCTGACTCGGAGCAGATGGGAGAATGAAGTTACTTGAGATAATCAAGCTGTTCACACAGATACTTTTCACATGAAGCCACATTTCCTCCACCGGTTTCTGTGTTCAGTGCTTGCCGATTGTTGGCCCGTAACCATGTCGCGAGAGGTGTGAATGCATCTGCGGTGTTGTTTGTCACGCATTCTGCATTAGTGCCGGATTTATCAGAATCGAGGTACTGGTGCACGTCGAAGACGAGATTCGTTGTGCTCCCATCCAAGTTGGTTACTTTAGCTAGTGCTGCTGCCGAGCCGTTAGGGACAAAAGCCCCAGCAGAGGTATAGTCGTTTCCTGGGAGGAGAACTATAGACAGTGTGAGCTAAGATCTCTTACGAGATCGATGGGAACCCGACTTATTTGAGTTGTTGCTCCTGCTTTTCGAATTGCTGTGACAGCCGCCTGAACAGTGCTCGCCCACTGGGTGATATCAACATCATGAGGTTCATTCATTAAGCCGAATATAATGTTTGAAGTGTTCCCGTACTTGGTTGCAAGCTGCCGCCAAAGATCCGTGAATTGATCATTCGTTGGTCCGCCCTGCCCAATGATTCCCCCATTCCATCGAGCATAGTTGTGAATATCGATGATGCAAGATGCACCAGTAGCTAGGCATGCCTGAACAAGCTGATCGTATTTTGCAAAGTTTGCAGAATCCAATGGTCCTCCAAGCGTGCCGCCAACCAGATATTGCCAGCCGACTGGCAATCGGAAGATGTTGAGGTTGTCGTCCTTGACGAAATGTGACATCTGTGCAGCGCCATCGGCTCCACCGAGAGATGCGAGGGGTGGAGCAGCATCTGCGATAGTATCGCTCCCATCTGTTCCACAACCAAAATCGAATCCCGCGATATTCACACCGGCTTATGATGAGTTAGCCAAATTTATCCCTGGAACAGGGAAGACTGACCATATTTCGTCTGTCCAGTTCCTGTAGTTGTATTTGTTAGTTATGTTATGTCTTTAGTAATGCGTTCCACATGTTATTATTCCTCCGATCTCCCAGTTGTTTCTCGAGTTAAATCAGATATCCTAGGGTTCTACCAAATAAGAAGCTTCAAGAGAACTCACCACTCCTCTTCCCACTAGTAGGTAGACAATGAGAGAAGTATACGCTGCTACGAGTACAAGTGTATCCAGAAGCACACTCTCAACGTATTAGTCATGAAAGCCTTCATCAAGGGGGTATCACTCACAGCCGTGGCTCCTCTCCATCCTTTACCTCCACCTATTCTCGTCAGTATTTCTCTTTCTCTGGCTTGGAATAGAGGTGCCTTATACACTGGCCATAACCACTCTGATGAGCAGACACGCATAATGCAACTAATATGCTCGAAAGCATGAAGGTCTTCATCTTTCTTCGTCAGATATCTCCTGCTTAGGGGTCCAAGGATAGAATAGATGGATAATCTAGAAAGGCAAGCCAGAAACTGGCGAGCTCTCTCTCTACTTATTCCCGAAACATGATCTTGGAATTCTACAGACTAGTATCTAGATTGCTGAGTAGTTTGTCTCCGACAAACCAAACATAGGCTTTTCGCATTCACTTCATGTAACGGACCGAATCCCCTTAGGGTCAAGCCAGACTTGACACATATCGGCCAACTTCAATCGTGTGACATTTTCATAAAAGCCTTAAGCATTAGTCTTAGTCTATAATACTCTATCTCATTAATGCTAGCTACTTCCTGTTGCGATGGTCAGTGCAAATGAACCGTTTGCACCTGGATCGAATCGGAGAATTCTGATCCGAGAGGCGGGGCTGGGAAGCTGCTCTACATGACATGGCGAGTACTTGGCAAAAGAACAAACAACGATTATATTCCTCGTTATCTCATGATCTGACCAGGGTTAAACTGGAACTCTGGGCTGTTTTGTTTATATTGCGGGGTAACCCAGGGGCATGGATCTGGTCCCCTCCCTCCCTCTTTGATCACGCTCGAGCCAGCATCCAGAGTGCCACAACATGAACAACATCAACCTTAAAAGAGTGCCATGGAAAAAAAGAACCTCGACATATCATTCAACCGAACACTGCCGTTACTTTCCGAGATTTCATTATTTGTTTATTTATTTCAAGTAATTGCTCAGGTGCGTACTTCTGGTCGTCGCTCTCCTTGGTCAGTGACAGATGGCACTCTATCACGCAAGGATACCCCCAATACATGCGCGCTGGTCTGTCTTATGACTCGATCTTATCGATGGTTTATGCATACGCGACACGTTAGAGAGATGGCGAGTGGCTGGTTCCATGTATACAAAGTGGCTGTGAGGTGTGGAATGAACGATTCATGGTTGAAAGTAGGTATGCAGGTATTGTAGTGACCTTCTCTAGGGGTTTCGTACTAAGACACTACCTTACTCACCTACCGACTTAATATCTGCAGAGGTCCTGTCGATGTCCTGTCTCGTTCTGGCTTCAGTCTATGTTATGACTTGTTCTGATCATTAGGGTTAGTGGAGGGCCTATACTTCTTGGATCGAATCGGAGAATTCTGGTCTGAAGGGGCTGGGAAGCGCTCCTCTACATGACACGGGGTTATATAATGAGTGGACATAGAGCCAGATGATCTGCCGTGTACTCGTCTGTATATCACGCATAGCATTAGCTCAAACATACATTCATATCTTCGCCTGAATGTGTTGCGCATACGAGCTGAACAATGTCGAGATCACTTCTTCGAACCCCCCCGATCACAATCAGTGACACCGCACCTCACAGTTAGAGATACTATATCAGCTAGCATCAATCAGTGATTACCATCTAGCTAGTCTCGCAATTGCGTTCTGACTGGCTCTTCTGTTGATATCAGATGGCCCTTTTCCATTCAAAAATTCCAGGCCGTCGAAAACAGCGTTTCCCAAACTTGCGCACTGATGATGGCACATCCGATGAATGTTCCTCCTACCTTCACGGAAAACCGACGCACGTCTCCCGATCAGTGAGTCCTGTGATAGTGGCCAAAACTTCCAGTGGAATTCAAGGTGCCACGGTGAGGATGTTGGTTGTGTATATCTCTTCCGAGATGGTCAGTGACTGCATCATGTGACGGCAATGCATCCTCTTTGGCTGTACCGTGTATTTAAAAGAATGCTGCATTATGGGTATTACTCACTTGATAAGCAAATGCACTATTCGGAGATACCGACCCTAGTTTCCATATGTTGAGCGGTGATGGAGTTATCTGGGCTTTGTTTTGTTACGGTATTTGTGATTTGGTTACGTCCTTCCCCGCAAAGTGCTCTGCGGGCTGACTCGATGGGATCACATAAAAACCAGCCTTATCATCGGGAACGCTTCAACCTTAAGCCGCCCGCTGAACGGTGATTGGTGGTGCGGCAAGCCTCAGGCCGCGGCTGCCGAAAAGGCTCTGGACGACGTGCCTTTCCCCACGCCGCGCTGGAGCCGCCTCTGCCAGATAAGAGTAGTGCACGAGAATCGAATCGATGCAGAAGAACGACGACAGGCTGCATCGTTCCATATGTAACAATAATTATTCTCTCTTTTCCGCGGTCTCTTTCCTTTCCTTGCTAGCATCCTTACTCCTTGTATTTTTGATGGGCCTAGTCCGTCCCTGACCGTCTTCGATTCATGCACTTGAATGCATATAATCCGTACAATGCCCACTTCAAGAGATGAAGAGCCAGGACCTGATAGCTCGGGTCGAGGCCAACGTCTTCGAGTGCCAAGGAGTTCCACCGACGCAGAATCAGCACCGCTACTGGCTGGTCCATCCACTGACTTCCAACAAGCCAGGCGTCGGGCCAACGATTCTTTGGACATCTCATTCGGTACAATATCTTCTGATTTCCCTCCTGGAAATCAAGTTTCTCAAGTCGTCCACCACTGTTCTGACGAGTCCTACTTATTTGATATCATCATGGAGAGAGTCAAGTCGACTAGGCTTGCTCACTTGGTGGATAAGTTAGCGGTGGATAGTGAGCCGGGGTTAACCAACGCCCAGTTGATGTTGAACAACCATGATTTAAGGCCTGGTATGTCGAATAATTGATGAGACTTTGGGAAACTCACTGATTTTTCCAATAGTCGAACCCGAGCGTCGCCAGTGGGGTCCTTGGAACTTTGTCGGGTTCTGGATTGCCGATTCTTTCAATATTGTAGGTCACTTATCAAGTTTTGGAGGGATAATTTCTGGAGTGCTAACATCAGATTAGAATACCTGGATGATTTCCTCTTCTATGATCACCTCTAATGGCCTCTCTTGGTGGATGTCTTGGATCTGTGTCTGGATAGGTTACAGCATCGCCGCTTGCTTTATCGTCTTGACCGGAAGAATTGGAGCAACATACCACATTTCATTCCCTGTGGTCACACGTGCCAGCTTCGGCACCTGGGGTGCTCTATGGCCAGTTTTCAACAGAGCGGCGATGGCGTGTATCTGGTACGGCGTCCAGGCCTGGATTGGTGGAGAATGCGTCCGTCTCATGATCAGTGCCATCTGGCCTTCGTTCGACAGGATCCCCAATGGCATTCCTAGCTCGGGGACCACGACTCGCGATTTTGTCTCTTTCTTCATCTTCTGGCTCTGCTCCTTGCCCGCGATCTGGTTCCCGGTTCATAAGATCCGTCACTTGTTCACTGTCAAGGCGTACGTCGTCCCCACGGCTGGAATCGCTTTCTTCATCTGGGCCATTGTCAGAGCAAAAGGGATTGGACCAATCGTGAAGCAACCGGCTACTTCACACGGGTCCGAGTTGGGATGGGGCATAGTCAGTGGTATCATGTCATCAATTGCCAATTTCGCGACTCTTATTGTGGTATGTAGTCTCTTGTTTTTCGAAGGTCAAATGCCTCTAACATTCTGTTATAGAACGACCCGGATTTTGCCCGTTTTGCGCGCAAGCCGAAGGATGCCTTCTGGTCTCAACTCATCTCTATCCCCGTTGGATTTGGAATCACATCCTTCATTGGTATAATAGTTTCCTCGTCATCCATGGTGATTTTCGGCCAAGCCATTTGGAACCCACTCGATCTCCTGCAGTCATTCCTCGATGAAGGGACGCATCAAAACCGGGCCGGCGTGTTCTTCGTTGCATTCGCCTTCTCTCTTGCTCAGCTCGGCACGAACATCGCCGCGAATAGCGTCTCAGCCGGGACCGATATGACTGCGCTCGTCCCGCGCTACCTGAACATCCGCCGCGGCGGCTACATCTGCGCCCTAGTCGGTCTCTGCATGTGCCCATGGCACCTGCTCTCCACCGCCAACAACTTCACCACCTACCTCTCGGCCTACAGCGTGTTCCTCAGCTCCATCGCCGGCGTCATCGTCTGCGATTACTATCTTGTGCGCAAGGGCTACCTCCAGATCAAAGACCTGTACTCGGCCCGCAAAGGCTCGCCGTACTTCTACCACGGCGGGTTCTCGTGGCGCGCCTACGCCGCCTACATCTCGGGGATCCTCATCAATATCGTCGGGTTCGTGGGCGTCATCCGGCCGGGGATCCCGATGGGCGCGAACTATATCTACAGGCTGAACTTCTTCTGCGGGTTTCTGGTGGCGGCGGGCGTGTACTGGCTCCTGTGTTATCTCTTCCCGGTCCCGGCGATGAGCGACGTCTGGATGGAGGTCGGCGATGAGGTCCCCGGGTCTATGGCGTATGGGACTGATATGCTAGGGAGTGATTATGACGAGGAGCGGGCTGCGGGAGCGATTGATTTCAAGGGGGCGCGGATCACGGAGTCGGGAGGGAAGAGAGATCTTGAGTTATGAGAAGAGGCAGAGAGGAGATCTTTGCTCATCATGATGTTATGAATACCTGGATTGCATTTTTGTTTTCACATTTTTGGAAGATACCTCTGGCGCGTATGGTTTAAATGGATGGGATGCATTGTTATGAAAGGTAGAATACTAGAAGCATCATAGGAATCTACCAAACTATCTGACTTGCATGATTTTTCAGTTCAGAATGAAAGATTCAAGAGGTGGGTGGATATTCAACCAAACACGTGATATTGAGCCCGTGAAATGGGAGTTTTGTTGCACATCGCATCAGCGCGCATCATGGGAGGCTTTGATGGTCACATGGTCGTGACACCATGATTTTGTTGCATATCGCATCCTGCGATGATTTCGGGAAAGGGTCCTGTCCAAGGGTGGGTTTCAACGGGCGGTGGGACTTACCTACCTAGGTACCTAGGTAGCTAGCTAGCATCATGTGACTCAGTCAGTCCACGACTGCGCGATTTCTCCGGTGGGATGCCGAACTCCTTCCCCAGATTCGGGATGCTGACTGTACCAGATCCGCAGGGAGGAACCTAGCGCCAGATCTTGTGCGAGACCTCGGGGTTCTCATAACAAAACAAAGGGTTCCAATAAAAGTTGGGATTTTCGGGCTTGTGAGATCAGGAGTTGATTGAGGGAGAAAGGGGAGGAGTTAGCGGTGGTCTTTATTGGGGTTATTATATGGATTCTTTTATCTCTATCGGTCAGGACGTCTTGGAAGGCGACCACGTGAGCGATATATGGCGGCGAGATCAGCTTTCCTCGGGCTATTTTTTGGGTGATGGAAGAAAGCAGAAGAAAAGGGACGAACTGAAGAGAACCAGGGTCCTTTATTCTTTAAATGAGGACTTCTATTAGACAGGGGAAGGAAGCATCAGACAGAGGATTGCCACGGCCGGCTCAGAGCGCTGGCTCGGGGGGCAAAGAGGCACGACTGACGTGCCTAGGTACGGTATCACCCGAATTGGCCTGAAGGCTGACAGGGACGGCTATTGGGGGTCTTCAGCAGTCGTAAGCCCAACTGCATCGCTGCAATAACCCGATGCAATAATCTGTTTTGAATTGCATTCGGGAATCAAATGTATTCTCCCCGTGGCTCAATAATCAGGAATAATATGGGAATGCAATAATACTGTACAGTTTCTGTACTCCTGGAGGTGGGCATGAAAGAGGCATGAAGAGGCGATACGATACATTCCAATCCATTCAACTGCGGCACCGCAGATACGGAGGACGGCACCGCCCTCCTACGCCGTCGGCGTGGCCACGTGACGCCGGCCCCGCGTCGGGCGCCCTCTTACACTCGCGGTTTACGGAAGCAGGGCGCCGATCGCGCGGGCTGGACCAATCAGGGGACGAGTCATTATCAAAGTGGCGTCCAGGGTTGGCCCCCTCTCTCTCTGACTGCGCTGTCGGCGGCTGCGACAGACCCTATTACTCTACTACGCCCACGCTCTCGCCTTTTCCCCGCCAAAAAAAAAGGATTTGCGGACGGATATAGGCGTCAGGCAGTAGTTGAGCGTTTTTTTTTCTTCTATTATTTGTAACAGAGTTGATTGGGGGGGGATGGGAGAGTGCTGCCCAAGCCGCCTAACCGGTGGTCGGTGCTCACTGCTGAGTAGTAAGTTGTTTGCCTCGACGGGCCTCCCGATGGGTTATTCTAAGAAGGGTGGCGTGGGCGAGATGAGATGGGATATGGTGGGATGGGACGGGATGGGATGGGATGGGATGGGATGGGATGGGAGAAGCAGGACGGCCGGATGTGGGGTGACTGAACCGATGGATGAATGGAATGCCACTACGAACCTCTTACCCGACAAACGTCTCTAGTATACAGGGCAGCATAGGCGACGCGGGCTGATCGACGACTCCATGGTGAAGGGACTGGTAATCCCGCGATAGTAATACGTCCGTCGTCCGTACCTCTGCAGACTGCCCGACTGTCGCTGGGTGCGGGAAGGCTAGAATTAGGTGAACCGTGAAGGCTTGCTTTCTCCACCATGCAGAGCCCCCCTTGGACATATTCATGTATTATTTCTATCATAGCGAGTATTATTGCATTGAAGTTGTTAATGCCGCAGCCGTCTTTTGTTTGCCTCCAATTGCCTCCAAGCCTCGGAGAAAGAAGAAGAAGAAGAAACGTTCTTGTCGTGTGTGCGCTCGCTCGCTCTGGGAAAAGTTTTAAAAAGCGCGGGTTGAAGACGGGGGACTTAGCTTCTTCCACTCAGAACGCTGCAAAAGTAAAGGTCCAGTCAGTCAGTCAATCAGTCAAGTAGTCAGGCATCGTCAGGGAAAAAAAGAGGCAGAAGATCGCCCCCCGCGCCCCCGAACTTTGAACTTGCCATGCTTCCTGGAATAATTATCCTGTGCCTGTCCCTGTAGTCTCGTACATACCCCTGCGTCTATCCCGATGTATATCCCTCTCTTTGTTTTTTCTTTTTTATTTTATTTGATAAATGATGGTAAAAAAAGAAACAATCTCACTTGCCTTGCTTTCTGCTCTGTTTCCCCGAATCACCTATAACAATCTAGAAAGACAGGGCCCCGTTTAGACAAGAGAGAGCGCTAGGCGAATGCGAACCGGCTGCTCCCAAAAGCCCACTTCTTATCTGACGGAGCCTTCATAAACAGACCGGCCGACCCCCCCCCCCAACCGCATCTCTCATATTTTCTCGCTCTTCTCCATCCCTCCATCCCTCCATCCCTCCATCCTCCCCCCCCCTCCACTTCCCTCAGCCTGACTCACGTCGGCCACTCTCCCCTCTACCTCAAACTCAACGAATCTTTCGCATCGCATCGCATCTCTCTTTTTCTGTTTTCTCCTTCTCTCTCCCTTCAATCCACTTTCATCCTCTTCTCTCAATTGAAACGTCCCCCCACAACGTCGCAAAGATGGCTGGCACCACTCACGTCTCCTACACGGCCAATGTGCGTTTGTCCCAATTCCCCCCCCCCACACACAACGTCTGGCTCCGAGATCGCTGACCACGCCCATAGCTCCTCAAGTACATGTCCCTCGATCAGAAGGGCAGTGCGATTGCAGAGTAAGGGTCATCGGTGACTGCGTCTGCGCACCATCGCTGATTTATTTGCCACCAGGTACATCTGGATTGACTCAACTGGAGGGGTTCGCTCAAAGTCAAAGGTGAGGCGCCAACACTTCCTCCTCCCGCCACAACCCATTCAACACATATGCTAATCAATCCCTCGTGTCTCGCCAGACTCTCCCAAAGATCCCTCCCAGCGGTGAATTCAAGATCGAGGATCTCCCAGAGTGGAACTTCGACGGCAGCTCGACGGGCCAGGCTCCAGGCGACAACTCTGATGTCTACCTCCGCCCTGTCGCCATCTTCCCTGACCCTTTCCGCAAAGCCCCCAACATCCTCGTCATCTGTGAATGCTGGAATGCCGATGGAACCCCCAACAAGTACAACTACCGCTACGAGGCCAACAAGCTCATGGAGGCGCACAAGGACCAGAAGCCATGGTTCGGTCTCGAGCAGGAGTACACCCTGCTCGACATGAACGACAGACCATATGGCTGGCCCGTTGGTGGTTTCCCCGGTCCCCAGGGCCCATACTACTGTGGTGTTGGTGCCGGTAAGGTCTTCTGCAGAGATATCGTCGAGGCCCACTTCAAGGCCTGCTTGTACGCCGGCATCAAGATCTCGGGCACAAACGCCGAGGTCATGCCCGCCCAGTGGGAGTTCCAGGTTGGTCCCTGCGAGGGCATTGAGTGTAAGCCCCCTCTACATCGGAATTTATTGGACCTTCGGCTAATGGTATCTGCTAGTGGGCGATCACCTCTGGTGTGCTCGTTTCCTCCTCAACCGCATCGCCGAGGAGTTCGGTGCCAAGATCACCCTCCACCCGAAGCCAATCCCAGGTGACTGGAACGGAGCCGGTCTGCACAGCAACTTCTCCAGCGAGGATATGCGCAAGCCCGGTGGCATGAAGCACATCGAGGCCGCCATCAAGAAGCTCGAGGGCCGCCACAAGGAGCACATTGCAGTGTACGGCGAGGACAACACATTACGTCTCACCGGCAGACATGAGACCGGTAGCATTGATGCATTCACATACGGTGTCGCCAACCGTGGCGCATCCATCCGTATCCCAAGAGAGGTTGGCCACAAGGGTTACGGTTACTTCGAGGACAGACGACCAGCCTCAAATGCTGACCCCTACCAGATCACTGGTATCTTGATGGAGACAGTAAGTGCCTGAGATCTGATTTAGTTGTGGTGCACGTGCTAACTTCCCCCCGCAGATTTTCGGCGGCGTTGATGACGCTAAGAAGGCATAGGTGCGAAATGCTTCCTGGGGGGTGCGTTGTACAAGAAGAATGGTGAAGAAGAAAAAAACTATGGTCAGGCGAGAGAGGAGTCTTTCTGCAAGCAAATGATTTCCTTCTTGGTTGTCTGTAGCTGTCCCAGAGTGGCCATGCCCATGTAAATGAATTTGAGCTTGGCGCAAAACATCAACAATTGATACCGACTTTTGCATTCTGAGATTATAACTCTGCTTTTTTAATGGGGTAATCGACATTTTTGTCGATTATTTTTTTTTTTAAAAGAAAAAAAACAACCCCAAATTGCTAATAATGATAATTCAACATTTTCGAGCAAATCTGATTCGATCACTCACTCATGCCCTGTTGATCATTCCTGTTGGTGTGTGCCTCTTCAAGTCAGCCTTGTGATGACGTACGTTATTTCCAGAGCAGAGCTCCAATTTCACTCTTTTTTATGTAAGCGATGCATACCTAGCATACCATAGAGCTCTTTCTGGGTTAAAGAACGAAAGAAAGGAAAGAAAGGAATTGTCCTCTCCTATATCACACTTCATTCACCACAATGCCGATGCTGTCCTCTACTACATTATTACGCAGAGCTACTGCTGCTGCTGGGCGATTACAGTCTATCCGCTGTATCTCGACGCTACCGTCTAATCCTCATATTGTAAGTACATACCTTCTTGTTTCGATTTGAGCCTGCATATTTTACCTTACTTTCAATTCATTCATTCATTCATGAAATGGAATAAATTAAATACCAACCAAACACGCCGCAGCACGTCTTCCCAGATCCCGAATCCCCCTCGACATCGCACATCCTAACGCTACTTCCCACGTCTCCCCCATCCAAAAGCCTCGCGATAGGGAGCACCAGCAAGCTCCCACCCACGCCCGATTCCCTGATCGAGAACCCGCGCTTCCTGACGATCCTGCAAGACGTGCTACGCAGCCACGCGACCGCCGACCCCTGGGTGCAAGCCCAAGCCGCGGCCTTCGCGTCCACGTCTGGCTCGGCGCTGGGATCCGGGGGAGGACGCTTCTTCTCGCCCGCGGCGAAGAAACATAGTAGTGGTGCGGGCGGCGCGAGTGATCAGGGAGGTGCCGGAGGCGGGGGCAGAGGCGGCTGGATTCATGTTAGTGATTCGAGAGCACCGCCGGATTATGGCAGGATTGCGTTTCCCGAGGATATTTTTGGGAGTTTGGAGGTCGATGGGCAGGGGAGGTTTGTGAGGTCTGAGGGCTTGGAGTTGGGGAATTATCAGAGTAGTGGCACGTATCGCGTTGTGACGAGGGAGGGCATGTAAGTTCGAGTCTTCTTCTTGTTGTTGCTCCTGGGCTCTTACTTTACTTTCTCTTTCCGGAGCTTGATTTTCTGGGCTTTTTTGAGTTGATGAGGGATGTTTGACATGGACTAACGTTAGTGTGTAGACTGGGACTGAGTGATTTCCTGAGGGGCAAGTTGGTGGAGAGGTTAAGGGCGGAAGAGGAGAAGGAGAAAAAGAAGTAACAGGAGGAAAATCGTAGAGAAAGATGAGGGCGAAGAAAAGTACCAAAGGAGACAAAGGAAAAGAGTAACGAAAGATGGAGGTCTGGAAAAGTATAAAAAGTGAAGGAGAAAAATAAGGAAGAATGAGAAGAGTAGAGAAAGTTGACGCTGCGGGCGGGACCACATCGAGAGGCGTATAGCCACAGATACCCGGGCTGAGGAGTGTCGAAACAGCCAAAATCAAGCAGGTTGCCGCGAACAGGAATGTTCGCTGCTGGACATGTGATGGATGTACACAACATGCTGCGTGTTACGCCAGACAGAATCAACTGTCATACTACATAGATACCTAGAGTTATATATCTTGGGAGATTTTCAAGTATCCGAGCTGCTGAACGAACATTCCACATTTAACCACGAAAAGTCGAATTCTCCCGGAACTACCGTATGCACGAATCATTCTCGAAGGCCCGTCAGGAGAGAATGATTGCTCTGCCTTGTCTCGAAGTTCACAGCGAAGGAAACGAAAGAAACGAAAGAAACGAAACGAGAGATAAAGCTCTTTCTGGATAGGGGCAAGATAGGCAAAGCCTGGAAGCCCAAGCTTCTACCCCACAAATTGCACGGCGTCGCTAAACCCGGGCTCCAGCGATTGACAGCAACGTTGAGACACGACACATCCAAAAAGAAATCCCAATTCAACGCCATCAAGTCACACGAGGAGTCGGGAACCTTTGGCGTGCCTCCCCCAGAGATGAGCGCTTTACCTCTCGTCCTTTGCCTCTAGATCGAATCTTCATCTCCCAGCCCGCGAGTTGAACCTACCACCGCCCTGTGCCCACATCATCCCCCCCGTCATTGTGGTGGGGCAACCGACGACCTTCACAATCCCTCCCTCCATCTCCAAAAAAGCAACAACAACCCCACGATGATGCCCCACGGCGCCTACGAGGACGGCGAGCTGGAGATCTCGCTCGCTCCTTCTGCCAACCGCCGAGCCCAGAACAAGCCGCCCGATGCCAGCACTCGCCGCGACCAGAATGGCAGCAAGCACCGATCCGTTGAGCCTGCTCCGCAGAAGAAGGCCGAGCAGCGTGTCGGCGCCTACCACATCGTCAAGACCCTCGGCGAGGGCTCCTTTGGCAAGGTCAAGCTGGCCGTGCACCGCGTGACGAACCAGCAGGTTGCCCTGAAGATCATTGCGAGGAAGAAGCTCATCAGCCGGGACATGGCCGGCCGGGTCGAGCGGGAAATCGAGTACCTGCAGCTCCTCAGACACCCGCACATCATCAAGCTGTAAGTTGGCACCTTGTATATCTTGGATGGGCGTGTACACGTTTGCTAAACACCCTCGCCTTGCGTTATCTAGATACACGGTGATCAAGACCCCGCAGGAAATCATCATGGTCCTGGAGTACGCGGGCGGCGAGCTCTTCGACTATATCGTACAGAACGGCAAGATGAGGGAGGATGAAGCTCGGAGATTCTTCCAGCAGATCATATGTGCGGTCGAGTACTGCCACAGACACAAGATCGTCCACCGCGATCTCAAGCCCGAGAACCTGCTCCTCGACGAGAACTTGAATGTCAAGATTGCCGACTTCGGTCTCAGCAACATCATGACTGATGGTAACTTCCTCAAGACCAGCTGTGGTAGTCCCAACTATGCTGCACCCGAGGTCATCAACGGTAAGCTATATGCTGGCCCGGAGGTTGACGTCTGGAGTTGTGGGGTCATCTTGTATGTGCTGCTCGTGGGAAGACTGCCCTTCGACGATGAGCATATCCCTTCCCTGTTTGCGAAGATTGCCAAGGGCCAATATGTGGTTCCGAACTACATGAGCTCTGGAGCTGCCTCGCTCATCAAGAAGATGTTGGCTGTCAACCCCGTCCACCGCATCACCGTCGAGGAGATCCGCTTGGACCCCTGGTTCGTCAAGAACCTGCCTGCGTATCTGCAGCCGCCGGTGGAAGAGTTCATCGATACTGGGGTCGACCCTACTAAGGCCATCAATCCCAAGACAATTGCACCTCACGCGAGTCCTGCGATCCAGGAGAAGCTGCATGACCAGGTCACGGAGAAGATCAGCAAGACAATGGGATATGGTATCAAGGACGTTCAAGAGGCATTGGCTTCGGAAGAACCATCTGCGATCAAGGATGCTTATTTGATTGTCAGAGAGAATAAGTTGATGCAAGCTAACCGTGAGTTGATCCCCCCCTCATGTGTCTACCCCTCCACCTACGCGATATTACGCGAGTGAGGCCCGAATGAGAATATAAAATGCACACGGTTGTTTAAGCTAACTTCTCCATAGCAAACCTTGCGGATGACAAAGGCCAACTTCTCTTCCAAGCTGCTTCTCCCCCACCCCCGCACGCCGGTCTCAAACCTGACGGCTCAATGTCTTCACCACCTCCACCGGACGCGCAGGCTTCGGCCGATGCTCCTGACCGACAACCACGACCAAGTCCCCGTGTAGACGCGGTCTCCCCACGCTCTACCAGCTCGGCTGGAACTGACAGATCTACGCGTCCCTACATCAGCAAGATCGGTATCCTTCCTAGCAGTCTCACACCTTATCATCGAGACTACATGGAGCGTAGACGATTGGGAAAGACCGTGGACAGCCCCTTGTCAACAGCTCATTCGGAAGATAATGAACCGCACCCCCAAACCGATGCTGAGAAGGCTGAGACCGCTCGCCGACTCAACCCTCATTCCAAGAGTCAGCTCAAGCTTGACGAAGCCAGCAAGAGACCAGCCGGTATGACGCCAGTTCCCCAAAAGAAGGCAAAGCCGACAAAATGGCAATTTGGTATCCGATCGCGTAACCAGCCGCTGGAGGCCATTGGCTGCATCTATAGGGCTCTACAGAAGCTAGGTGCCGAATGGGTTGTCGATGAGGGTTGGGAGGCTTCTCGCCAGGGGTCACATGAGGATGAGGAGTAAGTCATCTATCTGTCTACATCTACGAAACATGCTAATGGCCTGTAGAAACAAGGATGGCAGCTTTGTCTCGAGCCACAGTGGCGCTTCCCTTCACCACGCCAATTCCATGAACCCTGATAGATCTGGAAGCAACCTCCAATTCCGCGCCGTGGACCCAAATACTCAGTACAAGCTGCCTGCAGACCCGTGGGTTCTTCGTGTTCGCTGGAAGAAGGACGGCATGTATCCTCCTGGAACCGTTCCTCCTGGATCGACCCACTCATCGACAATTGACCTCCGACGCCAATCGATTGGTTCTCTTAGTAGCGCTGGCGGTTCCCTTCCGAATCAAGAGGCCTCCACTCCTAAATCCTCCAAACCCGACCCGGTTGAGAGCGTCATCATGCACCTTGATATCCAACTCTACGAGATGGAGCCTGGTGTGTATTTGGTGGATTTCAAGTGTGCTGGCTATGAGACTCCGGATGGCATGTTGGTCGAGGAAAAGGATGTTACATCTCCCTTCCCCTTCTTGGACTTGGCTTCGAAGTTGATCATTCAACTTGCCGAGGCTGACTGAAGGCAGCGGAGAGAGCAGTGACGGGTCTCCCTTTGCTTCGCAAGGTTGACTTCTCCTAAGTTGGTCATTCGACTTGCGGGATCTGACTTGAAGGTTTGGAAGAGTTAACGAAATTTGCTACGATTGATAGTGGGGCTAATGTGCGATAATGGCTTGAGCATGACACGAACTAAAACATTTCGACGGGATCATTGAAGACGGACTTGGCTGGCAGATACTCAAGCGTGGCGTTGCTCTGGATGGTTAAATACCCGGAAGGCCTGATATCACTTTCCTCCAGCGCATATGAAAGATGCTCGACATCCCCACTCTTCGCTTGTGTATGGATGGCTTCATCATAAAATAGGAACAGATAAGCAAGGGGCGAGCACCTTTTGTGCAACAAATCACCCTTTTCTTTTTACAATCCTCATGTAAAATTACATTTCCATGTGCCCACCTCCCACTGAAGGTGATCATCGATTTTGTGACTCGCTGCTGCTGATTCTCATGGCAATATACCAAACTCCTTTTTGTCCCAACGCCGTAGTCTCGAATCAAGAGATAGCAGACCCTTTAGCCATCACCAAACCCCTCCACCACTGATTAACACTAACACATGCTCATCTCATCTCATCCTATCTCATCTCCTCTCACCACCTCCCTGCTGCTGCTGCTGCTGTTGCTGCTGCTGCCCATCAAACTGCGGCGCAGGCGGGAACCCAGGGGGCGGCGCCCCCCCAGGGAAACCACCAGGCGGCGGCGGCGGGAACTGGAAATTCGGCGGCAGGCCGCCCGGGGGAGGGAAAGGGAGGCCGCCGGGCGGTGGGAAGGGAAGGCCTGGTAAGGGGGGAGCGCCGGGGCCGCCGGGGAACGGTGGCATTGGCATGCCTCGTCCTCCTGGAGCTGTTGTTTGACGTGTTAGCTGGGAGAAGATCCGGGGGGGGGGGAGGGGCGTACGTGGAATCATGCCGGGACCGCCTGGCATGCCGAAGGGTGGTGGGGGGACACCTGGAGGGAGGGATGATGTGTTAGCATTTTCTCTTCTTTTCTTTTCTTTTCTTTCTTTTTGTTTATTTTGTTTCTTGGGGTATGGAATGTGTGTATATATATATATATATATATATATGAGACGAGAACACAGGACAGGTACATACCACCCGGGAAACCAAACGGCGGCGGCATCATAGGCTGAACGCCAGGATTCTGGCCCAGCATCGGATTCGACGAGGACTGGCCCTCGGCCGCATATGAAGAGGTGATAGAATCGATAACGGACTGGGCTTTCTCGTGGCCGATTTCTGCGCGCGCGCCGGTCAGTGTCAGTATTCGGGAAACGGATGGTTTGGGATGGGGGGAAGGGGAGAGAGAGAAACGCACGCTGGTAGTAGTCGACGACGTTTCGGAGGTGGTTGCGTCCGCTATTGTGCGCTTTGCGCACGCTCATCGAGTCGTGCGTGAGGTAGACATCGCAGTAATCACCTAGAGACAGAGAGTTGTCAGGATCAGGTATGGGGCAGTGGGGAGGTCAAGCGGCGAATGGAAGGAAGAAAGAACGTACAGAAGACTGGATTTTGAAGTTAGCAGGGTCAGAAGAAAGATCGCAAAGGAGGGGACTTACATTTCGGCATTGTTGCAAATCTGGATCTTCAGCGGCTGTGATGTAGCTGTTGAGAGAAACCTAATAACTTTGCCTTTCCTGCCGTCGCGGTTCGAAGAAGTTCGCGATCTGGAAGAAGGGTGACACGTGACTGCCATACCCATGTTCGAACAAAAGACGGAGGGAAGCGTCCCACCGCCCCCCCCCTTGCCCCGTGCTCTGGGAAAGCTCCACGTCGTTACTTTTTGGCGACGACTCCCTTTCAACCCCCCCTACGCGACCATCAATAGCAGCCCGCAACTCGACAAGCCCTCCACACGACTATTCGGGCAGGATGGCGAACGCTCACTCGTTGCTGTACTCGCTGTGCAGCTTTCTGCTGCTGCTCGCGTGCGTGGACGCGCTGAAATTCGACATGGAAGCGTTTAGCAAGGGGGACAAGAAGGGTCAGCGATGCATCAGGAATTTCGTGGCTAAGGATACGTTGGTTGTCGTTACAGCGATTGTTGATGGGTATAAAGGCGATGGCATGGTTTTGAACATGCATGTAAGTTCTTTTTGGCGGTGGAGCAATTCTCATAAGGAGAGGAAGAAGAAATGCTGATCAGATCTCTAGATCAAGGATGTGGTTGGGAACGAGTATGGAAAACCCAAGGACGTCGTGGGCGAGCAGAGAATGGCTTTCACATCGCATGCTGATGCTTTCTTCGACGTCTGCTTTGAAAACTACCTGTCTGGGAGTATGGAATCCCCTCTACGCATCTTGCTGATCGACGCTGACAACCGCTACAGCCAGGACCGTCTCACACCGTTCCCGCCACGTCGAACTCGACATCGACATCGGTGCCGACGCCAAGGACTGGTTGGCCGTGCAAGCGACCGAGAAGCTCAAGCCCGTCGAGACGGAATTACGGCGCATCGAGGAGATGGTCGGTGAGATCGTGGCCGAGATGGAATACCTGCGGAGCCGGGAGCAGAAGCTGCGGGATACGAACGAGAGCACGAACACACGGGTGAAATGGTTTGCGTTTGGTACGATGGGCATGCTGGTCGCTTTGGGAGCGTGGCAGGTTGTGTATTTGAGGGCGTACTTCAGGTATGCAGCTCTTGCTTCCGGGGCTGGTCGTCTTGCTAATGTGCTTCCAGGTCAAAGCATCTCATCTAGGTCTTCATGCGATTTTACAAAGGAATGGTGGGCGCGAGGCGTGGTATGGTGGAGGGTTCTAGGCAATCAACCACACCTTGTTTTACTAGTAGCTGTCGAAAAGCAGGTATATAATGGCAATACAACGGCAGGGCAAGAAATACCCTGGAAAAGTTCACAGAGGTTGTTGGCCAACGTGCAATAGAAGAGCGCAAGCTTGAAATTCGTTCGTCTGTATAACCAATGCTAGCCATTTGTTCCTCTCCGTAAGTGTAAGGGATATACAATGAGTCTTCTTTTCTGTATTTGGTTGTATTTGAACTTCTTGCTCCTACTCTGTTGCTCGCGTGCTTCTCTTCAGCCAAAGTGCCCTTAAAGGCTACTGCCCCACCTGCCATACAACGTCAACAGCTTGGCCCGGGGTTACTAAAATAAGACCCGAGTGGAGTACGACACTCGAGATATCTCAATAAAGGGATTATTGCAATAATAAAAAACTGCTACGTTCGATTGGGAAGGTACAAGAATCTTCGGACTTGAAGTATCAAGAGAGTGATGAATATAAATAAGACGTGAAAATTTTATGATATTGTGTTTTTGCATTGTGATATGTCCTATCCTAGAATGTATCTACCCTGCCGGATCCCATCCCAAGACTATCCATAACCATCTACGATGGTGGCATGATATCAAAGGTTTGCGCTGACTGTTCACAAAGTCAGTGGAGAAAGAGAGGATGATTGCTGAGACATCTTGGGGAAGATCTTTGTCTCCGGAGCAAGAGGACAAAGGAAGGTCTCTTGTACTTGTACGCACCTCCTTAACCCAGGGCAATCTGTATTTGCCAAAGATCTCGGCGGTCGGCTCGAAGCTCTTTCCTTCATCCAAGAGGATGGTTCTCACGACCTGTGGGAGAAGATGGAGTTAGTATTTGTGATTGTAGCAATACTTGAGGGCTAGTAGCCCCTAGATGACTTCCAAGGTGCATAAAGGGGAAGAGACATATTTCAATAAACAAGAGAGGGACTTGACTTACAATTTGGTCGCCCAAAACCTCCTGGTGGTGGTAGACGTGAGAGGTGCAGTCTGGGGGGGTTCTAGTCAGCTTTACTTGGTCTTAGAGGGTTCTGGACCTTGTAGCACGAGATCCAGGAGTGCAGTGGCGCATTGGCCATATCTGTAATCCCCCGGCGCCATCTATCAGGGAGAGGGGATTCCTTACTGCCGCACTAAAAGTTATCGGAGTCAGTATTACTATATCAGGAAGTGGAGCATGAATCACGAGCAATAGGGCATGCTGTAACTCCTGGAAAGCATCCTGGAAGTGCCTTGAGAGTAAAGCATCGAGCGTGACTAATGGAACCGTCCAGAGGGGCAACTTACGTGGTAGCAGTGAACAGGCTTGCCGCTGGCACCATGGTAGGTGAAGTCCTTCACTTGTCCCTTCGTGATTTTCAGATCTTTCATGGGAACGATCTGGTTCAGAGAGTATGCTCCACCTGAATGTTATCAGTATTTTGGCGCAGCATTAGGATCCAATGCCAAAACCTACCTCCCAGCTTCTTGCAAGTATCGCAGTGGCTGGTCTCCTGTCAGTACTTTTGGGATTTCGAGCGCATCCAGGGGAAATCACCAGAGAACGTGGTTCTTCCCCTCAAGCTTCACATCCCACTCAACCTGCCCGCAGAAGCAGCTTCCGTGATAGCTAGTCATGATGATATAATAAAGCTCGTTGCAATGAGCAGAGAATCTGACTTGCAAACAAGGGAAGCATGATGGAATATCACCCCTTTTATATTCCCCTCTTATCGCACATTGTGTTGACGTCAGATAGAGGGGTAAAATCGGCAGCCACGTCAATGATGCCTCGAGGCTCTATCGATACAGAGGTACAGCGCAGGCTCGAGCGTTTAGCAACGAGCTAAGCGGATCCTCTTGTTTGACAGCCCTGATTTGACAATCCAGGAGAAACATCCCTGCCCCGCGTTGAGGGGATGATTTCGGCCCCCTTCGTCGAGCTATCTCTGCCTATGGCGACCGGACGTCCGGAGCCATCCGTGAGAGATGCTGCTGCTGGAGAAGATGTTGGATGCAGATTGTATGTATGTCTTAGTTGAAGACGGATGACGATTATCGTAGGCAGAGACACTTCTGCTTTGGCTCATTTGTCAACAGAGACAAAGCCCAATCGGACATGCTGAACAAGCTGAGAGACGCCGAAGATTCAACGAATCTAGGTGATTCCTGCATACCGCGCCAGGTATTCCAACATGGAGGACTAGGATGCAATGGCTCGCTTCGCTCGCGTGAGTGTAATGCTGAGTCATAGGGGCAGAAGCCAAGTCTTTTGATGTTATACTGATTTTACTACTGTAACAGAAACTGTAGGCTGTTTAATTATGTACGCCGGTTTAGACCTGTTATATAGCCTTAAAAACGCTCTGATTTCACCCTGTTATATAGCCTTAAAACGCTCTAAATTCAACCCGTTATATAGCCTCGAAAACGCTCGAATCTAACCCGTTATATAGCCTTAAAAACACTCGAATTCAACCTGTTATATGCTAGTAAAAACACTCGAATTTAACCCGTTATATAGCCTTAAAAACGCTCGAATCTAACCTGTTATATAGGTAGCCTTAAAAACGCTCGGGTTTAACGCCGTTATATGCTAGTAAAAACACTCGAATTCAACCCGTTATATAGTCCTAAAAACGCTCGGGCTTAACGCCGTTATATGCTAGTAAAAACACTCGAATTTAGCCTGTTATATAGCCTCGACAACACTCGGATTCGACGCCGTTATATACCTTAAAAAAGCTCTGATTTTGTGCTGTTATATACCTCGAAAACGCTCTGATTTGACGCCGTTATATGCCTCGAAAACGGTCTGATTTAACGCCGTTATATGCCTTAAAAACGGTCTAATTCGACGCCGTTATATACCTCGAGAACGCTCGGATTCTGTGCCGTTATATAGCCTCGACAACACCCGGATTCGACGCCGTTATATGCCTTACCTATAGAGCCACTTACCTGTAGGGCTGCTTACCTGTAGGGCTACCTGTATGGCCGCTTGTAGTAGTACCTGTAGCATGTCTGTTCGAGTGCCTGTTCGAGTGCCTGTTCGAGTGCCTGTTCGAGTGCCTGTTCGAGTGCCTGTTCGAGTGCCTGTTCGAGTGCCTGTT